AATTTAAATTAAAAAATTGGTATTTGTATGTTTTATTCATTTGTTCTTAAAAGTTCTAATGTCAACTAAATAAAAACTTATAGTAATTAAATACAGTTGTGAATTTAATAAAAGTTATTTTGATAAATTTGTATTGTTTTTGAGTGTTAAAATTCAAAATGGCAGCATATGTTTTTATTTTATAGTTATTCATAAAAATCACTGTTTCTATTTGTATTGCACTAATGTTTGTAAATTACAGTTTACAGCATAATTAACCGCACAGTAAAACAGGTGTAAGTAACAAAAATACATGTATATTTACAAAGTCTAATCCACAATTGGTATGTTATATTTATATGTCATTGTTTATATATTTTTAAAGCTACATGTATATTTTTAAGTTAAGCATATATTGTATATTGTAAATAATTAAGTGGTCACTAAATGCAGGTACAATATAATGTAATACATTAAAAAATGTACTTTATGTGTACATAATTTATTTACATAAAATAAAATAAATGGTCTATCCCTATAAACTAATCTGTTAATAAAATATTAAATTACGTATATTTAAGGTACTGTAGTGTATACAAATGTATAAAACAATATATATTTTCATAATAGTATGGAATGTTTGGTATTTATACTTTCAGGGCTTGGTAGATGTGATGTAAATGTAATGTAACTGTAATGTGTATGTTGTATAATGTATAACATATAATGTTTAATGTTAAAATGTACCAAATTAAAATTATATATAAAGCTAGTGTCCACTACAAATTAAATTAATAAACCAGTAACCCTCAGTTTGTTCTTTTATATACACAAGGCAAAAAAACATCGGGGTCACACATGCACTGACAACAGCACTGTATTTATTATTTTATAATTAAATAATAATTTTATTATTGAATAGTATTCATAAAAATTAAAATACATATTGACAATTTTTACCTGAAATACTGAGATAATTCTACCTTATAAAATATTTAATGGTTATTATCATTATTAGCTCAACTTTTTGAATAAAGGAGCCTATTGTCATGAACCTCTGTTAATGACACCATTTCAGAAAGGCAGATAATCTTTATTTTTGACTTTTTTTTGTTAAGGTAAATTTTTTAGATATCAAAGATATTTACTTTAAACTTGGAGTATTTGTCACTATCAAATTTTTCTAATTTTCAAAAACAGTTGAAGCTTTATGCCTCCCGGGTTTGAGCCCAAGTTATGCTGCACATTTTTGTAACACTAACATTGGGTGCCAAAGGGAGATCATTACAGCATATAGTCTAGACTAGTATGTCACAGTTTAGAACTGTTCATTTATATTAAGCAGAGAAGATGTGTAAAGGGCTAGATAGCTCAATGGGTAGAGCGCAAAATGGCATTCTAAAGGTCCCATAGTTTAAGTCTTGGTCAAGCTACACATTTTCCTCAATAAGTCAAAAATGTAAAATGTGTCGCACTCACACGGTGACACCTTGTGAGTGTGACACATTTTACATTTTTGACTTACCACAGCCATTCCACCAATAATTTGTGAACACTTTTGCTAATAGTCATTGCTCATGGTCAGATGTCCTGTATTGATTTTGAGGTCATTGGGTCACATTTCAAGGTGGCAATGACATTCCTTGTGTAGTGATCAATAGCTTAAAGAGTACACAGCATAAGTGATGGAACATTATCAGGACATTGCTCATGCCCAATAAGAGACCTCAATATTTGAATTCATTAAGTCAAGGTCACAATTATGAATGAAATGCTTTAGTATCAAGAATAAGACTTTTTACAGTTATTTGTTTATGAAATTTTTAATAGTTATTATCATACATGCCATAATTTTTAGACTCATTTCCGGGACACTTTTCATTTGGAGGTGGGGCATTGATCAGCAAACATGTTTTTTTTAATTTACATAGTGGCATACAACCTATGTTACCAGTATATACAACTTGCAAATTTAATCACACCATAAACAAAAGACAGAATGTCAATAATTATTAACAGTTTTTCTATTTTTTTAAGTATTTAGGCATCGTTAGTTCAATCAATCACAGAATAAAATAAAGCTATGTTAAGTAATGACAATTAGCCATGTTGTTTATCTGAGACATTCGCTGAATCTTGTAGATTTTATCACCTCAAATTTAGCAGTAATTTTCACGGTGATTAGGGGATAATCGTTCATTATTAGCTTTCTAGACTAGTTTATAAAAACTTGACAATAAAGTTATATAAAAATGTAAAATTTCTTGCTTCAAAGAAGATTATTTTAGATTTTTTTTTACCGGGACATAAATCATCTCCGGGACAGACACCTGATTTTCGTGACTGTCCCGGACATCCGGGACGTTATGGCATGTATGGTTATTATACAGTGTATATATTCTATATTGCTTATTTATATAACTTTTGACTTATAAAAATATGCATATATACACATATAAATATACCTCTGTGACCACAAATGAAGTGGGGGCATAAGTATCCTATTGACACATTTCTAGATTTAATTTGTTTTTACAGGAAGAATTGTGCCAGCTTCTTCTTAAAGAAGATGCTCCAGTTACAGAATGGTTAAATTACTCAATGAAACACTGCAGGATACAGACCCACTATAACCCAAGGTATTATGATAAAGAAATTCTTCTTTTCCAGGGTGATTTGATATTTCCAAACAAAAATTTGGTCTTTAAGTTAATTATTTCATTACAAGATCAGAATCTGTTGGAAATGTACAACATATTAACTAGTTATGACATAACTAGTTTTTGATAAATAGATTTTTTGCTTTTAGTTTAATTTCTTTCTCTGCAAAAGCTGGCTTATCCAATTATATGTCAATAAAATGATCAAGAACTGACCACCTCCGTGGTTAAGGGGTAGAGTCGATGACTTCTAATCCAGTTACCTCTCTGGCGTGGATTCGATCCCCGGGAGATGCTTTGGTAGTTTAGCACGGAGAAGGTAGTCTAGTACTGGTGTAACTTTCCAGGAATGATGGTAAGAAAACTACCCGCCTATATGACTGAAATACTGTTGGGAAAAGGCGTAAAATGAAACAAACAAACAAAAAAAACATTGCATCCAACTATTTGACTCGACAAAATTGTGCATTTTTTTTTTAGTCTCTTTTAAACAAGATATTTGACAAAAGAACATGATGAATAAAGTCACGTTTAATCCCATTATTAAAAACAATTATTCCACTTTCTAATGCTCCAAATTTTAGGATGAAACAGGCATCAATTGTTTACTATACATTAAGAGGAATTCTTCATCATGTTTGTAATTTCTTCAAATGTTCATTTATTAATTTTTAAGTCTCATTTCCACATCAAGTAATATAAAACTTAGCAAGAACATAAGGGGGGCAACTCTTCAGCTCATACTCCAGCATTTTACTTTCTATACATTGCAGATGTGTTTATATGCCCCCGGGCATATAGTAATTGAACTGTCTGTCCGTCCATCCATCTGTCCGTATGAGGTTAACCTAGAACGGCAAGTTGGATTTTTCTAAGTTCTACCCTGTACCAATGGCTTCATAATTTACACACTTACTAATCCATACAAAGTATATGATCTGGGCAAGTTAACATAACTATGGCTTCCATTTGCACCAAGTTATGACCCTTTTCAGCACTTAGAAAATGTATAATGGTTAACCTAAACCTGCAAGTTGGAAATATCTTATGTTCTATCTGAACTAATGGCTTAATAATTTTCACACTTACTTATCAATACAATGTACAATTATATTGCCAAGTTATATAAATGTGCCATCCATTTTCCCAGTAATTTCCCTTTTTATCATTTTGAAAATAGGGCCTTGTGTGGTTTACCTATTCCGCCAAGTTGGATTTATCAAAAAATTTCACCTAATTACTTAATTTATTTAATGATATCTTTCATATTTGGTAGGTGGATACCTTTGTTTGTTTGTTTCATTTTACGCCTTTTTCCAACAGTATTTCAGTCATATAGGTGGGTAGTTTTCTTACCATCATTCCTGGAGAGTTACACCAGTACTAGACTACCTTCCTCCGCGCTAAACTACCAAAGCATCTCCCGGGGATCGAACCCACGCCAGAGAGGTAACTGGATTAGAAGTCATCGACTCTGACCCCTCGACCACGGAGTGGATACCTTTAACGGTCCTCTAAATTTTAGTTGCGTTAGGCATCTCTGGTCAAGGTCACTTGTGTAAAAAATTAAATCTAAACATTTCTGCTCATACAGCCTTTATTTTTAAGTTAATGTCTTTCATGTTTATAATAGTCATACCAAGGGAGGTCCTCTTCCTTTTCCTTTAGTAAGGGGTCATTTGGGTCAAGGTCACCAATGTCAAAAATAGATTTTTTACACTTTTACAGGTGTATTAACCTTATTCTATCGACAGATGTCTTGTATATTTTGTAGGAACATAAATTTGAGGTATTCTCATTTGGATGGAGGTAGGAGTCAGTTGGGTCAAGGTCACCAGTGCTAAAAATAGATTTTTACACTTTTGCTCATACAGCCTTTATTTATTGACAGATTTGTTATAATTGGTAGGAAGATAACTTACATGGTATTCTTCCTTTGGATGGATTAGGGGTCAGTTGGGTAAGGTCAACAGTGCTAAAAATAGATTTTTACACTTTTGCCCATACAGCCTTTATATATTGACAGATTTATTTCATATCTGGTTGGAAAATAAGTTGCATGATATTCTTCCTTTGGATGGAGTTAGTTGTCAGCTGGGTCAAGGTCACCAGTGGCTAAAAAATAGATTTTTTACACTTTTTGCCCATACAGCCTTTATTTTAAATATTGTTACTGACAAGAATCTGAGCCGGGGGCATTTTGTGTTTAAACAAACAGGTTCTTGTTTTAACATATGTTTTTGGTCACATTTACAAGTTTACAAAGTATATTGTCCTATTTTTAACATATTTTTATATCACATACATTGGCTTATATCATTGACAGAATTTAGTGAGGAGCAGGATAGACAAAGTGTTAGAATGCCATTACTTCCACAACTACTCTACTTGATTAGAGGGTACCTGCTGAACCATAGATGGTCTGAAGCGTTGCAGATATTAGAGAACATTGTTCAGATACCTTTAGGCTCATCAAATACTGTGTGGAAGGTTTTGTTAGTGTTGTTTTGCAGTCCTGATACTCTCCTCTCTTATTTACACCTCTTTTGCCTTGTTTAGGTATCTGGTACAAACCAATCAGTGAGATAAAGTCACAAAAATATGTATTTTACCTCATTCAAAGTTTGAAATTATATCTTATTTGGATTAGTGGTTAAAAGCATCATTTCCACTGGGTTATTGTTATGTTTTTAGAAAAAGATTGACCTTGACCTTTAAATGACCTTGACTGTCAAAATAGAAAAACTTAAGTGTCCAAAATAATATGATTGCACTTACTTTCAATATAAAGTTGCATATAATGTGTAAACATTTACAAAAACTGTAAAATGTTGATAAAAATTGAAAAGACAGTTATCTTTTTACATAAAGCGTACAAACTGTTTAATGAATAATTAGGGATTCATACATTTTAATAAATTTTTGAATTGTTTTTTTGTTGTTTATGTTTGATTTGTTAAGAAAATAAGCGTTTATTTTTGACAGCTTTACAACCTTATACATTATGCAATGACACATTGTTTAAACTTAAGAAGATAATGTTGTTTTTTTTTAATTCAGTAGGCACAGAATTGATGAGTATGGAGGGTGATGAAAACAGAGATTTGATCCAGCATTTGTTTCAGGTAAACTGTTTAGAGTATATCATAAATGTACCCCATTTCATAGCCGAGCTTTATGTATTAATTTTTCAACAAAACAAAATTAGTTTTTAAAAGAAAGATGCTTTAAAGCAGAACACATTCAGATTAGGGTTCATTTAAATAAAAAAATTACAGATTGTTACGGTGTTTAATAGTGTTGTGAAAATTTCCTACACTATGAATATATTGTAAAAGTTTGATGTGTATCAGTAAGTAAAGGAAGGTATGTAGGTGAAGGTACTAAGGCAGACAGGCACTCACTAAGGTTTATCAGAAATTGAATACATTTAATATATCACAGGAATTGTAAAATAAAAATTGAAATGAGCCGCGCCATGACAAAACCAACGTAATGGGTTTGTGACCAGCATGGATCTAGACCAGCCAGTGCATCCCATCATTCTGATCAGGAATTGTAAAACAAAAATAAAAATTGAAAAGAGCCGCACCATGACAAAACCAAAGTAATGCCTTTGCGACCAGCATGGATCTAGACCAGCCGGCGCATCCCAACAGTCTGATCAGGATCGACGCTGTTCGCTGTCAGTTTCTCTACTTGTTACATGGTTTGTAAGCGAACAGCATGGATCCTGATCAGACTGCATGTATGCTCAAGCTGGTCTGGATCCATGCTGGTCACAAATGCACTATGTTTGTTTTGTCATGGCATGGCTCAAATACATTTCATTGTATAAATGATGATCCCAAATGAAAAAGAAATTCAACAATAAAAATGCAAGCACATTTTCTTTCAATGGATACATATATAAAGAAGAAGTTCTTTTATGTCAACAAGCGTTTTTTTAAAACAGATCATTTTGCGTTATTATTTTTAGGGGACATAAATGGATAGTGAAAATAATCAACAACTTAAAAAAGAAAAATCAACTAATGAAGAGACAAAAAAAATCAACTGTCATGATTTTTAGTTTGAGAATAAGCATTAGGTTGTTGCCTTTTTGGCAGTTTTCTAATCTTGTTAATTTGTTGAATCTGAAACTGTGACATCAGTAACCAATTTCTTTTTGTAGTGTGCACAGATTATACAACAAATTTTAATAAATTGAGTGTTTTTTTTTTTTATTTGAATATATATTTATTTGTATTCCACAGAAAGATAAGAGGGGTAAGTGAGATGAATGAAAAAGAAGTATTGATGGAATATGTAGCATATTTACTGCATATAGGGGATGATGAGGAAGCTTGTACTGTAATGCAGGTAAATTCTTCCTTAGTGTTATAGATTGTAATTAGTCCCCGTCCAGTTTACCGGAGGGGACTTTAGGTTGACCCTCTGTCTGTCTGTCTGTCAGCACTACCGAATTAGGTTAGAGGGCCATCTAACTGTAAACAGAACAAAAGAGAACAATACAGTTCATTCCGTAACAATATAGTAAGGGGCCATTGGCCCTCTGTTAAACAACAGAAAATATTACAATGGAAATGGCCCCTTATTCCAATTCGGCCAGACGTCTGTCCGCTCTCACGGGACAGTTATAATGTGGCTAGAGGGACAATAGGTAACTGTTCTTTCTCTTTGATGTCATTCATTCCGTAATGCTTTTATGTGGCTATTTTTTTATTGTGGCTAAAAAGAACAATAGAGAGAACAATAGCGTAGCCACATAGAGTTGATGACTTCTAATCCAGTTACCTCTCTGGTATGGGTTCGATCCCCGGGAGATGCTTTGGTAGTTTAGCATGGAGGAAGGTAGTCTAGTACTGATGTAACTGTCCAGGAACAATGGTTAGGAAACTACCTGCCTATATGACTGAAATGCTGTTGGGAAAAGGCGTAAAATGAAACAAACAAACAAAAACATTATTACTGTCCCGTTAGAACATCTGTCTGTCCGTCCGTCCACGCAAAAGTACTGAAAATATTTTTATGAAACTTGATAGATGGATAGATGGCAGTATGGAGATGATGCACTTCCTTTTCTTTTTCTTCCTATGTTGAAAATTCTGGTTGCTATGGCAACAAATAGACTGAAAATGTGGCAAATTTTACACATAAACTTGATCCAGTGATAACGCAAAAAGTAATGAAAGTATTTTTATGAAACATGAAATATGGGTAGATAGCAGTCTGGAGATTATGCATGTCTTTTTCTTTTCTTCTTTGTTGAAAAAATTGGCTGCCATGGCAACAAATAGGCTTAACACATGGCAAATATAGCAATATTTGTGATGAGTCAAAAAGAGCTGAACATTTTTATGAAACTTAAAATGTGGATAGATGGCAGTATGGAAATTATACACATCATTTTAATCTTGACTATAGGGAGTATTACTTAACAAACGTCAACAACCTCGTCAAGATTTCTGATTCTAGTTTTTAGACTTTTTCACTATAAGTTCTTTATTTCTTAAGGTATATATTGCAAACTTCAAATATAAGTTTCTGGTCATCAACCACATCATATGTGATAAGGTTTATAACTCTAGCACAAAAATATCAGAATTGCCTCCCTTGAACTTAGGATTTTCATGAAACAAAATGTTGTTGTTTTTTAATAATTTCTCTATTTCTTAATGTATCTTCTTCAAACTTCTTATATATTTCTTATTATCACTTAAATCATTTGTGAGAAGGTTCAATACTCTAGCAAGACTATTTCCAGAGTTATGTCCCCCTTGAACTTTGATTTTTTTTCAAGAAATTGGTATATTTTACTCAAACTTCTTCATTACTTATAGGATTTACTTCAAACTCCCACATCATAATAATATGACAAGGTTTATAAATCTAGCATCCATATTTCCAGAATTATCTCCTTCTTAAACTTCGAATTTTTCTTATTCATTCTTTTAACTTTCTTTTACTTAAAATTCAAAATAAACATTCATTATCAACACCTTCATTACTAATTGTTCTTTGTTACACTCACATCATGTGATGTCTTGCATCTTTATTTTAAGAGTTATCTCCTTTTTAAAAAATGTTATATTTTGGTAACCAGGATGTTTAAAAAATTAACTTTAGAGTGTCCTTCAGTCCGTCTGTCTGTCTGTTCATTAAAACTGTTTTCCTGTGATCACTTTTAAAGGACTTTTCCAACAAATTTACTTAAAATAGAAACATTAGTGAATGGCCAATAGTCTTTCAGAATGTTGCAGGGGTTCTAACAGGTAGGGGACTTATGGATTGCTTGCAATACTATGATAATTGCTTGTTCCTTATGATTTTTGTTTTCTTTCTGTTAAACAGTCGGGGAAAAAAAAAAGATATATATCTAATACAATCAACAACTGTCAAATTGAATTGTCAAATGTTTGTAATAGTCCACTCAGCTTTATATTGTGATATAACTTTAAATATACTCACTGTTTTAATGTACCAGGAAGGGGTCAGTAGGTTTTCAAAGAACTAAGGGTGATCTTATATATGTGTTGTTCTGTGACAAGGAGCATTAAGCTTATTTCCTATTTACCTAGCTGTTAAAAAAATTTACTACTGGAGTATCACTTATAAACAAAACTACCATGATGCCTACAGCATTCCCTGAAAGAATGATACCTCTGTACTCCAGTTTCCTCCCATTATATGCAAATTTATTCCTACCAAGCAATTTCAAGACATTTTTCCCTCCCCAATACTACAGTTCTTTATATCATCAAATGGTGCTACATGTACCATTCGTTTTTAGGTATGAGACCACTAAATGATGAAAGAGTTAAAGCACCAACAGTCTGTTGTTACTAAACATATAATTTCCAAACATCTAGAGTGCCGGTTGCACATATAATAATTACAAAATGTAATTGATGAAAATACTAATTGATTTAAGGGCACTTTGTTATAAAAACTGAAAACTGTTTAAAAAAAAAAGCAGTTTAACATGATCAACATGATTTATTTACAGGAAGTTCGTAAACGACATGGGCTAAAGAAAATTACAAGTGAAGAAAGAGAGAAGTATACTGATCATATGCACAAAGCTTATCTTGGATTACTTTGGTATTTGGAGTGGAAAAAATACTTAAAATTACATGAGGAGACTGAGGCTAAATGTGATGGATCAAAACAAAGTTAGACATATTTTTGCATTGAATATTGATAATACGAAATTTAAGTTTCGAATTTTAATCCTCTTTGAATTTCAAATGTAAAATACAATAACATCTGTAAAACATCTCTTATTGAAAAAAAGTAAAAGATCTTACAAATAATTCAGACTGATAATGATTTAATACTGATTATATGTGACACGACAAGTATGTTTAAGTCAGTGAGTAACTCATGCTTCTGCTGCTGATACTGCTGATACTACTACCAGTGAAGCAGCTTACAGAGGCTGCAGCCTACCTTTTTTCTCCAAGAAGAGGATATATTTAGTGTACAATTGTATTCAATATATGCCAAAAGGCCCCTCTGACTCTAGAGCAAAAGAAATTTCTTGGGGTCCATGCCCGAACCCACCCTTGAAGTGGACCAATCTATGCCTCTAGCTTCTAATGTTAATAATAATGTTAATGCTAAGAGTAATTGTATCTTAAATATCTTGTGTAACAAGTTGAATAATAGAGAATTTGAGCCGCGTCATGACAAAACCAACATAATGGGTTTGCGACCAGCATGGATCAAGACCAGCCTGCACATCCATGCAGTCTGATCAGGATCCATGCTGTTTGCTTACAAACCCTATAACAAGTAGAGAAACTGATAGCGAACAGCATGGATCCTGATCAGACTGCGCAGATGCGCAGGCTGGTCTGGATCCATGCTGGTCGCAAACCCACTATGTTGGTTTTGTCATGACACGGCTCATTTGGTACATTGTTACTTCAGGTGATAATCTAAGCCAGCATATGATGAATTCACAGAAACAGTCAATGGCCATACAGATGGAGAACTTTTGTGAGAAGGCAAAACATTGTTTCAATGAGCTGAAGGAGTATCCAGGAATCTGGGATATATTTATAACCAAACATGCAGAAGTACTTTGTTGTTCAATATGTTTTTTTATTTTCTGTAAAACAATCAGGTGATGATTCAAGGCACTTTATATCTCAGAAATGATTTTTTTTTAACATCTAGTTCATAAATAGGGAGCATTTAGAAAGAGTGACTTTGAAGATTTCGGTTATTGTTATTTATTATTCCTGGCATGAACTTTTTACTATATTGCCTATTGTGATGTCATATGGTGTTATTTCGATCTATCATCCTGAAAATGATTATCACCCAGTCAACAATTATTTGCAATATTTCCTAGGGGCACGTAATCAATATACACTTAAGAAAGCAAAATGTTCTAGTTCTCTCCCCTGGCCACAATCAATAAGGAATGTCTCTCCGAGTAATAACACATAGCGATTTAAATAACATTGAAATGTTGGTTAGGTATAATAATTGTGTAAAATAATATGAATTCAGATCAAAAACAACTAATTGGTTAGTCAGTCCTACTGTCAATCTTAATTATATTTATGGAAAAAAGGGAGGGACATTTACTAGGAACTTTGTGGTAGATAGTGTCAAAGTTGTGTAGCTAGATAAGGCTGGTAATAAGAAAATAAAATTTTCAGGTTGTCACATTGAAAACTAATCTTAAAGGGAAAGACAAGGCTAGAATAAAAACTTGATTTCAGAAAAAGAATACTATAAATAATAAATCTGCAAATTTTCTGCCGCCAAATAATGATATTAAATGAATGATAACAAAATTTAAATCGCTAAATCACCGATTTCTACATATCAGTAGGCGCGGCCATGTTTGTGTATTGGCCGTATAAAAACAGGTGCGCGTGATGTCATTTCCCCACACCTAAATCTAGTAGAATCGTAGCGAAATATTAATATAATAAAGTATTGACCAGACAAATTAATTTTGACCGGAGGTTTACTGTAGAGGAGATTTTTTTGGTTCAAAATACGTAAAAATATCCAAAAATAATAAAAAATAAAGAAACAAATAAAAAATCAACGTCTACCGGTCGCACAACTTCAGGCCAGTGATGCCCGTTACTATGTTCATTAAAGTCTCATCTTATTGAATTAAACAATATTTCACAGATTGAATAAATAAACATGTTATTATTTAACAAAGTTTCACAATCAAATAATGCAATTAAATAAACAAACGCACAAACGAATAATTTATTGAACGGCGATAATTGTCATTATTATAAAAATCCTACTAAAACGTGTTCTTAATAGTACCACGAATTTATATTACATATATAAATCCGTGATAGTACATGTAATTAAATTTTTGCAGTTTGATTCTAACTTTCAAATTAAAAGGTGTGAACATATGTTAATATTTATGTACACATTTCAAAAATATAATCAACTCTTTTGAAAAGTAAATTGTTAACATGTCTGTCAACGTATGATGCTGCGTGGTATTTATTTACATCGTAATCGTAGCCTAAATTAACTGCAGGCAGACATTGTTATTGGCTGCTCAAAAATCTAATTTGCATAATTTATTCACACAATTGCTGGTTCTTACTACTTATGTCTAATACTGTGCATTAGCCATTTTAATTGTTCCTAATTTGCACCAAATGTTCCTGTCACACTGTGTACTGACGATTTTTATTGCTCCTTGTATGCCTCTGTGCCGACAGACCTTTTGATCATGCACAATGTTGCCCTAATTGGTTAATCACCCTTGTCAAATATTCTAATGACGAAATGACATCAATTTTTTTATGCTTCATCAGTGAACTGAATGACCTTAGGGGAAATTAAGTTCCACAGTGTCAAATTATACTGTAAATAACAGCATTTCATAAAATAGCAACACATTTTTTTCATTTACAAATAATCGTTTTAAATATTAAGTAGATTTATGATTTTTGTTTTATTGGATTAAAAATTTACGGTAGTAGAAATGCGTATCTGTGTGGGAAAGGGATTGGGTAAGTAGATAAACGTGGAAAAAAGCTATAAAGAACTGGATAAACCGGAGAAAATGCGTAATTACAGGGGAATGGGCAACAGGCTGTTGCTGTTGGTACCAGTTTTGACTGGATGCCTAAATAACTAACGGACAGTTTTGTTTTCATACGATATTAGTCTGGCTGCCGATTTTCCTGCGCCATTCTCATTTTTAGCGTCGCGTCCGTAGCAGATCTCTGCATATTGGATTTAGTTGATATTCTACGCTGAAAAAAAGATACATGACCGGCGATGTACCCTATTCGGTCAGCTTGTCTATCGAAATTATGTACAAAAAAAAAAGGATATAGCGTCAATTTTGAAGAAGTTTTCATAGTACGATAGTTATCTTTGAAAATTAAGCAGTCATTGCTTAAATCATGTGGTGGGATCATCAGCAAGCTTGAAAATCGGACAAATGATAATTAATGTCTCAGCGTCTTCAATTAATTAATTAAAACAATTCAGTTCCATATGATGTTTTCATAAATAATATATAATGTACGCAATAAGATTAAGCTCTTCATCAAGATATATTTCAGTTGTACAAGCGTGTACACCTATACCGAAAGTGGGTGTAACACGTCACAATCTCGGTCTCGACTGTCTCGCGAGAGTGACAGAACGCCAAAATGGCGGCACCCGTAAACTTATTTCTCAAGTAAAAAATAGTGTCTTAAAACACGAATTTCTCACTTATAGGGTTGATGTCAACAGAAAAACTGTCATGGTACCTCTTTTTAAATGATGAATATTTATATTAGACAGGCATCAATCCATCCATTCCTATTCCTTTAATAAAACAACACACATCACATTAGTTCTTGTTGTTTTCAGTTACTGACTTGGCAGAATAAGGAGATGGATGCATTTGCAGTTTTGAAGAACTATTGTGAGAAAAATCCTGGCAACTTGAATGCCCACAAATACCTGTACAACTTTTGCAAGGAGCACTTCCCTGAACATGAGGGCAAGATTTCAAGCCTTCAAGTAAGTTATGACCTATATTTCTATAGAAACAACGTGAAACTAAACTTTAATTTAAAAAAAGGACATATCTTCATGGCTTGTATAGGTCTGTTAGTTACATTGTTTCCTTAATAGGGTAAAGAAACAATTGACTATTGTCTTTAATTAGTTACTGCTGATTAAATTGGAATGTGTTGAGAGTTTGGCAGTAATTTAAGGAAAAACAAGTTTATACACTTACAACATGCAGAAATAATTATTTATACAAATCATTCCCCGACAGTATGCAGCTGTGAATACCACTCTTGACAGATGCTATATTTAGTAGGAGGAATATTAAGTCATCTGGTTAGTGTGTACTAGCAATTGACATGGCACATGTTTTTTAGCTCCACTATGCGAACCAAAAAGGTGGAGGCATTGTAATGACCCTCTCATCAGTGTGGCATTAGTTAACTTTTTAGGTTAAGTTTTCGTTTATGGTCGTTTACTTCAGTATCAACAAAGATATAACATTGAAACATCATATGAACATAATGAGTTTGCGACCAGCATGGATCCAGACCAGCCTGCGCATCCGCCCAGTCTGATCAGGATCCATGCTGTTCGCTTACATACTCTATAACAATCAGAGAAACTAATAGCGAACAGCATGGATCCTGATCAGACTGCGCAAATGCGCAGGCTGGTCTGGATCCATGCTGGTCGCAAACCCATTATGTTGGTTTTGTCATGACACGGCTCAATTTTGTTGATGCACCATGATGACTTATACCTGTCACATTTATTTTAAGGTCAAAATAGCGAGAAATAAAACGATGAAGAACATTCAGCAAGGCAAAATTGAAAATGCTCAGTTTCATTAAGCCTGTCCATGGATCGTACTTGAAATTGTTTAAGGATAATTACTCAAAAGCTATCAAATGTTATCACTATTAAAACTGGAACGCATTTCTTAAGGGCAGATGCTTTTGAAAGACATTTTTGCCTTATAGTTACCCTTTTATATTTTTGTAATTTTCTCAAAAATCTTAACATAATTTTCTATATTCATTTCAAACTTACTATGAAGGTCCAGACAATTCTGATAAGCAGTTTTTCAGAATTATGCCCAATTCGATATTTGGGTACAAAATTAAGTAATCAGACTTAAGCAGCTGCAAGCTAATAAATTGTTAATATACAACTGTAATGTTTACACTGAGGAACCCAACTAAACTAAACAAATAAATAAGACTACAGTAAAAAGCCGCTTTACGACCACCCCGTTTTCGAGACCAACCCGCTAATAAGAACGATTTTTTTAAGACCCGAATTTTTTATTCTTTATTTTAATGGTCGCTAACCCCGATTTTGAGACCACCCCGTTATTCCGTAATGCGACCAGTAAATTCAGTCCCATTTCGTAAATTCTGTACGTTTGGAAACCCATAAATACGACCGCGGGCACTTTCTCACCTTGATATTGACATGCGTGTATATTGCTGAAATCTTTTTGACACGTGATGTAAACAACAGTTGTCCTAGTTTTACGACATATTACGACATCCAGTTTACGACAGAGGTCAAGGTTACTTTGTATCAAACCCGGAAATGATCAATAATATTGCCGATAATTTCTTAATTTCACACCTTTAATGTCATAACTGGGGGATTAAAACAACAAAGTATTGAACAGAAAACTTTCAATAAGTTTTTAGAGGTGTTGCTGCTATCATAATCTCTTTCGGTCCATAATTTTAAACAAAAACGATTAGGTTTTTGAAGTTGTTATCGGCGATGAAAACTGTGAAAATAATTAAAGGTTAATTGTTCGGTGTGCTTTGTAGTAAAATGGTGATTTAATAGAGTAAGTCGTGTCATTCTTTTAACAATAATGTAAAAATATGTTTGTGTTTAAAGACAATAATAATACGTTTTGTACCTCTAAAGAAGTTTAAAAATTTTATAATGTTAAAAAGTAAAAGAAAATAAATGAAAATAAAAAAATAATAGTGTATGCTTTATATCTTCTCATTTGAAATAGGTTAGCCCAGAATTAAACATGTGTACAGTACATGATATCCCTTAATATATTGCCTAGTTTTCTGTTTGGCCAAACTCATTAATGAGACCAACCTGCTATTAAGACCAGATTTGTAAAGTCCCGTCATTGGTCTTATTAGCGAGTTTTTACTGTAGTATTAATCCAAAGCAGACGGAGAAAAACAAACAAACAAATACTAGGCTCATACGGACACTTATCAACAGCATTAATTCATGTACAAAAATACATCTATGCATAGCAGCGGTAGTGAGAAATAACCTGCTGAATTTCTTATATAGACTAGCCTGGCTTCCATTTTTGGAAGTGTCTATTTTCAATTTTAGGGATATCAGAAGTTGGTCGGTCAACAGTATAAAGCCCAGTCAGTAAAAAAAGCAATAATGAATCATAAAATGATACAGAAAGGATCTATTTATGAAATGTGTACTTTTTTATGCTTCATACTTTTCTTAAAATTACATTCTGAGAAATACAAATTTGTATATTGGATGAATATTAATATACTAATTCTGTTTTCCACCAGTGGAGAGTTTCTGAAGTTTGCCTGCAATACATTTGTAACATTTCATATTTATCCCACAACACTTTGTTCATATTCAGAGAATATTTTGTGGTGTTTTGGATGTGTTTCCGGACACTTTATACTTAAAAGTTACACAAAGACAAAACTCTTTTTACAACACTCTTTTTACAAAACTCTTTTTGGATGTTGCTGAGACTGAATGTGCCTTTTATTGAAGGAACATGAATAAAAACTATAAAACATCAGAAAGATACATTTTATTAATTGTTTTACAGAGAGTGGTAAAGCATGTAAGTAAGCATACAAAAGCTGATTTTCAAGTAAAAAGATAAAATATTGTTATGACAAAGATATCATATGATAAGCGTAAAAATACGCTGATTCACAATTATGAAAGAAAGTGATAAAACTATAGATTTACAATGATTTATAACAAGAAAACTATGCATGTACAATGATAAATGAAATTATAGAATATTATGTTATAGCAGCTTTCTAAAGATTTGTATTTTGCTACTAGCAACATTGAAATATTGATATCTCACGAGACCCAAGGCTCATAGCAAAATACATGGCCTCAGAAAGCTGCTACAACATAATTATCCTTTCATTATATACCTATACATTTTAAGACAAAACAAGTTTCAAAATTCTTAACTTCTATTAGTTATTTCAGAAACTGAAATATAGCTGTCAATAAATAGAATTACAAATGGCAGAAGAAAACGTAATTTTTTGCCTTTAATAATTTTGGTTCTCATTTTTTTCAAATGCTACGTAATACACAACTAAGATGGGAACTAAAATAGTCTGGCACTTCAATATATGGTATTGTATTTGTCTCTAACATAATTTGAATTTTTTTATTCGTTGAAGCGTGTTCACGCTACAAGATTTGCGTGTATTTTAGGGAGAACATTTATAAAATAGGTATATAATAAAAGTTATTATCCTTTATGACAAAAATAAGCTATAACTTTAAATTAAGCTTTGCTACATGAAATAGTTACAACTGCAGATTTACAATTATTTATACTACATTTTGTATATTGTAAAAATATTTCTATTTCAGACTATTGCCAAGTTATCTCCCTCTGATAGTTTGGTGCTAGATCTCTGCACTCTTCTTATTGAAGGTAATTTTGATTAATTTATTTTTTCAGTCTTTTGTGTAGTTAGTTTCATATTTAGAGGTGTGCCAGTGACTTTTACCAAAAGTTAGTAATGTTACACTGTGTCTATATAGAATTTTTGATAGAGGTATTAATCTTTTATTTATAAGTTAATTTGATATTTTCTGTTTTAATTACAATTTGTAATTAAAAATTGTGATTTTAAATTTTTACCTCTATTTTTTTCTGACAAGGATTTGACATCACTTTTCAAGAATCAACCATAAGATTATGTTAAAAACACAAATATATTGTTAAAAATTTTATGACAAAACATCTTTAAATATAGCTTAAAACCCTTTAAATGTTGTCAATAGATAAAACACAGGCATCTTGCAGATTCAAGGGGACACGTTAAAACATACTTTACTTTCTCAAGAAAATCATTTTCCACAATTTATCAGAAAATGGACTGAACAAAATCAGAAATTGGAAAATATTTTTGTACATGTGTATATTGTATATGTAGTTGTAGATTTGTTCATTGAATGTTCATTTTTCTCTTGCAAAAGCTACGTTTTTGTATAATTTAGCAATATTTAAATTCCAACACATGTATGACTTTTTGATACAATTTGATTTAAGAAATTTAGAAATTCCTTTGAGGTGGATTTGCATGTATATATGATTTTTAGTTTTAGAGTGTTTACTTAAAAAGTTACTACGTGGTCGAGGGGTTAGAGTCAATGACTTCTAATTCGGTTACCTCTCTGGCGTGGGTTCGATCCCCAGGAGATGCTTTGGTAGTTTAGCGCAGATGAAGGTAGTCTAGTACAGGTGTAACTCTCCAGGAACGATGGTTAGGAAACTACCCGCCTATATGACTGAAATACTGTTGGGAAAAGGCGTAAAATGAAACAAACAAACAAAAAATAAAAAGTTATACACAGTATAGAGAGATTTACTGTTCAAATGTTTATTGTTTATTTAAATCCTTAATTCAAATGTGAATGTTTGAGTATTGGTGTACATCCTCCCTACATGTACTTTTCACACACAAAGGGTAGTTTCCTGTCACATGAATCATCATTCCATTTGCCTTGTTGATTCACCAGTGTCATTATGCAGTCTTCATCAACAGAAATACTGTCTGGTTGCCCTGGTAACCAGTACCTCCAGTGTAAGTTGATGTTACTTGAAGTCCATTTGAAAACTCCCTCTTTCTGTTGATCATTAGCTCCTACCCAGAATCCGGCCCAATCACCAGTACCCCAGTAATGATAAGCTTTAGCTGTTGATAAAACAAAGGTTACTTCATCCATGTCACTGTACTCCACAAGTTTTGCTTGGTTATTTCTACACCACTTTCGAGCTTGGAACCAATCTACTGCTTCTTTCTTCAATATATAGCAGGAGTTCATATAAGGTAACCAGCCAGGTGAACATTGTTTTAGTTTGCTGATCTCTTTTTCCAATGCCTCATACTTTTTCAATAAGCTTTCATACTTCTGTGTTAAACTGTCAGTTTTTTCTATCAATTTGTTTGACACTTCCTGGCATTGCTTCACTGTTGGAAATAGAATTTGGCTTATATTCCATACGAAATTATTGCATGTTTCTAAGCGGTTCAATATATCTGCATTATAGTTTTGGAAATTAGACACCTGCAAAGTTACATTGTCAAGGCGATATTTTAAAGTCTTAAATTTTCTTTGAAATGTTTCTTCAGAAACAAAAATAGTAGAAATTTCTACAAAACACAGAATGAAAATCATAGAGAACAGCTTAATATCCATTTTGGTGTAAATACGTGATACTTTAAAGAAACTTTTCCTCTTTGTGAAAAACCCCGATACTATGCAGTCACATGTTTACATGACGTTTTAATTTGAACTTGTGAAGTGGTTAATATTGTTAATAGGTCATGCAGTAAGTGCTCACTGAATTAATAGTTTGGTATCAAGGAAAAACAGTTTCACAAAAATAAATTAAAAAAATGGAACCATTTGTCTGTCCTTTAAAGGAATAAAGTCAAAATGTGATATTTAAAGAACTGATGCTTCATTGAAGTACTGCAATTTACTTCATGGGATGGTTTTATGCCATTTTTTATACCCCCAAAAACCAAGTTTGGGGGGGTATATAGGAGTCATCCGGTGGTCGGTCGGTCGGTTGGGCGGTCGGTCGGTCGGTCGGTCGGTCCAGACATCCATTGCATTTTCCTTGTCCGGAGCATAACTTGAAAACTAATGGTTGGAATTCAATATAACTACATACAATGGTCAAGCACATTGAGAGGAAGTGCAGTGCACAAGAACCATAACTCTATCTTCACTAATTACAGAGTTATTGCCCTTTGTTACTTTTCCTTGTCCGGGGCATAACTTGAAAACTACTGGTTGGAATTCAAAACAACTTCATACAATTGTCAAACACAATAAGGGGAAGTGCAGTGCACAAGAACCATAACTCTATCTAAAGTAATTACAGAGTTATTGCCCTTTGTTGCTTTTCCATTGCTTTTTTTTTTGTCTGTTGCATTTTCCTTGTCCGGAGCATAACTTGAAGACTAATGGTTGGAATTCAATATAACAACATACAATGGTCAAGCACATTGAGAGGAAGTGCAGTGCGTAAGAAACATAACGCTATCTTGACTAATTACAGAGTTATTGCCCTTTGTTACTTTTCCTTGTCCGAGACATAACTTGAAAACTACTGGTTGGAATTCAAAACAACTTCATACAATTGTCAAACACAATAAGGGGAAGTGCAGTGCACAAGAACCATAACTCTATCTAAAGTAATTACAGAGTTATTGCCCTTTGTTGCTTTTCAATTGCCTTCTTTTTTTTGTCCGGAGCATAACTTGAAGACTAATGGTTGGAATTCAATATAACTACATACAAAGGTCAAGCACATTGAGAGGAAGTGCAGTGCATAAGAACCATAACTCTATCTAAAGTAATTACAGAGTTATTGCCCTTTATTACTTTTCCATTGCTTTCTTTTGTTCGGTCCATAACTTGAAGACTAATTGTTTGAAATCATTATAACTTCATACAATGGTCCAGCACATTGTGAGGAAGTGCAGTGCACAAGAACCATAACTCCATTTTGACTTATTACAGAGTTACTGCCCTTTGTTTCTTTTACTTGTCCAGAGCATGACTTTAAAACTACTAGTTGGAATTCAAAACAACTTCATACAATGGTCAAGCACAATAAGGGGAAGTGCAGTGCACAAGAACCATAACTCCATCTTGACTAATTACAGAGTTATTGCCCTTTGTTACTTTTCCATTGCTTTCTTTTGTCTGGACCATAACTTGAAGACTTATTGTTGGAATTCATTATAACTTCATACAATGGTCAAGCAGATTGAGAGGAAGTGCAGTGCATAAGAACCATAACTCCATCTTGACTAATTACAGAGTTACTGCCCTTTGTTACTTTTCCTTGTCCAGAGCATGACTTGAAAACTACTGGTTGGAATTCAAAACAACTTCATACAATGGTCAAGCACAATAAGGGGAAGTGCAGTGCACAAGAACCATAACTCAATCTTGACTAATTACAGAGTTATTGCCCTTTGTTACTTTTCCTTGTCCAGAGCATAACTTGAAAACTACTGTTTGGAATTCAGTACAACTTCATACAGTTGTCAAGGACATTCAAAGGAAGTGCAGTGCACAAGAGCCATAACTCCATTTTGACAAAATACAGAGTTACTGCCCTTTGATACTTTTCCTTGTCCGGAGCATAACTTAAAACATACAGGTTGGAATTCAAAACAACTTCATACAATGGTCAAGCACAATAAGAGGAAGTGCAGTGCACAAGAACTATAACTCTCTCTTCAGTTTTTATAGAGTTATTGCCCTTTGTTCTTTTTCTTTGTCTTTCTGAACTTATTACAGAGTAATTCAATTAAACTTCATCAATGGCCAACCACATTGAAAGGAAATGCAACATACATGAACCACAATTATCTTTAATTGTTCACAACCATAACTCTATGTTTCAATTCTTTTACAAGGTATTCTGTTACTAGTAACATCCTCATTTCCGAAGCAGACTTGTGGGGGTATTAATCACATTTAGTGATAGTTCTAGTTTAAATTATTGTAAATTACACACATGAAAATTTCAGTATTATTTAATAATTGATGTTATTATGAAAGTACAGTCGAGACTGCCTTAGCGACCCCCTGATTTAAACGACTCCCTGTCTTATCCGACCTTGTTTCAGTACTCCCAACATATTTTCCTATATAAATGGTCTGAATTAAACGACTCCCTGTCATATGTGACAAGCGACCCTAATTGTCTGGTCCCAATGCAATGTTTTGTCTGATTTAAACGACTTTCACACCTTTTAATTGTCCGTTAATCAGATAAATAATACCTATTTTAACACCCAGAGGGCCAAAATAATTAAGTCCAATTATAATCCAGTAGCAAACAAAGTCTACACACCTCTCAATTACACAGTTAACATGTATACAGGTATCGAGTGACGTCACTAAGGGGAAGCATGGCAATCGATGTGTGTGTATTGTACATAATGACCTGAGTAAACTGGATTAAGCTTGTGTCAGATTTTTTTGTAATTATAGAGTGCCTACGGAAGATTTTTAGGCAGCATTTTTTTAATTTACCTTTCTATGGCTGCATTATTAATACGGAAAAAATACTGATACCAAACCAGAAAAAGATTTGGATCAAGTATGGATATGTTTAACTTTTACAAGTATGGATTTGAATGCATCAAATTCCAGTTGATTTATACCCTAAAGATTCAATTTAAATCTTATAACAAAAAATTAAATTGAATTTTATGTGATATACATGCTAATATATATTTGTTTTTCATGGATTCTTATTTTATTTGCATAAAAAAAATTATGAATACCCATGTTTATTTGCAATTGGTTAGATATTATTCCTTCACACAGTTATGTATGTTAAGTCACAATGGTATATAGACAGATACATGGTATTTAAATTTAATTTTCTTTGAGACTGTATTAAGAGACTCCCTGTCATATGTGACCTTTTTCTGAAGGTCCCTTGGAAAGTCACATATGACAGTCTCGACTGTATTCAAATAATGAGATTTTATTTAATTATCAGGGGCTTGGTGCAAAATGATTGCATCTACATTTTTATTTGATATGAGTAACAACTGTTTAACATCAAGCTTTCAGTATGTTGTTTGTTAAAATATTTATTTACACTCATAATTTTCACACACAAAGATTTAAAGTTTCATTCAAATACTGGTTTATACAAGGGCTGTCGTATAAAGTCATGGACAATCACTGTTAAAGAAAAAATTAACACCTAAGCTTAAAATAACTTTGCCAAGTGTACAGGTATCTCCATCAATTTAAAATGAATTAAGAAACATAATTTCTTATAAATATACATAAACAAAAAATATTAAAGCATTTATAAAGAATAGAGGTGTGCCTATGCGTTCAATGCCAAGTCACCATTTTACAACCTTGATAGCATCATTGTCTTTAGAACAAGATAAACGTTCAATGACATTAAAAAATCTGCCTGTTACATCATTACATTTCTGCCTTGCTTGAACATACAACTGATGCCACCCAAACAATGGCTTCTTAAATACTGGTAAAAATCTTCAACAAGCCTGTTAAGTATTTTGTATTGAAATGCTGTTGTCCATGACTTATTGGGACAGCCCTCATAAATGTACAAATATTTGTGTACATCCTTACTTTTCACACACAAAGTTAAGTTTTAATTCACATGGTGCATCATTCCATTTGCCTTTATTATTCACCAGTGTCATTATGCAGTCTTCATCAACAGAAATACTGTCTGGTTGCCCTGGTAACCAGTACCTCCAGTGTAAGTTGATGTTACTTGAACTCCATTTGAAAACTCCCTCATGCTGTAGGTCATTAGCTCCTACCCAGAATCCAGCCCAAGCACTAGTACCCCAGTAATGATAAGATCTAGCTGTTGATAAAACAAAGGTTACTTCATCCATGTCACTGTACTCCACAAGTTTTGCTTGGTTATTTCTACACCACTTTCGAGCTTGGAACCAATCTACTGCTTCTTTCTTCAATATGTAACAGGAGTTCATATAAGGGAACCAGCCAGGTGGACATTGATTTAGTTTGCTGATCTTGTTTTCCAATGTCTCATATTTTTCCAACAAGCTGTCATACTTCTGTGTTAAACTGTCCAGTTTTTTCATAGATTTGTTTGATGTTTCACGGTAGTACTTCAGATTTGTAGCTTGAGCATTACTTAAAATGTTTATTTGATTAGTATTCATTTCTAGTCTTGTCAAAATATCTTCATCATTCTCCTTGAGATATGAAATCTGAGAGTGGATGTTGTCAGTATGATTCTCAACTGATTGAAGCCTTATTTCTAAGCTTCTATTCCACACAGGAGATGTAGAAATCACTGTTATACACAGAAAAACAGTGGTGATCATAAGTTTAATCCCCATGTTTATTTTATTCTTTCAATGCTTAATAGAAAATTATTGTCCTTATGAAAACTAAACTTGTTATGAGACAAGACTCATATAGGTAGTTAACAAAATACAGGAAGATTTTGGAAGATTTTAGCGATTCTTTTGTTTTGTTTTTCTCTTTGTTAAACTTTTACGCTCACCTGAACTAGCTCAGGATGAGATTTTAGGATCGTTGAATGTCCGTTGTCTGTTGTCCGTCAACTGTCCATACTTGTTTGTTAACACTCTAGCGGTCACATTTTTGCCTCAATCATCATCAAACTTTGTCAGTAGGCTAATCTAGGTAATAGCTTGGATTAGTTTGAACATGGGTCATCTCGGATGAAATACTAAGTCACAGGAGCTAAAAATAGAAAAACCTTGTTAACACTCTAGTGGTCACATTTTTGACTCAATTGTCATCAAACTTGGTCAGGATGCTTGTCTGGTTAATTGCTCGGATGAGTTCGAACATGGGTCATCTGGGATGAAAAACAAGGTCACAGGAGCTAAAAGTAGAAAAATCTTGTTAGCACTCTAGTGGCAACTATTTTGGAAATTGGTCTGAAAGTTTGTTTTGATGATTTCTAGGTCAAGTTTGAATATGGGTCACCTTGGTTAAATGACTAGGTCACACCGCCTAGATATGGAAAAACCTAGTCACACTTGAGTGGTCACATTTTTTACTCAATTATCATCAAACTAGGTCAAGATGCTTGTCTAGGTAATTGCTTGGATGAGTTCTAACATGGGTCATCTCCGATGAAAAACTAGGTCACAGGAGCTAAAAATAGAACAATCTTGTTAACACTCTAGTGGCTACTGTTTTGATCCAAATATCCTGGAAATTGGTCTGAAGTTTGTTTTGATGATTTCTAGGTCAAGTTCAAATATGGGTCACCTGGGGTCAAAAACTAGGTCACAAATATGGATAATCCTTGTTAACACTCTAGTGGTCACATTTGTAGCTTGACTATACAAAGTATATGGAGAGCTGTCCTACTTGCCCCGGAGTCGGCGTCCTTGTCCGATTTCAGATTAAAGTTTTGGTGCAGTAAAATATTTTTGTGCCCCCACTTTAGGGGGGGGGGGGGGGCATTTAGATTTACCCTTGTCCGTCCTGCTGTCCGTCCTTTAGTCCATCCATCCGTTCCCTTTTTGTGTCGCACATAGCTCAAAAAGTAATTGACCTAGAGTCATGAAACCGTACAGGAATGTTGATCAGCATGTGAAGTTGGGCACCTGGGTATTTTCATGTGGATATATTTGGTATTTTTAGAGTTAATTGCCTTTGAATTAGTAAAAATTTCCAATTTTCAACTTGTGTCACACGTAATTAAAAAAGTATTTGACCTAGAGTCATGAAACCTTACAAGAATGTTGCTCAGCATGTGTAGTTGTGCACCTGAGTATTTTTGTGTGGATATTTTTAGTACTTTTAGAGTTAATTTCCTTTGAATTAGTAAAAATTTCTAACTTTCAACTTGTGTCGCATGTAACTAAAAAGTATTTGACCTAGAGTCTTGAAACCTTACAAGAATGTTGCTCAGCATGTGTAGTTGTGCACTTGGGTGTTTTCGTGTGGGTATTATTGCCCTTGACTTAGTAAAAATTTCCAATTTATAACTTGTGTGGCACGTAACTCAAAAAATATTTGACCTAGAGTCATGAAACCTTACATGAATGTTGCTCAGCATGTGTAGTTGTGCACTTGGGTGTTTTCGTGTTGATATATTTAGTAATTTTAGAGTTATTGCCCTTGACTGAGTAAAAATTTACAATATCAATCTTGTGTTGCATGTAACTCAAAAAGTTTATGACCTGTAGGCCTGAAAAGTAACAAGAATGTTGGTCAGCATGTGTACTTATGCACCTTTGGGTTTTCTTGTGGCTTTATTCAGTTTTTGTAGTATTTGCCCTTTACATAATAAAATATTTTTAATTTTTACTTGGGCACATGTAGCCAAAAAAAATATTTGACCTAGAGACATAAGATTGACAAATCCGTGGAGTGTGGGGGCACCCGTGTCCTATGGACACATTTCCAGTTCACTATAACTTTTCATTTAGTAAGGTATCAACTTCAAACTTCAAAAATATAGAGGATATTTGTTTAGTTCAGTGTAAGATCGGGATATATTTCACTGAGTAAGCACCAAAAGGGATATTTCACGAGTGGCGCAGCCACAAGTGAAATATGAACTTTTGGTGTTCACAAGGTGAAATATATTTTGATTGTACACTAAACTAAACAAATTTTCTTTTTATACCCCCGCACAACAAAGTTGTAAGGGGGTATACTGGAATCAGCTTGTCCGTCCGTCCGGCGGTTTTTTCTTGTCCGCCCAATAACTTAAGATTCCTTTGACCCTTAGTCTTCATATTTGGCATGGAGGTTAGTCATGATTAGTAGATGACCCCTATTGATTTTGAGGTCACTAGGTCAAAGGTCAAGGTCACAGGGGCCTTGACTTCAAAAAGCTTGTCCGCCCAATAACTTAAGATTCCTTTGACCTACAGTTGTCATAATTGGCATGGAGGTTAGTCATGATTAGTAGATGACCCCTATTGATTTTGAGGTCAAAGGTCAAGGTCACAGGGGCCTTGACTTCAAAAAGCTTGTCCGCCCAATAACTTAAGATTCCTTTGACCCACAGTCGTCATATTTGGCATGGAGGTTAGTCATGATTAGTAGATGACCCCTATTGGTTTTGAGGTCACCAGGTCAAGGTCACAGGGGCCTTGACTTCAAAAAGCTTGTCCGCCCAATAACTTGAGATTCCTTTGACCTACAGTCGTCATATTTGGCATGGAGGTTAGTCATGATTAGTAGATGACCCCTATTGATTTAGAGATCACCAGGTCAAAGGTCAAGGTCACAGGGGCCTTGACTTCAAAAAGCTTGTCCGCCCAATAACTTGAGATTCCTTTGACCTACAGTCGTCATATTTGGCATGGAGGTTAGTCATGATTAGTAGATTACCCCTATTGATTTTGAGGTCACCAGGTCAAAGGTCAAGGTCACAGGGGCCTTGACTTCAAAAAGCTTGTCCGCCCAATAACTTAAGATTCCTTTGACCCACAGTCTTCATATTTGGCATGGACGTTAGTCATGATTAGTAGATGACCCCTATTGATTTTGAGGTCACTAGGTAAAAGGTCAAGGTCACAGGGGCCTTGACTTCAAAAAGCTTGTCCGCCCAATAACTTAAGATTCCTTTGACCCACAGTCTTCATATTTGGCATGGATGTTGATCATGACTATAAGGTGACCCCTATTGATTTTGAGGTCACTGGGTCAAAAGGTCAAGGTCACAGGGACCTTGACAAAAAAAAAGCTTTTCTTCTCAATTGCTAAAGAATGTCCTGTCGGCAATGTATTGATTTTGACATTTTCACATTTGAAGCATGTAGAATACATAACTAAGCAATACACTGGCTTAGTAACCTCAGATTTGGCAGGGAGGTTGTCCTTGAGCTCTAAATGGCCACTGTTGATTCTGACAAAGTGGTATGCGGGGGTATTCACGCCATGATAGTGGCAGTTCTAGTTATTATATGCAAAGAAACGTTTTAAAGACATTTAACCTAATACTAAATGAAAAGCGTGCCAAATAATAATACAACGTGTCCTGTACTGCGCACACTGGTATTTCACTGAAACAATGTTAGAGGCTTAAATTCAAAACAGTGAAATTATCAAATTGATAATTTCACTGTTTAAAACAGTGAAATTATCAGTTTTATTTCTCTGATATATTTCTATAAACCACCAAAAAGCATGTAATAAATGTTCCTTATCATCAACCAGATCTTATGTGATAAGGTTCATAACTCTAACACCAATATTTTCAGATTTATTTCCCCTTGAACGTAGAATTTTCCTTGAAAAATATTATTTTCATGCCCCCCTTCCAAGAAGAGTGCTAATGTCGGTCTGTCTGTCAGTCTGTCGGTAGACCACATGGTTTCCGCTGATTATCTTGAAATTTATTTATCACAAAGTCTTCATATTTCACATAGTGATTGGTCATAACTAGTAGATGACCCCTATTGATTTTGGGGCCACTAGGTCAGAGTTCAAGACCACAGGGGCCTTAAATGTCAAAATGGTTTCTGATGATTATCTTGAAAAGTATTCATCACAAAGTTGTCATACTTCACATAGTGCTTGATCATAAATAGTAGATGACCCCTATTTGATTTTGGGGTCACTAGGTCAAAGGTCAAGGTCACAGGGGCCTTAAGTGTCAAAATGGTTTCCACTGATTATCTTGGAAAGGATTCATCACAAAGTTGTCATACTTCACATAGTGATTGGTCATAACTAGTAGATAACCCCTATTGATTTTGGGGTCACAAGGTCAAAGGTCAAGGTCACAGGGGCCTTAAATGTCAACATGGTTTCTGCTGATTCTGTTTAACCTAATACTGACTGTTTGAAACCTGCTGATGGTTTTATGTGGTAATTTTACTGGTTTATGGGGAAAAATGCCACATAAAGATTAAAGAAAAAGCACATAAACCCAAATTGTTGGCACGTCCGTCTGTCCTTGCAGGTAAAACGGTTTCCGATCAATAACTGATGAACCCTTAGGCCTATGACCTTGCAGCAAAATCGTGTCGGGCCCAAAACTTCGTTACTTGAAGTCAGATTTAACAACTATTTCACAGAGATAATCACCATATTGAATTGACGTGTCACGTGCAACATTTGGGTCGCTACCTTGAAGGTCAAGGTCACAGCATGACCTTGCAGCAAAATCATGTCCGGCCCATAGTTTCGTAATTTGAAGTCAGATTTTACAACTATTTCACAGAAATGATCACCATATTGAGACAATGTGTCGTGCACAACATTTGGGTTGTTTTTACACTTTGAACTTTGACTTAACTCTGACACTACAAGAGGTATACCTTCCTGTGTCCAAAACCTATGCGGGAGCATCACCCGGTTCAACTGGCTCTTGTTATTTTGGTTACTATTTATTACAAAGTCTTCATATTTCACATATTGATTGGTCATATCTAGTAGATGACCCTTTTTGAATTTTGGGTCATCAGGTCAAAGGTCAAGGTCACAAGGTCTTTGAATGGTATAGGATTTCAGCTCATTATCTTGAAAGATAATTAATACAAAGTCTTCATATTTTACAGAGTGATTGGTCATAACCAACAGATGATCCGTATTGCTTTTGGGGTCACTAGATCACAGAGGCCTTAAATGTGAGAATAGTTTCCACTTATTATCTTGAAAACTATTTATCACAAAATTCCGTCCGACATTTTTGTCCGGAGCATATCTCAAAAAGTATTTGAGGTATCAACTTGAAATTTCATAGGTGGATAGACCTCATTGAGGAGGAGTGAAGTGCTCAAGAATGATAACTCTACCCTGCATAATTTTTTAGTTATTGCCCTTTGTTATTTTTCAAAATTAATTTTTGTCCAGAGCATAACTCAAAAGCCTTTGAGATATCAACATGAAACTTCATAGGTGCATAGATCTCACTCAGGAGGTGTACAGTGCATAAGAAAGATAAATCTAATTTAATAATTTTTGAATTATTGCCCTTTGTAATTTTTCAAAATTAATTTTTGTACAGAGCGTAACTCAAAAAGTATTTGAGACATCAACATGAAACTTCATAGGTGCATAGATCTCACTCAGGAGGTGTGCACTGCACAAGAATAATAACTCTACCTTTCACATTTTTTTAGTTATTGCCCTTTGTTATTTTCATACTTCAAATTTTTCACCTGAGTGGAGCATAACTCAAAAAGTGTTTGAGATGTCAACATGAAATGTCATAGGTGGATAGATCATATTGAGGAGGAATGCTGTGCTCAAGAATGATAACTCTTCCCTATACAATTTTTGAGTTATTGCTCTTTGTTCTTTTTCATAATATTTTGTCCGCAGCTTCTCTTCAAAAGTATTTGAGGTATCTACTTGAAACTTTGTTGCTGGATGGATCTCATTGAGGAGGAGTGCAGTGCACAAGAATGATAACTCTACCCTGCATAATTTTTGAGATATTGCCCTTTGTAATTTTTCAAAATTAATTTTTGTCCAGAGCATAATTCAAAAAGTATTTGAGATATCAACATGAAACTTCATAGGTGCATAGATCTCACTTAGGAGGTGTGCAGTGCATAAGAATGATTACTCTACCTTTCATAATTTTTAGCTCACCTGAGCTTGCTCAGGGTGAGCTTTTAGGATCAGTGAATGTCCGTCGTCAGTCCACAATTGCTTGTGAACACTCTAGCTGTCGCATTTTTGCCTCAATCATCATCAAACTTGGTCAGGATGTTTGTCTAGGTGATAGCTCAGATGAGTTCGAACATGGGTCATGAAAGTTTGTTTTGATGATTTCTAGGTCAAGTTTGAATATGTGTCACCTGGGTAAAAAACTAGGTCGCACTGCTCAAATATGGATAATCCTTGTTAACACTGTAGTAGTCACATTTTTGACTCACCTGTCATGAGACTTGGTCAGAATGCTTGTCTAGGTAATTGTTTGGATGAGTTTGATAAGTCAGGTGAGCGATCTAGGGCCATCATGGCCCTCTTGTTTAATAATTGCCCTTTGTTATTTTTCATACTCAATTTTTCACCTGAGTGGAGCATAACTCAAAAGTGTTTGAGATGTCAACATGAAATGTCATGATGGATAGATCTTATTGAGGAGGAATGCTGTGTGCAAGAATGATAACTCTTCCCTACATAATTTTTGAGTGATTGCCCTTTGTTCTTTTTCATACTTTTTTGTCCAGAGCTTATCTCAAAAAGTATTTGAGGTATCAACTTGAAACTTCATAGGTGAATAGATTTTACTGAGGAGGGGTGCACACATAAGAATGATAACCTACCCTGCATTATTTTTCAGTTATTGCCCTTTGTTATTTTCAGTCATCAGTATTCACATAGGTTTCGAATCTGTTATCACTTCAGCCATCAGTTTTCATTACCAAAAGACCTAAAAATTGAATTATTCTGCTCTACTACATATACATTCTTCCAATGAGCAAATTCTTCCAATGAGCAAACACTTTCGGCGGGGGATGGCCATGTTGACGTGGCTCTTGTTTCTTTATTAAATTTATTGTTGCATTTGCAGATCTAGCATTGATCATAATTTTGGACTGAAAGTCCTTAGATCCATACCTCAATCTTTTGAAATAGCACAATTTTATGCTTCATATAAAACTTCTCTGAGGCGGGGGACGTTGGTAACTCTGTTACAAATTCTTGTTCCCCTGGTGTCAAAATTGGCCCTGCCCGGGGCAGTGATTCTCATTATGTACACATAGTAAAAATAGAAAATAAAACAAATTAATGTTTTCTGAATGGGAGAAAGCTTCAGCTTAGATATTTGAGTTGAAATGTTGTTTGGTGGACCTGTATCAAGATTGTTTTAAAATAAACCCTTCGGTCCAAAATTTTGCCTTGCCCAAGGGGACAGTGACCTACTTTCTTGTCCGTTGATGTACAGCAATGAAATTTTGACCATGTGCACAGTTTTAGTTGTAAAATTGAACTTTAATATCAGGTGACCTAGATTTTGATGATGTGACCTACTTTCTTGTCCTTTGATGTACAGCTATGAAATCTGAACCATGTGCACAGATTAAGATGTAAAGAGAACTTTGATATCAGCTTACCTAGATTTTGACAAAGTGTCTTACTTTTTTGTCCTTTGATGTAGTTATGAAATTTAGGCTGTGTGAAATATGACCTTCACCACCAAATTCTTATTCACTATAGACTCAAGTGCATTGATATATTCCTACTCTGATCTTTTATTGAGTTAACAATAGATTTAACCACTAATTTGATAATTAGAACTAGATAGGTCAGGGATCTATGCATTATGACAATCTTCAATAGTATAAAAACAAAAAAATCTGTTCCTACACTACTATTTAATGTTGTATTAATGCGGTGGCATTAGCATTTTTCTCAAATGCAATCTTGTTACATTTTGAACTTTGTCCTGGACATAACTCGGAAACCATAACAGTTATCAACAAGAAACTTTGTAGGTTGATAGATCCCATTGATTAGAAGTGCAGTGCAAAGAACAGTAACTCTGCCTTGCCTGATTTTGGAATTATTGCACTTTGAACTTATTCCAGGGATATAACTCTGACACTAAAAGAGGTGTACCTTCCTGTGTCCAAAACCTGTTTGGGGAGCATCACCCGGTTCAAACCGGGCTCTTGTTAGTTATGCAACTTGGGTCAAAAGTGAAGCATTACTTACTTAACTCGGCATTGAATATATTGTCACCTTTCAGGGGCATACCTTGGCTTATGAGTGTACGCCGAGTGCCGGTTTTTGGCCGAAGGGTCGCCAGAGACTAATATATCAAATATAGCTATGTGCTATTAATAATGATTTAGGGGATATTTAAGCTAATTGTACTACTATTGTTTTTATCTATAGTTATGAAAATAACATCAAGTACATATATTGAGTGTAAGAGAAATAGCACAAAGTCTAACGTATACACTGTTCAAAACAGTATCAAAAGTTATTTGCTTTTAGAAAAACAAAACATAGCCAGGTGTCTCTCTTGTAAATAAGATGGGTTTTATCTCCTTTTTTATCAAGTTTAGTTTCTTCTTTGTTATTTTTCTTTTGCTTCACCATAACTTAACGCGAGATATAATCAAGGAAAATATGCTTTAAAATGATCTGTATGACTTGAATACAAACACAACAGCTTAAATGTTTAGTGTAACAAAAGGTTATCATATTCACAGCTAAAATGTAGTATTGCATAATCATTTAGCTTCCTTAAAATATTTTTAATGCGTATTATGTCAATGGTGTAGACAATAACTATTGTTTTTAACATTTTTGTTCTCAACTCTAGTCTTTCAATTTCCATTTGAAATATTTAAGTTATTTCATTACGAAGTTAAATGCCTCACGCACATAAAGAATATTGGTATAAACAGACTCGCCAATTTGTTATCTAAAGTCGGCGAAAATAAAAGAATTGAAACATGATGTGTCTTATATGGTTATACATTGTTCTCGTTGTATATTTGTCTATGTTTTAAAAAGGTATAGATGAGACTACATGTACATATAATAAAGAATATATATCATTGTTTTCAGAAGTGTTCATTTTTTTACTCAATAAAATAATACAGTAGAAACAATTTTCTGCAGCGATATATTTTCTAAATACTGGTATTCTTTTTTACGGTCAAATAAACAAAAGTTGAATTTGGTTTGTGACGATGGATGATGGCAATAGTTCACTGCAAAGATCTGATTCACAGTGTCAAAACTATTCTACATAATTTGAAATGAATATAAGTTGTATGAATATTACTAACTTAAAAATAATGTACTGATTTATAGTAACAAGTTAAAATATAAAAAGACAATCCATACAGCTAACTCACTCCCTTTAATTGTGCTGCAAATGCCAAGTTGCAAACAAGATCTTTATTTTGCATATAGATCTAGCTGTAAAAAATGAAATAAATACTTTTCTCTGATTTGATTCTTCTGGAAAAAAAAATGATTGTAATATATTGGACAATTTTTTACCCTTATTTGGATTTTGACAAGGATTATTAGCATTATAGCGCTTAACTCAAGCTGAAAAAAAAGAAGAAATTGTTTGTATCATATTGTTACTCCCTTTCTTCATTATTGAAGTTTTGATTGTGCATTAAAAGGTAACGCATATTGGAATAAGGTAACATCCTAAGCATACCGGTAGAATCAATTAGCAGCTACTATGCCCAAAGTAATGATTTCATTTTTGAATTTTTTTTTTTTTTGAAACTTTCTTTATATACGCCTGTGTGTATTGGCGTATCGGTAGGTACGCCACTACCTTTACTACCTGGTGAACTATCCAGTGTCATCAGTAACACAGCAACCTTGTTTGTTTATGGAACTTAGTATAAAATATTGCAGGTAATGTCCATTTATAATTTGTTAATGCTATTTAATTTATTCAACTTTCAGATGGTGATATTATCTCTGCTGTGCCGTTATTATTCAGTTTACTGGATTACTCTTGTTGGCAGTCTATTGAAAAGCCATGGAGAATAATGTCTGAATGCTTGAAAAAAATTCATAAAGACAAGTAAGCACTTATTTCATTATCTGTCTCCATACATACCAGACTATTAGTCAGTAATTACACTTCTTGTAAAAACAACATTTTTTTGTGCTTTGATTTTTACTCTTTAGTGAGATATTAAAATGTGTTACACAATGCTATATATCAATTAATAATTTAGAAATCATTGCGGTAATAGTGTATTGCATTGCATGTATTATTCAAGATGAGCATTCGCCTAATTATTATAACCCCCCCATCCTCGCCCCCCTTCAAAGCAGTGGGGTATATTGCTTTGCATTTGTCTGTCAGTCCGCCCGTAGACCAAATGGTTTCCGATCAATAATTATAGACCTAGGAACTGACTGTAAGCCTAGGAACTTCAAACTTGGTATGATGACTGTTTGTGACCAGTAGATGACCCCTAATGATTTTAGGGTGAAGGGGTCAAAGGTACGTTGAAACGGTTTCCAATCAATAACTAAAGAACACTAAGTAGTAGGAACTTGGTATGATGATTGTTCATGACCAGTAGATAACCCCTATTAATATTGGGGTCAAGGGGGAAAAAGTCAAGGTCACATTGACCTTGTAGGTAAAACATTTTTTAAATCAATAACTAAAGACCTTAGGCCTAGGAACTTCAAACTTGGTATGATGATTGTTCATGACCAGTTAATGACCCCTTTTGATTTTGGGGTCAAAGGTCAGTCACATTGACGTAGGTAAAATCAGTTTCTAATCAATAACTAAAGCACGCCTTGGCCTAGGAACTTCAAACTTGGTATGGTGATTGTTTATGACCAGTAAATTACCCCTTTTGATTTTGGGGTCAAAGGTTATGGTCACATTGACGTTGTAGATAAAAACGATTTTCGATCAATAACTTGCCAACCAATGGGTTGTTGGCCCTCAAACTTTGTAGGAACATTGGTCTTTGAAAGAAGATGTCCCATATTGATTTTGGGGTCAAGGGTTTTAAGGTGAAGGTCATATTGACCTTGTAGGTAGAAACAGTTTCCGATCAATAACTTTACCAGACATGGGCCTTTGGCCCTCAAACTTTGTAGGTGCATTGGTCTTGGCAAGTAGATGACACCTTTTGATTTCGGGGTCAAGGTCATAGGTCAAGGTCACATTGACATTGTATGTCAAAATGGTTTCCTATCAATAACTGGACAACCCATGAACTCTTGATCTTCAAACTTCACAGATGCATGGCCTTTAGTCAGAAAATGACCTCAATGGAATTTGGGTGAAGGGGTCAGAGGTCAAGATCATATTGACCTAATAGACCACCTCCGTGGTCGAGGGGTTAGTGTCGATGACTTCTAATCCAGTTACCTCTCTGGCGTTGGTTCAATCCCCAGGAGATGCTTTGGTACTTTAGCGTGGAGGAAGGTAGTCTAGTACTGGTGTAACTCTCCAGGAACGATGGTTAGGAAACTTCCCGCCTATATGACTGAAATACTGTTGGGAAAAGGCAAAATGAAACAAACAAACAAAAGATAAAAATGTTTTCTGATCAATATCTCAACAACTCGTAGGCCCTTTACCTTCAAACTTCACAGGTGCATTTGTTTTTGCCTGTAGATAACCTCTATTGATTTAAGGGTCAAAGGTCAAAGTGATATTGACCTTGTACGTAAAGACGGTTTTCAACCAATAATTCAACGACTCAAGTTGCCTTGGTTGATATTTTCTTTTTAAACTAAAAATACTTTTCTGGTTACTAGGTCAAAAGGCAATCGCAATAACCTGACCGAATGACTAATTGGCTGCCAATAGGGGGCATACATGTTTTACAAACATATCTTGTTTCTTATAAGGTGTTTGTAGCTCAACCTAATTTGTCAAGTTAAGGTTACATCTAAACCGTCACCTTATTCTTGCTTACAATAGCTATGCTCCTCTTTAACAGTTGTTAAAAAATTTAAATTATCCCCCACAAACAAGGTTTAGGGGGGGATATGGGGGTCAGCTTGTCGGTCTTGTTTTACATTTATTTTACGGAGGATAACTAAGTTTTTGGGAAAGAGGATTGTAACAAATTTGTATGTTAAACCTTAAAAATTTAATGATAACCCCCCAAACGGTTGTTATAGCAGGTATATGGGAGTCAGCGTCCGTTCTGTTGAAAATGGTTTCGGAGGATTAACTAGAGTTAGGAATGAGATATTGTAATCAAACTTGGTATAAAGCAAGTTTGTATGAAGACCCCGTTCAGGATTGCAATTAATTGAAATAATTCTTTGTACACAGTTGATATTTCATTTACTATAGGATAAGTTCAAATTTTTCTTCAGACCATTTATTTTCAAAAAGTCAAAGTTGCTGGTAGGGGTATTAATCACCTTCACTGAAAGCTCTAGTTTGGTTATTGTTCAATTATGTATTATAGTAAAATACTTTTAAATTTATAGATCTGAAAAAGAATTGGCAGCTATACAAACATGTTGGAAAGAAAGGGAGTCTTGGTGGCCATCTTATCACTTTACAAAACATAGGATAGCTAACGATAAAAGATTGCTAAGTGGTGAAGGAAATACTCTTATATATCATAAAGCTATGGTAGCTGGTTTTGTATATGGAAAAGGTTGGTACATGTATTTATACAGTGAAGGCAAGAAATTCAGATTATATATATGGAAATATTCACTTCTTGTGTGCTTAAGACATAGAAAAATATACCTGACATACATTAGAACAGGTAGTAATGAATTAATTTGTTACATAGACTTGTATCATAATTTTACTTAAATTTTCTTCTCAAAAACATGGTATTTTGTACAATTATTCATGATAGCTAGTTATTTTATGATATTTATGAAATGTTATACTTATTGTACATTTGTATTCAGATAACGAATTTGTGGAAGAGGCTATGAAATATTTGACAAGAAGAGAAATAAAGCAGTTAAAAAAGGATATTGTTCAATGTCCTTGACATCAAAGGTCAAATCCGTGCAGCTATAGTGCAAGTCATACCAGTATTGCTTTCTCGTCTGAAAGTGATCTTGGTGGCAAATATCTCTGGTGAGCAGCCAGAACTTGATGAGCAGGAAGGAATAAAATTTGATATGTGAAGACTTGAATTTCAAAAATTACCATCTGGAATTAGATGTGTGAAGCATATCTAAAGATGAAGTGGCAGATTTAATGTTTGATCATTATAATGGAGATACAGTAGGTGATAAGATTTGTAATGAATAATATCTAACAGGACAAAATTAATGGGTGATTCATATGTTACACCTATAATAAGATATATAGTGGGTAATTCAGTATGTAACAAAATATCTGTGTACTAGTATACAGTGGGGCATTAGAATTGTGACAACTATCTCAAGTAACAATTCATAATTAGATAAATTTGTGATTGATATCTGGTGATGCAGTGGAAAATAAGATAAGTGATGGATATTTCTACATGCAGTCAGGGATTATGTATTTGAGGAGTATCTTGAGTTACAATGGGGAATTAGATATGTGACACTTATCTGGTAGATAAGGCAAGGAATAAGATGTAATATGTGTTCTGTTACTCAAGAACCAGTTGTAGGCAATTAAATACCAGACATGTATCTCAGTATTAACTTTCAACCCGCTGTAATTCTTAAATGGACTTGTCCAGCTTCCATTTATGCAACTATCCATTATCATTTTTAGGGAAATCCAGATGAAAATTTAAGTTGGCTTGGCTCTATACTGGTGGCAAAGACCATTTATTTTCATTTCCAGCAGGTTATAGGTTAAGTTTGGAATTAGATATGTGAGAAATAGGGACAAATATTTCATAACAACAGAGGGGATTTTGAATTGTGAGAAATATCTCAAGAAACAGAGGAGAATAAGATATCTCAGAAATATCACCAGTGGGGAATAAGATATGTTACAAATATCTCTAGAAACAGTGTGGAATTTGAATCGATAATAAATGTTAGTGTAATGGTTAATGTTAGTCTTTTTATCCTGTTTACACCCTTGTTACTTGACTAATCAAATAATGAAAGTTTGTTGCTCTTCAGTGGAGATGCATATAGTCACCAGTTTGTATATCTGTATTGGCATCTGCAAACTTGAATGGCTCAGGGAACAACAGTAAATTTTCTTTGAGGCTTAGCCACTATTCATTCAGTAATATTTTTTTCAGGATTTTATATGGCTAAAAAAATTGAGAGTAGCCATATAACTATCTAAATCTGAGGAACTTCTCAGCTTCACTACCAAGAGGTCTTTCAATAAGCAGTATGTTATGGTGTAATGATTTTCCACAAAGTTATGTACCTTTAACATCATTTCTGCTGTAATTTATCTCAAATTTATCCAAACTTGATACATGTATTAATCTACACTATCAAGAGGTGTGCATTTGTCGCAACATTTTTCTGCTCAATGATTTGCCTTCATTTGAAATTTAGGAGAATATCTGTGATGGCGTTAGTCCATATGTCAATCTGTACACGTCACACCTTTCTTTTGCAATTATTTAACCTGGAAGGAGTAAGTAACTTGAACATTGCCCATGGCCAGTAGATGATCCCTTTTGATTTCGACATCAGATGGTCACCATGGCTTTAACCATTAAAAACTTGTACGACCAAAAACTAGGGATGCATTTTTCAACTCTAAAATTTGGTGTGAAGGTTTGACGCAACTAGAGGGGTGACCCCTACTGATTTTTAGCTCACCTGTCACAAAGTGACAGGGTGAGCTTTTGTGATCGCTTTTCGTCCGGCGTCCGTCCGTCGTCCATCCGTCCGTAAACTTTTGCTTTAAATGACATCTCCTCATAAACCACTGAGCCAATTTCATCCAAACTTCACAGGAATGTTCCTTTGGTGGTCACCTTTAAAAATTGTTAAAAGAATTTAATTCCATGCAGAACTCTGGTTGCCATGGCAACCAAAAGAAAAAAACTTTAAATATCTTCTTTTAAAAAACCATAAGAGCTAGAGCTTAGATATTTGGCATGAAACATCTTCTAGTGAGTGTCTACCAAGTTTGTTCAAATAAAAGCCCAGGGGTCAAAATTGGCCCCGCCCCTGGGGGTCATTGATTTTCCCTATATGCATATAGTAAAAACTTAAAAAATCTTCTTTTAAAGATCCGTAAGAGCTAGAGCTTAGATATTTGGCATGAAACATCTTCTAGTGAATGTCTACCAAGTTTGTTCAAACAAAAGCCCTGGGGTCAAAATTGGCCCCGCCCCAGGGGGTCATAGATTTTCCCTATATGCATATAGTAAAAACTTAAAAAATCTTCTTTTAAAGAACCCAAAGAGCTAGAGCTAAGATATTAAGCATGAAACATCTTCTAGTGAGTGTCTACCAAGTTTGTTCAAATTAAAGCCCTGGGGTCAAAATTGGTCCCGCCCCGGGGGTCATTGATTTTCCCTATATGCATATGGTAAAAACTTAAAAAATCTTCTTTTAAAGAACCATAAGAGCTAGAGCTTAGATATTTGGCATGAAACATCTTCTAGTGAATGTCTACCAAGTTTGTTCAAATAAAAGCCCTGGGGTTAAAATTGACCCTGCCCCAGGGGGTCATAGTTTTTTCCTATATGCATATAGTAAAAACTTAAAAAAATCTTCTTTTAAAGAACCCAAAGAGCTAGAGCTAAGATATTTAGCATGAAACATCTTCTAATGGGTGTCTACCAAGTTTGTTCAAATAAAAGCTCTGGGGTCAAAATTGGCCCCACTCCGGGGGTCATTGATTTTCCCTATATGCATATGGTAACAACTTAAAAAATCTTCTTTTAAAGAACCATAAGAGCTAGAGCTTATGGTTTTGGCATGAAACATCTTCTAGTGAATGTCTACCAAGTTTGTTCAAATAAAAGCCCTGGGGTCAAAATTGACCCTGCCCCAGGGGGTCATAGTTTTTTCCTATATGCATATAGTAAAAACTTAAAAAAATCTTCTTTTAAAGAACCCAAAGAGCTAGAGCTAAGATATTTAGCATGAAACATCTTCTAATGGGTGTCTATCAAGTTTGTTCAAATAAAAGCTCTGGGGTCAAAATTGGCCCTGCCCCGGGGGGTCATTGATTTTCCCTATATGCATATAGTAAAAACTTAAAAAATCTTCTTTTAAAGAACTCAAAGAGCTAGAGCTAAGATATTTAGCATGAAACATGTTCTAATGGGTGTCTACCAAGTATGTTCAAATAAAAGCGCTGGGGTCAAAACTGGCCCCGCCCGGGGGGGGGGGGGGTGGTCATTGATTTTCCTTATATGTGTATAGCAAAAACTTAAAAATCTTCTTTGGAAAAACCCAAATAGCTAGAGTTTAGATATTAAGCATGAAACATCTTTAAGTAAATATCTACAAAGTTTGTTAAAATAAACGCCCGGGGGTCAAAACTGGCCCTGCCCCAGGGGTGACATTGTTAACCAGGTTTTCCGAAGGAAAAAACTGGTTATTAGATTGAGGTATGTCGGCGGGCGGACGGGCGGGCGGGCGTAAACAATTTCTTCTGTGCGCAACTCCTTCTACATTTCTCAACGGATTTTGACCAAACTTGCACAGAAGCTTTGTCATCAAGTGCCCTGGCGCATATTGTCAGGGTTTTGCGATTAGATAATATTTGACCTAATTATGGCCCTTTGTTTTTTTTCCTTATATAGAATATATAGTGAACAATTTCTTCTGTGTGCAACTCCTCCTACATTTCTCAACGGATTTTGACCAAACTTAAACATAAGTTTTGTCATCAAGTGCCCATGGGCATATTGTCGGGGTTTTGCGATTGGATAATATTTGACCTAATTATGGCCCTTTGTTTTTTTTCCTTATATAGAATATATAGTGAACAATTTCTTCTGTGCGCAACTCCTCCTACATTTCTCAACGGATTTTGACCAAGCTTTCACAGAAGCTTTGTTATCAAGTGCCCTGGGGCATATTGTCGGGGTTTTGCGATTGGATAATATTTGACCTAATTATGGCCATTTGTTTTTTTTCCTTATATAGAATATATAGTGAACAATTTCTTCTGTGCGCAACTCCTCCTACATTTCTCAACCGATTTTGACCAAACTTTCACAGAAGCTTTGTCATCAAGTGCCATGGCGCATATTGTCGGGGTTTTGTGATTGGATAATATTTGACCTAATTATGGCTCTTTGTTTTTTTTCCTTATACAGAATTTTCAATATATAGTGAACAAATTCTTCTGTGCTGAACTCATCCTACATTTCTCAACGAATTTTGTTCAAACTTTCACAGAAGCTTTGTCATCAAGTGCCCTGGCGCATATTGTTGGGGTTTTGTGATTGGATAATTTTTTACCTAATTATGGCCCTTTGTTTTTTTTCCTTATACAGAATATATATTGAACACTTCTTCTGTGGCAATTCCTCCTACATTATTCATGTTTTACATTGCACATAGTTACATTGTTTGTTGCTTGTATTTGTATTTCAAATACAACATATTTATCTACAATGGTGATAATTGAAAACCTGGTTTCGTGGCATTGCCATGTTTCTTGTTTTTAACTATATGTGTATAGTAAAAACTTTAAAAATCTTCTTTTAAAAATACCAATGAGCTAGAACTTAGATGTTTAGCATGAAACATCTTCTTATGGGTGTCTACCAAGTCTGTTCAAATAAACAAATAAAAGCCCTTGGGTAAAAATTGGCCCGGGGGCGGGGGGCCTATATACAGGTGAGCGACCTCAGGGCCATCATGGCCCTCTTGTTAGGTCAAGTCAATGTCAACGTGACACTGGTGTATTCTTTGTTATATCAGTAATTACGGAGCCTATTATGTATATGAAACAAAATGAAAAGTGTATGGCTTGTTAGAGGCCTTTTTTGATAAGGTCAAGGTCACAATAGTGCCAAACGAGAATTTTCCTAGTCATAGGTTTGTGAAAAATAAATTATAATACTTTTATATTATGTATTACTCATTAAGATCTGATAACATATGAGCCGCGTCACGACAAAACCAACATAATGGGTTTGCGACCAGCATGGATCCAGACCAGCCTGCGCATCCGCGCAGTCTGATCAGGATCCATGCTGTTCGCTTACAAACCCTATAACAAGTAGAGAAACTGATAGCGAACAGCATGGATCCTGATCAGACTGCGTGGATGCGCAGGCTGGTCTGGATCCATGCTGGTCGCAAACGCATTATGTTGGTTTTGTCGTGACACGGCTCATATACAGAATGTGCACAAGTGTGTTGATATGCCTAGTTATATAGGAGCAGGTCATAATTTGATATTTTTAAATTTGCTTAACTTGCCTCAACTTTATGTTTACAAAAAACTGCCTAAAGATGTTTTCTCTTTTTTTTTCAAAAGGTAGTTGGAATTGTCATGATGACAGGTCACTGACTTGGGAAAGATTTTTGAAAAATGGTTAAAAAAAAAATAGTAAAATTTAAAAAATTGATCAATGCCTATTTTTTTCTCTATTTTTGACAGAATTTAAATTGCTGACTTAATCTACTGTTCTAGGGTAAAAGAGCATGATTTAGATACCTCATTCAGGCCAGTTTCTATTTCCATTAATAATTTTTGTAGTGTAATGTAGTCTTTGAACCAAACTTTCAGTTGGGTCAATATATTAAATGTAGTTATACACAAAATATATGTGATTTAGTGTCGGAGTTATCTCTCCAACCAGTATAGTTAAGCATTCAAAAATCTTATCCAGGGCTATAGACCTTGGATATTGGATTGAAACATCATCTAGAGGACTCTACCTATTTTTTTCAAATAATGGCCCTTTGGGTCAAAATTTGTGCCACTCTGTAGGTCACATGTTTCCTTACACATGCATAAACTAAAAAACTTAACTATTCTTTCTGTTACATTTGTGATTACATCGGCAGTTATTGCGAATCATATTCACAGGGCAGTATTTGTAAGTCCTGTTAATTTTAATATTTCTCCTTATTTGAACTATTTCTCAGCGAACACTGACTGAAATTCACTTAAAGTTCATAAGAAGCATCTCAACATAACAGTGGACATTATGCTCAACCTATGTCTGCTATCCAGTTGTATGGGTAACAAATGTACATGTACCATGTTATAGTTATCACTGGAAGATAATTCTTGCTTAATATCTTAACTCTAGCTCTTTGGGTTTTTGTGCCCCCACTTTAGTGGCGGGCATTTAGATTTACCCTTGTCCGTCCGTCCTTCTGTTCTCTTTTGTGTCGCACGTAACTCAAAAAGTATTTGACCTAGAGTCATGAAACTTTACAGGAATGTTGATCAGCATGTGTAGTTGTGCACCTGGGTATTTTCGTCTGGATATATTTAGTATTTTTAGAGTTATTGCCCCTAACTTAGTAAAATTTTGCAATTTTCAACTTGTGTCGCACGTAACTTAAAAAGTATTTGACCTAGAGTCATGAAACTTTACAGGAATGTTGATCAGCATGTGTAGTTGTGCACCTGGGTATTTTCGTCTGAATATTTTTAGAGTTATTACCCTTGACTTAGTAAAATTTTGCAATTTTCAACTTGCGTCGCATGTAACTCAAAAAGTATTTGACCTAGAGTCATGAAACTTTACAGGAATATTGATCAGCATGTAAAGTTGTGCACCTGGGTATTTTTGTCTGGATTTATTTAGTATTTTTAGAGTTATTGCCCTTGACTAATTTGCAATTTTCAACTTGTGTCGCATGTAACCCAAAAAGGATTTGACATAGAGTCATTAAACCTTACAGGAAGGTTGCTCAGCATATTTAGTTTTGCACCTGGGGTTTCGCTTGTGGATTTATCCAGTATTTGTAAAGTTATTTCCCTTGACTTAGTAAAAACCATTTCATTATGTTGTTATTATCCCCCGCCGATGGAATCGGGAGGGGGATATAGTTTTGGCGTTGTCCGTCCGTCCTTCCGTCCGTCCGTCCGAATTTCGTTTCCGGAGTAGTTCTCTGCAACTAATGGCTGGAATTCAACGAAACTTTATGGGAATGTTGATCAGCATGTGAAGTTGTGCACCTGGGTATTTTCGTCTGGATATTTTTAGTATTTTAAGAGTTATTGCACTTGACTTAGAATTTCGTTTCCGGAGTAGTTCTCTGCAACTGATGGCTGGAATTCAACGAAACTTTATGGGAATGTTGATCAGCATGTGAAGTTGTGCACCTGGGTATTTTTGTCTGGATATTTTTAGTATTTTTAGAGTTATTGCCCTTGACTTAGTAAAATTTTGTAATTTTCAACTTGTGTCGCATGTAACTCAAAAGAATTTGACCTAGAGTCATGAAACTTTACAGGAATGTTGATCAGTATGTGTAGTTGTGCACCTGGGTATTTTCGTCTGGATATTTTTAGTAGTTTTAGGGTTATTGCCCTTGACTTAGTAAAATTTTGTCATTTTCAACTTGTGTTGCATGTAACTCAAAAAGTATTTGACCTAGAGTCATGAAACTTTACAGGAATGTTGATCAGTATGTGTAGTTGTGCACCTGGGTATTTTCGTCTGGATATTTTTAGTATTTTTAGAGTTATTGCCCTTGACTTAGTAAAATTTTGTCATTTTCAACTTGTGTGGCATGTAACTCAAAAGTATTTGACCTAGAGTCATGAAACCTTACAGGAATGTTGATCAGTATGTGTAGTTGTGCACCTGGGTATTTTCATCTGGATATAGGTCCTCTACCAAAATTGTTCAAATTTTAGCCCTGGGGTCAAAATTGGCCCCACTCCAGGGGGTCATAGATTTTCCTTATATGTATATAGTGAAAACTTAAAAATTCTTCTTGTTTGAAGGTACAAGGCTTCAAGTTCAAAGAATATTACAGTTTATGCCATGATTAATATATAAATAAAGCCTTATGTCTTCAGTTGTTGTGTTAATAATAACCAGTACTCCGCGGGGGATATAAATTCAACGAATTTGCTTGTTTGTTCCTTGAGTGCTTGAGTTAGAATCAACCAACTTTACAGGAATAATGATCAACATCACTAAATTACAGGAATAATGATTCACATAACTGTGAAGCTATGCACCTGGGACTTTGCATGTGGGATTTTTTTTCAATTTTGTTAGAGTTATTGCCCAAAGACTTACAGAAGTAGTATAAATTTGCAATTTTCAACTTGTTCATGCATAGCTCAAAAAGTATTTCACTTGTAGGCCTGAAAGTTTACAAGAATGTTGGTCAGCATGTGTACTTATGCACCTTGGGGCTTGCTTGTGGATTTATTCAGTATTTGTAAAGTTCTTGCCCTTTACTTAGTAAAAGATTTTTAGTTTTCAAAAAATATTTGACCCTAAGAGTCATAAGATTGACAGAACAGTGGCGCGAGGGGGCACCCGTGTCCTATGGACACATTTCTAGTTTAACAAGATTTTTTAAGTATTTACTATATGCATATAAGGAAAATCAATGACCTTCAAAGTTAAGGTCATTATTGAGTGAAGGTCAAGGTCTGTCTGGTTATTTTTAAGGGTTATCCTTGAAGATTATGTTCAAGTTTGAAGACAATCCATTCAAAAATAACAAAGTTACAGCCAATAATAGCAAAAAAATGAAAATTTCAATAATTTGACCTTCAAAGTCAAGGTCATTTATAAGTGAAGGTCAAGGTCTGTCTGGTTATTTTTTAAGGGATATCCTTGAAGATTATTATGTTCAAGTTTGAAGGCAATCCATTCAAAAATAACAAAGTTACAGCCAATAATAGCAAGAACAAGCAAAATTTGGACTTTTAACCTTGAAGGTCAAGGTCATTAATGGATGAAGGTCAAGGTTAGCATGGTCTACTGAAAGGTCTTGTCCCAAGGGTTGTTGTGGCCAAGTATGAAGACAATACACAAAGAACTAAAAAAGTTATGATCCAGATACAAGTTTGCAAATGGCAACGCCGCCGCGACTATAACAATACCTCTACTTTTTTTTAAAAAAAGTCGAGCTAAAAATGGTAGACACCCATTACAAGATGTTTCATGCTAAATATCTTAGCTCTAGCTCTAAAGGTTTTTTAAAAGAAGATTTTTTAAGTTTTTACTTTATACATAAAGGGAAAAACAATGACCCCCTGGGGTGGGGCCAATTTTGACCCCAGGGCTTTTATTTGAACAAACTTAGTAGACACCCACTAGAAGATGTTTCATGCTAAATAGCTAAGCTCTAGCTATTTGGGTTTTTTAAAAAAAAAAATTTTAAGTTTTTACTTAATACTGTATAATACAAATAAGGAAAATCAATGACCCCACCCTGGGCGGGGCCAATTTTGACCCCAGGGCATTTGTTTGAACAACCTTGGTTGACACTGACTAGATGATGTTTCATGCCAAATATTTAAGCTCTAGCTCTTACGGTTTTCCACAAGAAGATATTTTAAGTTTTTTCTTTCGGTTGCCATGGCAACCAGAGTTCTGCTTGAATTAAATTCTTTGAACAATTTTTAAAGTTGACTACCAAAGGAACATTCCTGTGAAGTTTGGATGAAATTGGCTCAGTGGTTTATGAGGAGATGTAGTTTAAAGTAAAAAGTTACGGACGGCCGCCGGACGAAAAGCAATCACAAAAGCTCACCATGTCACTTTGTGACAGGTGAGCTAAAAAAAGAAGAAAAAGAGTACTATATTTATTGTTTTGTTTTAATTAATCTATCTATTAAAAATACAACACTTGTGAAACGATATTAATTTTTCATTTCTTCTTCTTTTTTATTTTTCATTTCTATGTATCTTTTCATTTCATTTTCCACTTTTTCAACACATGCCTCTTTGTAGACAGATTTATAATAACTTATACCAAACATAACAGAAACTCCAGCACAAAAAATTCCAAAATATTTCCATTTTGCAGCAACCATTTTAATGTATTTTCCAGTTTTGCACAAATCTAAACAAAAATTTCACACTTAACTTCCCAGAGATATATTGAAGAAAGTTTCTAACACAATATATAGTTAAGTCTCATCTAAGGGAGGTAATCCCCTGCAGCAAAGCCACACAAGATAGTTTGTAGATTTAAGTTTATGGGAATATACAGTCTGTTAGTTATTTGTCTGTTATTTCTGTTTGATCTTTTGATTCAGAACTGAAATGGAGAAAAAAAATGTTTACAATTATTCATTTTATATGGTGAAAGAAGGTTAGGGGGAAAAATGTCGATTTGGATAAAGTAATGTTTCAATAATAAGCATTGCTAAAATTCATGAACAGGATGGGTCTTGAAAAATAAATCAAACAAGTTGAAAATTAATAGACAGCATTTTCAAACTACTGTACAGAGTACTCAAAGAAAGCTTTAAAAAACTAGCCTTTACAAAGGCTGTATGCAATTAAAGACTGTCTTGTAGAATACAGTTCATGATGTCATTCAAACCACCTCTCCCTTTGACATTTTAGGGGATATTCACACACTGTTCTAAGACCTGTTGTTTCAGAATAATGTACTCGGTATAATGGAAATGTTAGAGATTTACACTGACCAAATGTAGATAACTGAAAGTGTCTAAATTGAAAGACTCACTGTCTTCATAAACCACAGTACAGTATATATGTATAATCAAAAATTGCCTCATTTTCACGGTTAGCAATGCTTCAGCAGGTAGCTGAGTAGGGATCAAGGCTAAAAGATTAAGTATCCTATATTTATTTTATGACAGTTTTAGCACATATTAATCATTTTAGTATTTATGTCCCTTTTCAGCAGCCAGGGGATATGGTAATAGTCTCCAACCTTTTGTTTCGCATTTTTGTCTGGAGTTCAACTCGAAAACTATTTGAGATATCTACTTAAGAATGATATCAGGTGGATAGATCTCATTTAATGTTGAGTCGTCCTGTGCTCAACTTGTCACATTTTTGTCCAACTTATCCTGTGGTAACTTTGATCCTTGGTAAACTTGTCCCCAAACTCGTCACCTATTTAATCTTTTATTTCGATAGCTGATATATTTTTACAGAAAATTCAAAGTGGAAGACGTGTAGCAAGTGGGTTTTTTCAAAATTTCCCAAATTTGACACCGGACCAAGAGACAAATAGATCTTCATGTTTTATACAATATGTAAAAACACCTATAAACACTTTCTGAACTAACAGACAACAGGCTAATTTATCAGTAGTTTTTTTAGTAAAGATAACCAGTTGCGTATCTCATTGTACAAATCGTATGTCAAATGGTCTGACATATGGTAGGCTTAACAGTTTATTTGTCAAAAGATGACCATGTGTTCAAGTATATAATGTGACAAAGCTTAAATCCAAAGCTTTCCACTGGTGTAATAAATTTTAAAATCGGACATTAAATCACAACAAACTAGCGGTTTAAACATGGTTTATTTTGTATTGTTTTAGCATAATAAGTAAACGATTTTACTCGAAGACATGGGAAACAACTGTTTTTTCACTCAATATACCTCGGCTATGTAAATAGTTCATATCAAAGGTAAGGTGTTTATGGGTGTATTGTAAGATATATCTTTTTCCTTTCTTACATAAAAAATTTAAATCCAATTATTCAGGCTAATATATAAATTAAATTGTGACATATTTAATAAACTTTACTGTACTGCAGTATTGTATTCTACTTTGGTAGTCAGACTATTGTCTCCCTTACCAGTTCCTCCCCTGACGTTTCCTCCCTGACGGTTCTCTCCCTATTTTGGGGGAGAACTGTCTGCATATTTGCAAATTAGAAGACATTTCCTCCCCATTCTTATTTTTATAATTACATTATTATTAAAGTATTTAGCTGATAAATAAATGGGTAAGTTTATTATCATTTGATATAAATTAGAAAAAAATGGATTTTATTGAAGTGTTTAGATGTAAATTAAATAAATGGGTAGGTTTATTATAAATTGATATTAATTAGAGAGAAAAATACTTTAATGAAGTATTCAGATGTTTAATTCAAGTTTCAATTTTGTTAGCATCCTCAGAAACAATAAATCGGTAAGTTTATTATCAAAAATTAATATAAATTAGAGAAAAAAATTTTGTTTGAAGTGATTTAGATGTTTAATAAATTTGTAACTTTATTATCAATTGATATAAATTGAATTAGAAAAACTTTTTTTAAACATATGATAATAATTGATCAATGATGATATTAGTTAATTATTCTGATTTTTTAATTGGATGTAATGTATACTTTTTAACGTGTTTAGTCATTGAAAATAATTACTGAATTATTTACTTGATTAGGATACAGTAATCATAAGTTATTATTTTCAAAATTTCTTTTTTAATTTATAAATAAAAATGAAATTTATAGGCAAAAAATGATTAATAAATTTTAATTGCTAAACTTTTGTATAATGAAAAAAGGAGTTCAAGACACGCATGTATGCCTTAAGTTTGCTGTCAGTGATAATTGAGGTGTTTATTAATTCATATTACTCAACAATCAAGGTGTTGATTAGATTAAAATAGCTGTGAAAAGGTGTTGATGAATAAGTATTATATATTAGTTATTTGGTATTATATATTGTTTCAAGTTAATGACTACATGTTTTTAAATCAATTTCGTAAAAAAGTAAATGTGGAGTGTGTTTGCATACCAGTTGTTGTTTATTTATTTGTAGAACATACCTGTTTCCACCATATTCACTATTTAACAAATGAATGAACATCACAAGCTAGACCTTAACATAATTTCAGGTGTATATCAATCACTGTCCAATGATCTATATCTTTAACAATAAAGGTGTTGATAGGATTAAAATACTGAAAAAAGGTATTAAATTTACAAACACTTTTCAGCTGATAAACATAAAACATAAAATGCAGTTAATATCAAACACATTCTTTTAATGTCTTTTAATAATCTTGACATTAAGAAATATTATTAGAATAAGTCAAAACTAAAATGATAACTTATAAAAATAAAATTGGGGGAGAACTGTCTGCATATTTCAAATTTGGGAGAGAACCGTCAGGGAGAGGAACTGGTAAGGGAGAGAATAGTCTGTCATTCTTCTACTTTAACAAAATACTCTACTAATTATAAAGAGAAAAACCTCAGATTATCATTTGAAATTAAAGTCGAATTGTTAACTTTACTGTGAAACATCACAAATAAAATTTGGAGTGAAACGTCTAGGTGTGAATCGTCTTGGGAGTGAAATGTCTATGGCCTCTAGTTGTGACTCTTCTTGGGCATTCATTTTTAAGTTGTAATATCAAGTTATATCAGGGACTCTTTACCTGTCTTTTTTAATTTGTTCCAATTTTTGTTTTTCTATGTTTTCCAGTATTAATGGTTTCCAGATATAAACTCCTAAGATTGCATTTGCACCCACAACAAATGCTAGTACGGGCCGAGATATGCCAGTTCTGCCTCTCCGTAGAAATGTCCTCATCTCATTGACAGGGCAATTGCAACTTCTCGGCTCTTGCCCATCCGCGAGGTGTTCCGAATGAGGAAAAAGTGTTGTAGTATTACGGAAGTAATCGAAAACCGGACAACGCCAGTCCAAAATGATCTCGATGTCTAATTAGTTGGATATAGTGTGTCAGGTTTGACAGTTGGGCGAATAAGTGTAGAAAATATCTAAGAAGAATTAAACAAGGTTTGACGATTTCGAGTCAACTCGTCCCGTGGTCAACTCCTCACCTTTTTGGTCAACTCGTCCTGTGGTCAACTCGTCCCCTATTTATTATTAATATTTGATAAATTATCAGAGAGTTTAAGATATATCTTACAGTCAACCCGGCCCCAAAATCGGTCAATACGGCCCCAAAATTGATTTTCAGAGAATATTTTATTAAATTAAATTATTATGTTTTAGACGATTTTCCCTTTTGTCTATAATGATAAATTTATTACACACTTAAAAAAAGATTTTCAAATAATGTATAAATAATTTCATATTAACAAATAATTAAAACTTTACCAAATGAAGATTATGAACCATATAATTACTGAAAACATAAGGCTATAATTTGTCGGTTATTTAATCACAGACACTTTGGGTGTGGAGCTTAAAACGCCAGTAAAATCCAAATAAAAGTATATTTGTCAATCCCAGCATATGAATTGATCATATATATCAAAAAAACTTAAGATAAGCCATTTTCAAAAAATTTCAAATTTCTGAACGTCTATTATAGAAAAACATTTCGTAACAGTTTTCTCAGCAACTACTTATCACAGCCTGTTGATATTTGGCATACAGCATTTACACATGGTCCCATACTGTGGGATTGATTTCAGGTCTGTCCCTTATCCACTTCCTGTTTATCAACTTAGTAAAATTTTCAACATTAATGGTCAATGGTTGGAAATTTTCATAACAGTTTTCCCAGCAACTACCGTACTTATCACAGCCTCTTGATATTTGGCATACAGCATTGACACATGGTCCCATACCGTGGGATTCGATTTCAGGTCTGTCACGCATCCACTTCCTGTTTACTGACATAGTTAAATTTTCGACATTAATCGTTAATGGTAGGAAATTTTCGTAACAGTTTTCTCAGCAACTACTTATTACAGCCCCTTGATATTTGGCATAAAGCATTGGCATAATAAGTGGGATTCGATTTCAGGTCTTTTGCTTTACCCACTTAGTTAAATTTTCGACATTAATAGTCAGCGGAAATTTTGTTTACGTAAAAGCACAGCATCATGATATTTGGTATACAAATGCAACCGGGCCTTTTCTGTCTTTGACCTCTTTTTTTAAGTTTAAATTTAATGTTTGTCCAGTGTGTTCATTTAAGCTTGATTTAATAGAATTATAAGTTTTCATTTAAAAGAAAACACAAGAGAAATTTTGATCTTGATATAGTATTATAAGGTAATCCAATATCACATGTTTCACATTCTATAAATGATTCTATTATCCAGTACAAATAAGAAAATTTGTTTCATTAAGAAACTCAATAAAAATGTCTGTCTATCCATATGACAATCCATCATTACCGTAGTAATATTCATAATCCAGCAAATATTCAAACATGACTTCTACAAAATACAATATTGCACAATAAGATATACAAATAAAACACAATTTGGGCGGGCGTGGAGGGTAAATTAGAATCTCAACATGTGATCTACTTGTCAAACAAATACAGAATGAACAAAAATTGTAAAAGCGCAAAAGACAAAATAGAAAGTTGTTTACTGCCTACGTAATATATAAACTAAAATCCACCAATGAAAAAGAGTTTTTTAAAGGTCAAATTCATTCAACCTTATAATTAAGTTATTTTAGTTCAAAATAAACAACATGGGTGAATAATATTGCAGGAACGAAGTAAATCACCAGAAAAAATATGTATCTGGCATACAAAAGAAGTTATATACCTGTACCTAATATTAATTTCCCCAATTTGTATCATAATAATAATGTGATATTTTTAGTCTTAGCTATTGATTAATTGAATGATTTACTAAGTTTTCTATTTTCAGATCAAAATGAGTGTTCCTTATATACCAGGTGTAGAGGAAGGTACATCATTGGAAGGGAATATAGAAATAAGTGCTAGTGACTTACAGTATATAAACTTTCCAGAGGACAAATCATACAACACTATCAATATAACACAGTCGGACATAGCAGATTTTGGAGATGAAGGATTTTTATTACATAATATTTTATCTGATGACGAGTGCAGATATTTCATTGATGAAGGAGAAAGGCTTGGTTTTGAAACTATCAGAGGAGTTAGGGATGACTATAGAAGCTGTAAAAGGTTACAAAGACTGTTCTACTCATTTCTAGATTCCCCTAAACACATGATAATAAGCCCTAGCTTATTTAAATTTTTGGGTGGAGATTGGTGGCTTATTTTCTAGGCCAGCGTATTTTCCAGCTATGTGCAATTAAGTCTCAGCAGCTTATTTTCAAAGTCTTTTCATAAAAGTAGATTTAATCCCTTAGGGAAGTCTATATTTGGTTACTGGTATCTTTTTCGCCTGGGTAATATCTGTCACCTCCAGCAGACTAAAAGTGAATAATTTTAGGGCTGGAGCGAGTATCCGAGTACTCGGATAATCACGAATCAAAGTGAAAAATCGAGTTTGAATATTCGTAAGCCCAGAAATCGTGGATCGCGATCTAATTTTTTTATATACATTTACTGTTACTCACACTCTTAAAATCGAGAAAAATACGATTTGAGTATAAATCATATGAAGTTTTGCCGGTTAAAGACCATGCACCATGATGCTGAGCTAGAAAGTAATTGGTTTCAAAAAACAAAACAAAAAAACTCATTCGAAGAATAAAAACATAAACCTAGTTTATATTTTATATGTTAAATGTTAAGTATTGTTTTTTTTAAAAAAATAAACATGTTTATATAACTAATGTACATATTCTATGAGTGTCTGGATAACAAAAGATTTGTGGTTCGATTTGTGAATCGTAAGTGCTGAATCGTGGTTCGGATCGGATCGTCACTTATCCGACGATCCACACCCCTAAATAATTTATGCTGGTAGCCATTAAAAATTTATGACATGGGTGTAGTAAATGATTCTTGTAGTGTTGATAAATCATTGAATGAGTTTGTGCTCTGTTAATTTTCAGGATAACTATTGATAGTAAAGAATTATCAGCTGTTTTGTGGTCTCGTATAAAGTCTTATGTTCATGACATCACCGTAAGTGACAATCCACACTCTCTTCATATTCATGGTTCACCATCATTGATGAAAGGGACATGGAAACCCATCGGACTTAATAATGTAAGATTCCAAGATGTTATTCATTTATTCAATACTATTCAGACTCTGTAAAGGTGGGTGAGACTTCAAGAAAGGCCTCTTTAAATTCTTAACCTTCTGGTGGCTACTAAATTTATCTATGCCACCTGTGCAACCCAAAATCAGCCGACTCATCCACATTATCGTGGTCAGTCATTATATACATGTTTTTAGCTCACCTGAGCTTGCTCAGGGTGAGCTATTAGGATCGGTGAATGTCAGTCGTCCGTCCACAATTGCTTGTGAACACACTAGTGGTCACACTTATGACTCAATCATCATCAAACTTTGTCTGGATGCTTGTTTAGTCAATTGCTCGGATGAGTTCGAAACTGGGTCATTTCGGATGGAAAACTAGGTCACAAGAGCTAAAAATAGAAAAACCTTGTGAACACTCTAGAGGTCACATTTTTGACCCAATCATCATCAAACTTGGTCAGGATGTTTGTTTAGGTGATAGCTTGGATGAGTTTGAACATGGGTCATCTCGGATGAAAAACTAGGTCACCGGAGCTATAAATAGAAAAACCTTGTTAACACTCTAGCAGTCACATTTTTGCATCAATCATCATCAAACTTGGTCAGGATGCTTATCTAGTTGATAGCTCGGATGAGTTCGAACATGGGTCATCTCGGATGAAAAACTAGGTCACCGGAGCTAAAAATAGAAAAACCTTGTTAACACTCTAGCGGTCACATTTTTGCATCAATCATCATCAAACTTGGTCAAGATGCTTGTCTAGGTGATAACTCGGATGAGTTTGAACATGGGTCATCTTGGATGAAAAACTAGGTCACAGGAGCTAAAAATAGAAAAACCTTGTTAACACTCTAGCGGTCACATTTTTGCATCAGTCATCATCAAACTTGGTCAAGATGTTTGTCTAGGTGATAGCACGGATGAGTTTGAACGTGGGTCATCTCGGATGAAAAAGGAGGTCACCGGAGCTAAAAATAGAAAAACCTTGTTAACACTCTAGCGGTCACATTTTTGCATCAATCATCATCAAACTTGATCAAGGTGCTTTTTAGGTGATAGCTCGGATGAGTTCGAACATGGGTCATCTCGGATGAAAAACTAGGTCACAGGAGCTAAAAATAGAAAAACCTTGTTAACACTCTAGTGATCACAATTTTGACTCAATTGTCATCAAACTTGGTCAGGAAACTTGTCTAGGTCATTGCTGGGAATAAATCGAACATGGGACATCTCGGATGAAAAACTAGGTCACAGGAGCTAAAAATAGAAAAATCTTGTTAACACTCTAGTGGCTACTGTTGTGATCCAAATATTCTGTTAATTGGTCTGAAAGTTTGTTTGATGATTTCTAAGTCAAGATCGAACATGGGTCATCTTGGATGAAAAACTAGGTCACACTGCCCAAATATGGAAAAACCTTGTTAACATTCTAGTGGTCACATTTTCGACTCAATTATCATCAAACTTGTTCAGGATGCTTGTCTAGGTAATTGCTTGGATGAGTTCGAAATCGCATGTGAAACTAGGTCACCGGAGCTAAAAATAGAAAAATCTTGTTAACACTCTAGTTGCTACTGTTTTGATCCAAGTATCCTGGAAATTGGTCTGAAAGTTTGTTTTGATGATTTCTAGGTCAAGTTTGAATATGTGTCACCTGGGTAAAAAACTAGGTCGCACTGATCAAATATGGATAATCCTTGTTAACACTGTAGTGGTCACATTTTTGACTCACCTGTCATGAGACTTGGTCAGAATGCTTGTCTAGGTAATTGTTTGGATGAGTTTGATAAGTCAGGTGAGCAATCTAGGGCCCTCTTGTTTGAAATTTCTCTAAAATTGTCCAATCTGAAAGATGGACAAGTCTATTTAAGATATTTAGTGGGTTGAGGATAAGCCAGAGAGTTAGAATGCTATTTTTAGCTTGATTATTTGAAGAAAACTGGGGCTATCCTGCTCCCAAATCCCCTTGTGTTGGTGTTAGTGAACATTTTACCACAGTTTGTCATTCACCACTGAAGGTAACAGTCATATCTTCAGTAGTCAGCATCAAACTTGTAGGTAACTTTTCTAGACCTTAATATGACAATGGCTGATACTTGGACAGAATTATATCCTTTTTTAAAATTTGAAAAATTTGAATTTTCAATTTACACAACCACACAAGGTATTAATTTGAAACTCAACACAAGTCTTTGAGGTCATCATAAATGGTCAAGCTTGTAATATTAAGGTTAGTCAAAAGCAGCATGTCCTCTTACACTTACAGCCTTTGTTTCACACAGAATAGTTATCTAAATGTTTTGATTAACTGTGTGCCAAAAAAGAGGTAAGTAATTGAGTGGACTTAAGTATTATTACAGCATTATTAAAGTAAACTTCAGTGAATTGAAGATTTTACAAAAGATAGTTTTAAAATGATACAATCTTATTCAGTATTGCAAATATGCCACTTGGAAATGAAATTTTTAAACTTCTGTAAGAATTCATTCATGATTTGATTTATTTTTCCAGATATTTAGACTGTGTAGATATTTTCCTGGTGGACATTTTGCTCCACATTTTGATGGTCACTATGATGCTAGTCCTTCAGAACGGTCATTGAAGACATTCATGCTCTATCTGAACGGGGATTTCTCTGGTGGTGCTACAAATTTTGTGGATGAAAGTCAAACGTTATACAAGGTAATCAGTTATTCCTTCAACCTTTATTTTGTTTGAAATGAAAAAAAAATGATTCAACAATAGAGGATATTATATCTTAGACAAACTGTTTGAATTAATTGTATGTAGATACAAAAGATATGCATGCAACATGGTTTTTTGTGTCTCCTTGAAAAGGTGACATATAGGGGTTACTTTTCGGCGGCGTCTGTGTCGGCGACGGCATTGTCGGCGTCCCCTAAAGCTTGTCCGGAGCATAACTCAGTCACTATAAGTCTGATTGACTTCAAACTTGGTATGCATGCTTCTTTCAATAACCCGGAGTGCAGTGCACAAGGACCGGTACTCTGCAGTTCTTATTTTTTGAGTTATTGCCCTTTGTTAATTTTCATACTTTAATTTTGTCCGGGCCATTTCTCTTCAACTAAAAAAGCTATGGACTTGAAACTTCATAGGATGATAGATCTCATTAAGAAGAAGTGCAGTGCACAAGAACCGGTACTCTGCACTTCCTAATTTTTGAGTTATTGCCCTTTGTTAATTTTCATACTTTATTTTTGTCCGGGCTATTTCTCCTAATGTATGAAAGCCATGGACTTGAAACTTCATAGGATGATAGCTCTCATTATGAAGAAGTGCAGTGCACAAGAACAGTTACTCTGCATTTCTTATTTTTTGAGTTATTGCCCTTTGTTTATTTTCATACTTTAATTTTGTCCTGGCCATTTCTCCTTAAGAATAAAAGCTATGGACTTGAAACTTCATAGGATGATAGATCTTATTAATAAGAAGTGCAGTGCACAAGAATCGGTACTCTGCATTTCTTAATTTTTGAGTTATGGCCCTTTGTTATTTTTCATACTTAATTTTTGTCCAGGCCATTTCTCCGAAAGTATAAAAGTTATGGACTTGAAACTTCATAGGATGATAGATCTAATGAAGAAAAAGTGCAATGCATAAGAACTGATACTCTGCATTTCTTATTTTTTGAGTTATTGCCCTTTGTTGATTTTCTTACTTTATTTTTTCATTTCTCCTCAAGTATGAAAGCTATGGACTTGAAACATCATAGAATGATAGATCTTATTGATAAGAAGTGCAGTGCACAGAAACTGCTGCTCTGCACTTATTATTTTTTTAGTTATTGCTATTTTTCATATTTCATTTTTGTCCTGGCTATTTCTCCTAAACTACATTGTTCACAAGGCGACACATCCGACTCGCGGAGTTCTAGTTTTTTGTCCTTTCCCTGTTGAGCATAGCTGTCATTGTAACTTGTTTAACTTGGTGAAGTTTTAAGTTATATTGAGGACTTTACAGCTTTTTCCAATTTTATTAAAACAAATATAATATATATGCAATTCTTCAGTTAGATACTGTTAAAAATCAAATAGAAATATGGTCATATTAATATCATGCACATTCTTCTTAGTAAGTAAGTAAGTAAGTAACGACTTTATTTAATGAGGCTAACACATTCAGTTTCCCGATCTTCCATGCGGGCCTCAGTATATACAAAACAACATATAATACAATCACAATCAACATTTAGACAACAAAATATGTACATTATAAACATCATATCAATACAATAAATAAGTAAACATTTTTTCCTTCTTACATTATAAGAAGTGACATTTTCATAACTTCAGCATGGAAAGTACAAAAAAGTAGATCAATGTTGAAGAATTAGACATTTATAGGGCTGTTCTAATAACAGTTTTTATTATACTTTTTATTTTAAACATTAAATTATTGTTTCTGGAAACAATATGTACAATCAATTAGTTAGAAAATTGCCATTGGATATAGGAGGCTTGAAATTTCCTCAGGGTATCAGAATTTCGAACATGTATTGGTATGTTGTTCCATACCACAGGACCAGAGTAATTAAATGATTTTCTAAAAAATTCTGTTTTTGGCTTAGGTACAGTTAGTTTTCCATTCTGTATAGATCTTAAGTTAAAGTCATGTTTGTCATTTACTGTTTGGAATTTATTTTTCATATAAACAGGAAAAGATGGTTCATTTATAGATTTATACATGAGGATTGCCTTTTTATACATAATTCTTTTGTCAAAAGACATCCAGTTTAATTCTTTGAATAAAACATTTGATGGGGTATCAAAACTTTTGTCTAAAATAATTCTTGCAGCTCTTTTTTGAAAGTTGACAATTTGTGAAAGTAATTCACTACTGCAGTTTCCCCAAATAGTGCAACAGTAGTCAATATGTGGCAGAATATAAGCATTAAAAAAGAGTTTTCTTGAGTGGAGATCAAGGTACTGTTTGATTCTGAGAAGCAAATAGAGCTGTGAATTGCATTTTTTAATAGTATTTTGAATTTGTGTTTTCCATTTAAGATTTTTGTCAACATGGACTCCTAGAAGTTTTTCAGTGTCTGTAAATTCTATCTCTTTGTTGTGAAGGTGCAGAGTAGATGAATCGGTATTTTTTGATTTAGTATTTTTTATAGAGAAATTTATGGCCTTAGTTTTTTGTGCATTTAATATCATTGCATTTTGCCTACACCATGTGCTAACGCTATCAAGATCTGTTTGAAGATTATCATTCATTTCCTTTAAAGTACTTCCCGTAGAAGTTAGGGAAGTGTCGTCTGCGAACATATCAGTAGTTGACTGTTTAACATGAAGATGGATGTCATTAATGTATATCAAAAATAGTAGGGGCCCAAGGACTGAGCCCTGAGGCACTCCTGAGACGACTTCAGCTGGTTCAGATAAAACACCAGACACATTGACTTTTTGTGACCTGTCTGATAGATAAGATCTTATCCAATTAATAGCATGTGAAGAGAAATTATAGAAAGGTAGTTTTTCTAGAAGAATTTGGTGGTTCACTAAATCAAAGGCTTTTGATAAGTCTAGAAAAACAGTTCCGACAAGTTTGCCATCATTCAGAGCACTGATCCAATTATCAATTATATTTGTAAGAGCTGTCTCACATGAATGATGTGCCCTGAAACCTGATTGAGCAGTGTAAAGTAAATGGTTTGTTTCTAAATAGAGCTTTAAGTGGTCTGATACATGTTTTTCAATTATTTTAGATATAAGAGGAAGTACTGAAATTGGTCTATAATTATTTTTGTCTACCTTTCTTATCCCATCAATGTTTTTTACGGAGGCTTTGATGTTTTCAAATAAATAAGCATTGTATCTACAAATTGTTCAAACTTAGTTACGCTTTAATCCACCGTTCAAGTGAAATTTAAGTATGACATTTTCTGGGGTTTACATTGAGCTCCAGCTAATTTTAGCCGTTACCATGGTTATTTCAGGTGAACTGAACCAGTACTGGACAACATTAAACATAAAATATTTTATCTTTTAATAGTTGAAACCTTGATTTTTACACAGGTATAAATTCTTTGAGAACAACATAAAAATTGTCACACTTATGAACAAATTTCAGGTAATTCTAGATCATCCCTTGTAACAAATTTGTAGATATACTGTTAAAACTAGAAATTTCCACCTCAAGCTTTGAGTTACAAATGTCAAAAATGATCATACTGATTCACCATCTAAAAATTAGTTTGACAAATTATGAAAGTAAAAACTTGTAAAAAAATACTTCTTAAAAAAACTCCGCATTTTTGAAACATGAGATTGTAAATTATTTGAGTGCACAAAATAATTGTCAATTAATGAAGTTTCTCGTTTATCATGGTAATCAGGATGAAGTGACAGGGAAATATTGTGCTGAAGAGAAGAATATTTTATGTTCTGTACAACCAGAGGCTGGCCTCGGAATATTGTTTAATCATCACAGACTGCATGAAGGGGCTCAGTTAAAGTAAGTTTATGTTAACTTATTAAAAATTCTGATTATGCTAGTGAAGAAAATGAATTATGTTTGTAGCCAGTGTAAAAAACATCTGCTTAAGCCTTGACCTGCAGAATTTCCAATGTGAAAACTTGCCCATCTTCCTTTTTTTGGAACTGTCCATTACCAGTTTTGGGTATGTCAAGATGAAAATTTGAAGTTAGTCAGCCAACAATGTAGAGCATGGTCAGACTGCAGGGATATGCATGCTGACCTAGCTCTAATAATGGCAATTTATGTATACCCAGCAAACAAAAGACGTTGTACCAACGTTGTACTGACGTTAGACCCTGACGTTGGGTAAACGTTGGCAGAAGGTTGGATTTGAAAGTTTTTTAGACGTCAGAAACCGACGTCTATACAACGTCATAAAATGACCTTTATCCAACCTTTTCTGACCATAATCCAACCTTTTCTGACTATTATCTGACCATAATCCAACCTTTTCTGACCATTATTTGGACATAATCCAACCTTTTTCTGACCATAATCCAACCTTTTCTGACCATTATCTGACCATATGCCAACCTTATCTGACCAAATTTTCTGCCCATGATTTAACCTCATTCAAAACTTTTGGAATATGATTTTTTTCATTTTGAAGCTCTTTAATAGGGTTAATAAATAAGCATTCTTATGATTTTAGCAATTTATTTTATACTCGGAATCACAAGTACAGAACAAGAAATGTGGTACTATAACAAATGCAAGATTTACATAATATTTTTTGAAACTATTAAACTTGACGGTATGTACTTTAATAACGCTTCATGTATTAATTAAGCATGCTTTAGAAATAAGATAAACAAAATCCGTCTTGAATATTAACACTGACATTTTATATAGCAAACATCCATGCATGTGTTTTTTCTTATATCACCACTGAACTGATCACTCTGAGTTTGGGATTTTTCAATCATCCATCCAACTCACTGATTGTATATTTGTCTTTGTATTTTATAACTGAATCTAGATCTGAATGTTAAATGGAACAATATTCTGAATATTTTGTTATAACTATAAATAGCAATGTTCATGTATCTTCATTAGTATTCTAGCTTCTTTCGTCCTCCTACACTATGTCGATCTGGGGCATACTATAAGCGTATTACCGTCTCCAACACACTTTCTGAAATTAAAAAAAATAAAATAATCAGTTACAAGTGCAAGAAATAAATCACTTATACATATTATAATTAAACGAAATTCTAACAAAACTCTCCAACTACTTAAAAAGATACTTATTATTTTTAATTTAGTTTAAACCATGTAGTTTCGTGTACCTACTGTATATATCTATTAATTTTGATAAAAATGGCTTCGTGAATTTCATTATAAAATCAAGGGTAATAAGATCACTGTATTTTCTATAATATTTTGAAATATACCTGTCACAAAATCTTGGTAGGTTTTCATTTTTCTTTTCCTCTAAATATTTTCATCTTCCTCCTGAACTTTTGACACATGTTGAATTATCGTAATTTTCACAATCTGAAAGACGAAATATAATCGTTTTAGAATTTAACCATGTGGTGGAAGGATGTTTGTCTAATACAATAGGCAAAATCCAATTACTATTAATCTTAGTTAACTCATAAGCGCATGAAAAACTGATATAACAAATACCAAAATGAAATTAATTCTACTCCCGCAAAAATTGATATTGTTATTTTTTTATATTCAATGTACTTTGTACAAATGCTCGTACAACATCAAAGAAATTCACATGTTACTGTCATTTTTATAGATATTATCTCTGCCCAGCATGATCTGGTCTGCTAAGTGTATATAGGACAGACTGGCTTAGTGTAAAAAACGTTTTATGATACGAGCATACAACTTGTTGATAAGCAGGCTAATTAACAAACTATTACTTTTATTGATTTATAACTATGATAACATGTTTTCTGATTGATAATAAGTTGTTTGATTACATTAATAAAAAGATAGCTAGTCAAATACAATGTGCTTTCAGATATATCTTACCAAAGTCGTATCATTTACATGTATCAAATGCAATGAATCATTATCATAATATAAGATACACATGGTATGAAAGTACTTCAATTAACAACGAGTAGTTTAACAACTACACAGATATCAAAATCAAACTGCATCAGATACATGTGTAAATGACTGGCCCCTCATAAAATGGGAAATTCATGTTGATAAGAAATAAGAGGAAATTTTATTTACCAGCATTTGAATAATAAGAGTCTTACGTACTGCATTTAACTTTTTATTGATTTCAATTGCTAGGATACTTCCTACCATTGATTGTGCATTTATTTGGCATGGTGATATAGTGTGGGAAAAATTATCCGATTATACAGACTGTTCTATAGCAAATGATAAAGTGTTCTTACGTGGAAACAAAAATATTTATCTCGCGAAATCACGTTACATTAAGTTTTACCAGTCAAACATTTCAATGATCAAATAACCATCGAATCCATGCAAACATGCGGTAAATTAGCATTGAAAAACAATTATAATGTTTGCCTACCTTTTTCTTTTGTTTGGAATATACAACTTTGTCTGTCAACCCGTCGTTTTTTTTGTCCGCCAATACAATTGAATTTCAAATCCGATAAGTCGCAAATTCGAATTTACTAAATTATTTACCACTATAAAATGAAGCCCTCAAAAATGATAACAGCTTTATTGTAAATTATATAAACACTTCTTAGACTAATTCGAGGAGATAAGATATTATTTAAACGAAAATAGAGCAAATATATTTCATACTGATCTGCGACTATCCGTTTACAGAGCGCCACCTATCGAATATCGTACGTTAGCCACCCACGTGATACTGTTGTTTTGATGGAGAAAATAAATATATAATGTTCCCTTTCTAAACTTAAACTTAAAATTCTTGCTGTTTATGCTTTCATTAACCAGGTTTTCCGAAGGAAAAAACTGGTTATTAGATTGAGGTATGTCGGCGGGCGGATGGGCGGGCGGACGGGCGGGCGGGCGGACGGGCGTTAACAATTTCTTCTGTGCGCAACTCCTCCTACATTTCTCAACGGATTTTGACCAAACTTTCACTGAAGCTTTGTCATCAAGTGCCCTGGCGCATATTGTCGGGGTTTTGCCATTGGATAATATTTGACCTAATTATGGCCCTTTGTTGTTTTTTCTTATATAGAATATATAGTGAACAATTTCTTCTGTGCGCAACTCCTCCATCATTTCTCAACGGATTTTGACCAAACTTTCACAGAAGCTTTGTCATCAAGTGCCCTGGCACATATTGTCGGGGTTTTGCTATTGGATAATATTTGACCTAATTATGGCCCTTTGTTGTTTTTTCTTATATAGAATATAAAGTGAACAATTTCTTCTGTGCGCAACTCCTCCATCATTTCTCAACGGATTTTGACCAAACTTTCACAGAAGCTTTGTCATCAAGTGCCCTGGCACATATTGTCGGGGTTTTGCCATTGGATAATATTTGACCTAATTATGGCCCTTTGTTGTTTTTTCTTATATAGAATATATAGTGAACAATTTCTTCTGTGCGCAACTCCTCCATCATTTCTCAACGGATTTTGACCAAACTTTCACAGAAGCTTTGTCATCAAGTGCCCTGGCGCATATTGTCGGGGTTTTGCCATTGGATAATATTTGACCTAATTATGGCCCTTTGTTGTTTTTTCTTATATAGAATATATAGTGAACAATTTCTTCTGTGCGCAACTCCTCCATCATTTCTCAACGGATTTTGACCAAACTTTCACAGAAGCTTTGTCATCAAGTGCCCTGGCACATATTGTCCGGGTTTTGCTATTGGATAATATTTGACCTAATTATGGCCCTTTGTTGTTTTTTCTTATATAGAATATAAAGTGAACAATTTCTTCTGTGCGCAACTCCTCCATCATTTCTCAACGGATTTTGACCAAACTTTCACAGAAGCTTTGTCATCAAGTGCCCTGGCACATATTGTCGGGGTTTTGCCATTGGATAATATTTGACCTAATTATGGCCCTTTGTTGTTTTTTCTTATATAGAATATATAGTGAACAATTTCTTCTGTGCGCAACTCCTCCTATATTTTTCTACGGATTTTGACCAAACTTTCACTGAAGCTTTGTCATCAAGTGCCCTGGCGCATATTGTCGGGGTTTTGCCATTGGATAATATTTGACCTAATTATGGCCCTTTGTTGTTTTTTCTTATATAGAATATATAGTGAACAATTTCTTCTGTGCGCAACTCCTCCTACATTTCTCAACGGATTTTGACCAAACTTTCACAGAAGCTTTGTTATCAAGTGCCCTGGCACATATTGTCGGGGTTTTGTGATTGGATAATATTTGATGTAATTATGGCCCTTTGTTTTTTTCCTTATACAGAATATATAGTGAACAATTTCTACCGTGGGCAACTTCTCCTACATTTCTTTAAGGATTTTAACCAAACTTTCACAGAAGCTTTGTTATCAAGTGTCCTGGCGCATATTGTCAGGGTTTTGTGATTGGATAATATTTGACCTAATTATGCCCCTTTGTTTTTTTTCCTTATACAGAATTATCAATATGTAGTGAACAAATTCTTCTGTGCTGAACTTCAACTTGTTCTACATTTCTCAACAGATTTTGTTCATACTTTCACAGAAGCTTTGTCATCATGTGCCCTGGCGCATATTGTAGAGGTTTTGTGATTGGATAATTTTTTACCTAATTATGGCCCTTTGTTTTTTTTTCCTTATACAGAATACATTTTTTCCTTATTCAGAATATACAGTGAACACTTCTTCTGTGGCAATTCCTCCTACATTATTCATGTTTTACATTGCACATAGTTACATTGTTTATTGCTTGCATTTGTATTACAAATACAACATATTTATCTACAATGGAGATAATTGAAAACCTGGTTTTGTGGCATTGCCATGTTTCTTGTTTATATATATATTGGTTTCATAAATTAAATTCACCTATTGTCAGATTACCGACCAAAACCCGACGTCGAATCGACGTCAAAATGAAACGTCTGTTAGACGTCGGGGATTCAACGTCGATTTGACGTTGTATGAAGGTCACCGACGTCGCGACCAAAATTCAACGTTGATCCAACGTTGGGTCAACGTCGGGTGTTTGCTGGGTAAATAGGATGCTAGGCCAACAGAATCCCCAGCTAGAAATCACCGGGATTGTCTTGAAATCCAGGGACCCTAACCTTGTTAATGTCAAAACATGCTTGCAATACAGGATTGATTTGCAGGTGTGGCTTATATCATGACTAGAGTTCAGTGTTGGATTTCAGCTTGAACTGACACTGTTTCCTGCAGGGTGTAAAGACTGAATGCCATGGTCAATAAATATGTCAAGTTGAGCCTTGCAAGGATTAAATGATTTGATGCCAATTGTATTAGGAATATTTACCATTTATCCTTTAGTTCTTAGTTAAAGGTAGAATGAAATTGTATATTGTATGATGATGATATATATATTTCAGGGATGGTGTGAAGTATATATTACGTACAGATATCATGTTTAAAAATGTAGATCAGAAACTTAGTGAAGAATACATAAAAGCTGTTAAACTTTTACAACAGGCAGAAACTTTAGAGGTAAGATACTTGAAATTGTCTTTTCTTGTTGATATATGTTTTCAATTTTCTTTTAAGTTAAATTTTATATCATTTCTGCAAGATCTGAGAAATTTGCATACCTTGAACTGGACTTTGTACTTGTTTATTCTCAACTAGTTTGCAGTGTACATTATAATTTGTTGTTTTTTTGTTATTTTTCGAAGATAAAATTCTTTTTATTTTTTGTTGGTCTTTGAAGTATTGTGTCAAGCAGTTGTGACTTGAATAAAAGAGAGAACATCTCTTTACCAAACCATCTTACTTACCCGTATGTTGATACAATCAACTGTTTAAAAAAAGAGTAATACATTTGTAATAAATGATAAATTTCTATTTTTAGAATGGAGGAGAGTGTATGAAAGCTGTAGAGTTTTACAGACAGGCATTTAAACTTGCCCCAGAGCTGGAGAATTCTCATTAACAGGACTGTCATTAACGAAGGTGTTTTGTGTTCAAAACAAAATCTTTACCTGCGTAAATATTGGATTCTTACATTTTAATACTTGATCAGAAACTACAAGATCTTCTGATCATAAAATAACACAGTGACTTTATAAATACTTGTCCATTTACTATCAGTTCCAAAGAAAATACCCTTTTCCGAAGTATGGTAAAGCTGTGTTGTTGAAAAATTTTCATAACCTGATAATATTGGATAGTGATAATAGAGGTGGAATAGTTGCAATATAAACTACAAACACAAAAAGTGAAAGATTTCCACATAACATAGCTGGAAGTATAAGGATATATGGTTATCTGTTGAAATTCTTTATGTCACATTGTTCAGATATAATTTTTCTGATTGTGATCAATTGTGTGAAAATAACTTGCGTATGTTTTTGAATATTGAACAGTAAAGAAGCTTACTGCCAGGTTCATTCGATGAAAATTAGATGTTGTTAAGTTAACAAAGTGATATAAGATGATTGTTAGGCACATACTATACATGGAAGTTACTGTATGTGGTAATATGTCAAAATATGTATACAAAGCTATTACTATTTTGGTGACAGGACAGAAATATTGTGATAGAAAGGGTAAATATGATCGTACATTGCATGAAATAAGCAAAGTATCACATTGATTATGATTATTTTTACATTTATAAAACACTCTAAATAATTTTTCTTTAGTACGATTTTTTTAAAGTTGTTAACTCGTCTAGAGATACATTGTAAGCTGCTGTAATTGTTTTAATGGTTATAAAGCATTATTTGATAAAAAAATTTCATAAAATTTATATACATGTACATTAAAATTATTTTGTTTCAACATTTTATGGATGTCTCTCAAACTGTTGTCTCTCTTATTTAACACACATGAATATTGTACATAAACATACTTCCGGCACAAGATGTCATGCTGCTAAAGATATTATACTCATTTTTTCTTTGTCATTATGCTGATTTACATGTTAAATATATTTTTATGTGCATATTTTTATCATTCTAGAATAGGTGTTTTTATACAGCATTTACATTCTGTGATATATTTTATCTTTAAATATTGTTATCATATTTCCCATGCTTCATAATAAAATATTGAAAAGTTGTGTTTATAGTTTTTGCTGAAAGCTACCTCTCTCCATCAATTTAATTTTGAGATTTGTGTGGTCTGCTACAGTAGCATTCTATTGAACAAAAGAAAATAACAATAGAAATGACCCTTTATCCCAATTGGTTGCATGTCCATCTGCTGTCAGTCCATCATAAAACTTGTCCGGACTACTCCTAAAAAATATTGGTGAAGTTTCATCCAAAATATACAGGACATATCAATGCCAAAAGTCTAGTTGTGCGAGTTATGGCCCTTTAATGATTTTTATGCTCCTGCCATAAAATGGCTTGGGCATATAGTGTTACCCCGTTCCGTCATTCCATCATCATCAGTTTCCATTTATTATCTTGGTAACGGTTGCACACATTCAACTCAAATTTGACATGGAGATATATCATGGTCATTTTAGGCAGAGTTTTGCCCCTTAATAAAATTTTCAGTTCCATTCATTATCTCCCCAATGGTAGTACACATTCAACTCAAGTTTGACATATGGATATGTATAAGAAATGCGCAGGTCAAGTTAGAATTTGGTCATGGTTTCATGATTTTTGGCAGAGTTATGCTCCTGTCACTCTGAGAAAAATAAGAAATTTTCAGTTTCTGTTCATTATCTCCCTAACAATGAACACATTCAACTTAAATTTGACATATGGATATGTATAAGGAATGTACAGGTCAAGTTAGAATTTGGTTATGGATTGATGATTTTTGCAGAATTATGCCCTTTAACCTTCCCCTTATATAAGCGTGTTTCGATGGCTTTTGCCCCCCCCCCCCCCTTTTTGAGGCCTCAAACAGTGAAAAAATGCCCTATTTAGGCCCCAAACACTGTTTTTCGTTTGAGAAATGTTGTTAAAAAAGTGACCACTTTTTCGGCGCTGTCCCCCATCCAAATATTACATCAGGGGGTTGCCAGAAGGGGGATGTGCCCCCTTCTGTTTGGGGGGTTTGAAGGGGGACGGAGTCCCCCTCATCGCCAAGAAAATTTTGGACATGTGACAGGCTAAAAATGGCCTCAGGTTGATCTTAGGGTAACAAGTAACCTACGCTGAAAAGCCTTTTACTCTATGTCAATTCATTGAGAAGTTGCAGCACTTTGAAATCAGTTTTGATGGAAAAAAACAATGCAAAATAGTGATTTTTTACAATTTTGAGACGTCCCCCTGTTGCCATGGTAACAGGAAATTTACCATTGAGCATGCTGTTACAGAGGCTATGGTGTAGTCGACATTTGTGCCAAGTTTCATTAGTATTGAAGCATTTTTTATTGTTTCATAGCAGTTTGAACTTGTTACAGGAGGCTTTTCAATGAAAACGGCCATTTTTCGCAAAATGCTCATGGGGTAAAAGGTTAACTTAAAGAAAAATAAGAAATTTTCAGTTTCCATTCATTATCTCCCCAACAGTTATGCAAATTCAACTCCAATTTAAGATATGTGAAAGCGCTTTGTTGAAAATAGCTTTGTTTATGATAAAAGAGCTTTGTTTATGATAAAAGAGAGGTTTGTTTATGATAAAAGAGAGCTTTGTGTATGATAAGAGAGGTTTGTTTATGATAAAAGAGAGGTTTGTTTATGAGAAAAGAGAGGTTTGTGTATGATAAGAGAGGTTTGTTTATGATAAAAGAGGTTTGTTTATGATAAAAGAGAGCTTTGCGTATGATAAGAGAGGTTTGTTTATGATAAAAGAGAGCTTTGTTTATGATAAAAGAGAGCTTTGTTTATGATAAAAGAGAGGTTTGTTTATGATAAAAGAGAGGTTTGTTTATGATAAAAGAGAGCTTTGTTTATGATAAAAGAGCTTTGTGTATGATAAGAGAGCTTTGTTTATGATAAAAGAGAGCTTTGTGTATGATAAGAGAGGTTTGTTTATGATAAGAGAGGTTTGTTTATGATAAAAGAGAGCTTTGTGTATGATAAGAGAGGTTTGTGTATGATAAGAGAGGTTTGTTTATGATAAAAGAGAGGTTTGTTTATGATAAAAGAGAGCTTTGTGTATGATAAGAGATTTGTGTATGATAAGAGAGGTTTGTTTATGATAAAAGAGAGGTTTGTGTATGATAAGAGAGGTTTGTGTATGATAAGAGAGCTTTGTGTATGATAAGGGAGCTTTGTGTATGATAAGAGGTTTGTTTATGATAAAAGAGAGCTTTGTGTATGATAAGAGAGGTTTGTTTATGATAAAAGAGAGCTTTGTGTATGATAGAGAGCTTTGTTTATGATAAAAGAGAGCTTTGTTTATGATAAGAGAGGTTTGTTTATGATAAAAGAGAGCTTTGTTTATGATAGAAGAGAGCTTTGTGTATGATAAGAGAGGTTTGTTTATGATAGAAAAGAGCTTTGGCTATGATAAACAGGTCATCAGGATTAGCCCTGTAAAGAGACAGCTCTGTAGATAAAATTTTCAATTCTTCACTGTCATAAGATACCTTAATGTAAGACCTGTTCCTTATTTGCATTACTATGAAAGAGGTCTTGCTTTTAGTAAACATTATCATAACTTACACTATCTTAGTGAGCTTTCTTTATGATTGAGTGCTTGTTGGAGGATTCTGTGTGTGATCTAGTACTGATAAAACTCCTCATACCAGTTATGTCATGCTTTGCTATTTCAAACACTGACATCACTATAATTCTAATGCAGTACATTTAACATTTATGTATATCCAGCTAAAATGAATACAGCCTTTACTGAATTTGAAGCCAACTGCAAGTTCTATAATGGAACTGTTTCTTGATTTTTTTTTTTTCATTTTATGAATATTTTTGGAATGTTCGTATAATTATTATTTTTTTTGTTAGTGTTCATCCATGCTGTTCTACAGAAATAAGAAACTTCCATGGGAGCGATTGCAACTGGAGTTTATTTCTAATTTCTGTAGAACAGCTACAGATGAATACATGAACTAACATACTGAGTGACATTGAGCTTTATTTGGATTCATTAATACTCATTTTATTATGTCAGTACAAATGACCTTTTTTTACGAACATGGTTCTATAATGAAGCATTATAAAAAACAGATGGCGACTATGAACGAAATATGATAAAGTATCGACTTTTGCTCTTCTATGAAAATTAACACTGAGAATCTTTAAGAAATACAGCATTTTCATTGGATGACAAATAAAGCTGGAAGCTAAATGCTTAAAAGCATTTTTAAAAATAGAAAGGGTATTGAATTAAGTACCCAAATGCTATTGTATATATGTTTAATAAAGGATTTAGGGCAACATTTTCATCATAACACAATTCATATTATATAATCATCATAAAGAGTAAGTTACAACAGTATTAAGATTTTATCAGTGGTATAGATGTTCATTAATATTGAAACAGGATGGGATTATTGGTCAGTCAATAGAACATTGAGACAGGAACTTCACTTAAGTAGCAAGCAAAAGGTGGTCATCTGTTTGATTAAAGGACTGACTTTGTCAGTGTCTATTGTATTTACTTTATGATGGTGGAAGGTCAAGAACCCAAGTGTTTGATCAGTATTAAATGTTGGCTAATATTTCCTGCACTTATTGTCAGTAAAACAAGTCTAATCTTTATGATGGATTGTGAATAGGCCAAATTATCTTCTACATATGTAACTGCAACTGATCACATAACAAGAGCACTGCCAAGCAGGGGCCATGCTCTACTTTTTCTTATTTCTAAAGTCAAACATGTCTGAGGAAGAATATTGTAATAAAGATTTAAGAATACTCTGAGAAAACATAATGTTCTTGAACAAAATATAATTCAAATGTCATATTTGACATTGACAGTCAAGAACATTCAAAGGTCAAGACAGTAAGCTGAGGTCATATTGGAGTAATTCAGTATTCTTTTGTCCAAAGTATAAATCAAATCTGTTACTAATTGACAAGGTTATGACAATTTAAGCCAATTTCAATAGTTTGACCTTGAGTAAAGGTCTTATTTGAATTATTCAACACACAGGTTTTGTCATGAGGGTTTTTTTTGTCCAAGTATTATGGTAATTAAATTCATAATTGAATAGCAAAGTTCTGGCAATCTAAGCTAAATTCAATATTTGACATTGACCGTCAAGGTCATTTATAGGTCAAGGTTATATTTGAATTACTAAACATTTTAGACTTTTCATAAGTATTTGCACAAGTATAAATTCAATCCATTAATAATTAACAAAGATATGGGCCATTGTAGCGAGATTCACTCATTTGACCTTTGAGTATGAAGTCTAGCCATCCATAAATAACAAAGTTATAGCCAGTAGTAGCAAAAATCAAGCAAAATTCAACATTTGACCTTAAAGGCAAGCTCATTTATAAATGAAGGTCAAGTTCATTCTAGTTAACCTTAAGGGTTGTTGTGTCAAAAAATAAGGCAATCCATTGAGAAATAAAACAAGAGCCACCACCAGGTGGGACTACTCTCAACATTTTCTTATTTCTAAGTTCAAACACATTGAAGAATGAATATTCCAGTAAAGAATACTCCTAGAAAACGTAATAATTCTTATGTTTTTGGTTTAATTATGACTTTTGTTACAAGTTATTGTATTTATTTTCTAATCATTTTTTGGCTAAAAGTAGACGGAACTCCTTTAGAGGGTTAAACACACCATGCCGTAACAGTTTATATGCCTAATAAAGATAACAGTTTGTATTCCCATAAACTTTACAGTTTCTATTCCTCATAAACATTTCGTTTTATATTCCTATAAACATTTCAGTTGATATTTCCCATAAGCATTACAGTTTATATTCCTTATTAACATTTCTGTTTATATTCCCATAAACATTTCACTCTATATTTCCCATCAACATTTCAGTTTAAATTCCCATAAACATTACAGTTTATATTCCCATAAACATTTCAGTTTATACTACCCATGAGCATTACTTATCATTTCAGTTTGTTTATATTTCCCATTAACATTTCAGTTTATATTCTCATAAACATTACAGTTGATATCTCCCATAAACATTACAGTTTATATTGCTAATAAACATTTTCAGTTTATATTCCCATGAACATTTCAGTTTATATCTCCTGTTAACATTACAGTTTACATAGTATTACTAAAGGGGTATTTTGGAATTAGGCCAAATTGGTCAATAACTGTTAATAAAGACAATAAATAACAGAAAATTTGATCATCTTTTACAGACATTTTATTATTACTTATTAGTGATCTTGTATAATAACAATCTTTTTTTGTATATTATTTATCTTTAATAATAGAATACCATTAACACATTGCAAAGAAAATAATTTTAAATGAAAGTTACAGTGATCTTTTGTACAAATGAATATGTTATAATTAAACTATGTATATACCATATATTCTATTTACAACAGCACATAAAATGTTGCATGTTTAAATCAATGGATCTCATAATATATAGAAGGGAAACAGATTTTCTTTCCAACAATCATAATTGAAAACACTTTGTCATTATCCCAAAATTAAAAACACTAATTGTATAATGGTCTATTAGTCTTTTACCTGGAAATTAAAAATCACTAAATGTTTAATGCTCAGTTAGATATTTACCTGGAAATTAAAAACACTAGATGTATAATGGTCAATTAGTCATTTACCTGGAAATTAAAAACACTAACTGTATATAATGGTCATTAAATTAACTGGAAATCAAAAACACTTATGTATACTGGTCAATTAGTTATTTACCTTGAAATGAAAGGTTGATTTATCTTAACCATGTAGTTGTTTATATTATGTGAGATTATGTCATAGATATCAAAGATAGGTTCGCCTCAATCTTACTTTTTTTTCCTTTAATATTTATATCTTTAATATAAAACATTTTATTTCATAATCAATTTTTTAAACATCTTATTCCAACTGATTTATTTATTTAAAACTGATGAGTTGACCAAAAAGGTGACTAGTGGACAAAAAAGATTGACAAATGACAAGTTGGCCAAAAATAGGGGATGAGTTGACCACAAAAGAGACGAATTGACCAAGGGACGAGTTGACCTGTTATTCATCATTTTTCGTTAAAGTAGATAATGGGTAAAATAGATATATGTCTAGTATTCCTAGATTCCAGATTAAAATTTCACTTCGTACTATGATCCATCAATTTAAACATGTACATGTATTTCTAAACAAGAAATAATTCTAAATCTTAACAACAATAATTATATCTTCTTTTTTTCAAAATAAACAAACATACCTTGTAAAATAAAACATTAATATAGCAAACAATAAGCATAATATAAAATTCATGCCAACAATATACATGCATAATGTGTTAACAGTGTTTAACAGGTTTTATTTTTACTTTCTAAACTAAAGGGTGAACTTGGGTTGAAGTTTATTCTTAAATATGACACTGACTCATCAGTGCTAAAAAATAGATATTTATAATGTTACTGACTTTCTTTCTATATTTTATATAATTAATTGATTTTTTTCTACATTTTTCTTGGTTTGAAAACCAACATAGTATTGTTGAGACCATGTGACCCTACTCGTATTGGTTAAAAAAATTAAAGTAAAACTAAGGCTATCGAAGTATCAGCAATAAAATTTTTGTTTGGTTTTAACACTCAACCTGATGAAATCTGGAAGTGCTTGTGTGCAGCTTGAACAGGCTCTGTACCATCGTTTGACTAACTTTTAATTTTGATATCCCTAAAATTGATAATGGACAGTTCCAAGAATTGAAACTGGACAAGTTCAGAAACTCAGCAGGCTGTGTCATACTAATGCTGCTAGAGTCAGTCTTACAGCAAGCTGTTTTGGTTAACAGCAAGCGGTTTTGGTTAACAGCAATCTGTTTTGGTTAACAGCAAAAGTGGTTCAAGATAAAAGAATAGCACTGCAAAATGAAATGTTTGTAAAATGTTTTTGTTATTTTATAGAATACACAAGACTAATATCTTTCAGAACTTACTTATAATTGTAGATTGATATATAATTCATAAATGGTAAATCACTAAAATGGTTCTGATAAAATATAAACAAATCATATAAATTTGCTGAACTTTTAAATAGAAAAACAACTTAAAAAGTATATGGTATTACAATGCATAAAGTTTGGTTTGATGAAAAGAACAAATATGGTAAAATAGATTTATATTAGATTTCATTTACAAACATACTAGGTCATTTTTTCTGATGTAAATTAAATTCACTAAAACGTGTTGATGTAAAATAACATGTTTAAAAGCACTAACATGTACTAAAGCAAGTTAATCAGCTAATAAATACAGTTTTACAATACAGGTATATGATTTTTAAAAACAAACATTGGCAAAGATATTACAGTTGAAAATTAATAAGAGCCAAGCGCCAAGTGGGAGCTATGCTCAATTTTTTCTGATTTCTAAAGTCAAGCACATTGGAAGAAGAATATTGAAGTAAAGAAAAGTCCTCAAAAACATGCATTTCTTGTACAACATATAATTTCATATTTGACATTGAAGGTCAATGTCACTCAAAGGTCAAGGTCACATTTGAATAAAACATCCTGTCAGTTTTGTCATAAATGTTCTTTTGGTTCAATTAAATATAAGACAGTAAGTTACAGCCAAATTATAAGCCAAAAATCAAAACTGGTGATAAATTAAATTAATTATGACGGTTTCAAGATCATGGTCAAATTTGCAATAAAGTCAAGCGTTCATATTGACTTTGATTTCATTTATTAAAGCCCTTAAAAAGTTACGTTCAAGTTTGAAAGGACGAATTCCATTCCATAAATTAACAAAGAAACCAATTATATGCAAATTTTCATGCAAACAATCTTATATAACCATCAATTTCAATGAATGAGTAATCATTTAACCGAATTTTCTTAAACGTTATTAATTCTATGCTAAAGGATAACATTTGTGTCAACAGGTATGTAGGAATCAATGAAATTTCATAGTAAAACTAACGTACAGCCAATGATAGCCAAAATTCAAGTAATATTAAATACATTTGACCTTAAAGGTCAATGTCATTTATCAGTCAAGGTACAGTAAAGTCTAGTTTTCTTGATGGTCTTGTCAAAAGGAATATTCTATCTAAGTACATGTATAAAGACAGTGAGTCCACTAATAAAAATAAATTGCCAATGGTCTGTCTAAGTATAAAGACAGTGAGTCTGTAATAAAAAAAATTCACAATGTTTTCAGACGGCAACAAAAAAAGGACAACATGACTGTAGCAAAAGCTTGAATTTTTTCTTCAAAAAAAGTCAAGCTAAAAATGAATTGCAGCACAATTTGTTTATAAACTAACAAAAACAACAATATAATAGAGACCTTTACAATAATAAAGGCAGCACAAATAAAATATATAAATCACATGCCACATGACCTTCCCTTTTTAAAATACTGGATGTTTAAAACATTAGTTTCATTGGACAAACACAATATTTTATTATTCGTAACTACTGTTTTTCTTTTTCGAGGGTTGACTGCAAAACTGTGGTTACTTATATGAAATAAGGATTGCTTTACAACAGGTTTGCCACCAACCTTTGATTTTTATTGTAAATATTTTGTATAATGAATCTGTTATGAAGACTTTTGCCAGTTTATATGGCTGTGCATAAATTGTTGTGTGTTATATTACCATCACCTAGTGGCTTGGGTTATATAAGTTTACAACCGTTTATACTGGGCAATATATGATATAACATGTTAAAAAATCTTAATAAACAAAAGAATACCATTCAAAGTATTATTATACACAATATTTTACTCAAGGTTCTGACAACTTTGAATAGGATTTTTTTTCTTTCTTTAATAGTTTTTATATTGATCTTAATTAAATGCAATTCAAGTCATTATAACACTTATTTCATACCAATACTTAAACATTTTGTGAGCAAAATGCACATTTCTAACATATTAACATAATATTTGGAGATGCTTCACATATTCATCCCTGCAACATATAATCTTTCACTCATTCTTAAATAAGCCAATAAAATTATCTACAATTTACTGTCTTTATTGAATAAATTATACCATGATATAAATCACAAAAGGCACAACTTTACAACAGATCCTATTAATTTTATTTTAGTCTTTGTTTTGTTCTGTACATGCATTACAATACAAACTAATAAGTATGTATTTAGCTTGAATCATACTATATAAAGCAGAATATGTATGGTATTCATAAATTATACAAAAATACAGTCAAACTTTTACATGAATACTATTTGTTAGATGATAACAAAGATTTTTTTATAATTGATGGTTTTGGTAATTTCACCACAATTTTTTTTTCTAGGAAAAAAATATATTAGTATGTACATATTCAAACTTTATTGTGAAACTGATTTTAATCATTTTTTATTCTGATTCCTGGAATTAACCAGTACTGGTGTCATATAATGAAACATAGTGTTTGAAATCATTTCTTGTCCAGTAGAATTGCAGTATTACAAATAAATCATAACATTTATTTTGGTATTTAATCAGTCTTGTTATAAAATAATTTCAAACACTAAATTGGTGCAGTTATTGACCAATTTAATTTTGTAAATACTAACTAATAAACACCAACGTATACAATCATAGTCATGACCTGAGTAAGGCACAAACCTAGGATCCGTTGTTTGGGGAAACACCTTGACCACTAGTCTGCCAATTCAGTTAAAAATACATTTGGCATTTAGCGGCAGTGTTTTTTGACAGTGGTATATTTTAGATGTGGACTTGAGCACAAGGTTTACCTGTTCTAGATAATCCATCTATAACATGGCAGAAAATGATTACATTGTCAATATATGACAATATCTATAGCACACATTGTAATCTCAACAAAACAAAAACTTAACTAACAAATTTCTTAACATTTAAACAAAAAAGGTTATACATGTATTACCACATCACCTTTGAACTTTATAACTAATTGATTTTTCAAAGACTTCTGATACTCCTTTCCCTGTTTTTTGTATTTCTAAAAAAAAAATTTAATTCTATCCAAAGGTTATGACCTTGACACTTCATGATATGATAGGATTTTTTGCAGATTAAAAGTCAAGGTTAAACTTTATAAAGCTATACATCTGCTGCCTGTAATTACAAAATTACTGGCAAAATTCAAAAATACCTGTATGAAAGAAATATTTTTGTATATTTTGACACACTAAATCATTGCTAATCGGTTAAAAATCTTAAAACAGCAGTATAATAATTTTGTCCTCCAACATTTTATTCTGATACATATGATATTAAAGTGTGATAAATGTCAGCGACATTCTATCATTCAGTGAATAATTAAATTGACCATAAAGTAATGGAAATATTATTTTACCTTTAATAAAATTTATAAAAAAACCCAAACATTTCAGTACATTATAGCTATATACTAAGTTGTTTTGATACTGAAATACTACTAATTTCATGCAATGATATTTAACTACAATGCATTTCAGTGACGAAAATTGAGGAATATCATGACATGAACATTTCAATTCAATCATTTCACAAAAGAATTCATAAACACAAATATAACACATTCACACTTTCTAGAAAATTATATATAATGTTTTAGAAATAAAATATTAGATTATAATACCATTGTAATTCTACCGGGAGTCTTAATCTCATAAAAATTATCCATGTGTAAATAGCACTTCAACATCAACTAAACATAGAGCAAATAATTATCTACTGATTATCAAAAACTATACAGATCTACCAGTTCACACTTCGCAATTACCACTGTTAGCATAATTTTTCTTGAAAAATACATGTACATGTATCTAAATCTAATAATTAACAGCACACTATTGAAACTCAACTCATTTTTCACTATGAAAGTTGGGCACAACAAGAAATTAATCATCCTCAAAATTTTAAGAAAAAAATAATGAAACAATGGCAGTAAGGAAGTGTGTATCAGTGTATACTGTATTTCAAATGACTTAAAAGTATGTCATATGTTATTTGTATAGTCTGACGCAAGCTTTCTGTAATTTCAAGAAAGTTGATTTTCTTGACATAAGAAATTATTAGTTTCCAACTTGTTTTAATCCACTAGTATAGCACAGAAGTATGTGGACATATTTATAAACTAAACAATGCTAAAACAAACTTTTCTTTTTAATACTGGGAATCATATGATATATTTACGTTTCAATATATTTTTCCTTTTCTTACGTAAGAAAATTTCAACCCTTAACCTGCTGAATTAAATGACTTGCCCTGCTTTGAATTTGGAAGAGTTCATACAATGTTTAGAGGATGGTCTGGCTCTATACTGGTGGCAAAAGATATTTTAATCACTTCTGGTTCCAGTAGGCTAAGGGTTAAGTGAAAAGATTAGAATTTGTAGTAACTAAAGCAGCCCTCTTAATAAAACATTCCATATGAGAGGCTTAAATGAAACAAGAGGGCCATGACAGCCCTGAAATCCCTCACCTGTATATAGGCCCCTGGGGCGGGGCCAATTTTAAGCCAGGGGCTTTTATTTGAACAAACTTGGTAGACACTCACTAGAAGATAATTCATGTTTAATATCTAAACTCTAGCTCTTTGGGTTTTTTAACAGAAGATTTTTTAAGTTTTTACTATATACATATAAGGAAAATCAATGATTCCCGGGGTGGGGCCAACTTTAACCCAAGGGCCCTTATTTGAACAAAAATGGTAGACACCAATTAGAAGATGTTTCATGCTAAATATCTTAGCTCTAGCTGTAAAGGTTTTTTTTTAAAGAAGATTTTTTAAGTTTTTACTTTTTTACATAAAAGGAAAAACAATGACCCCCTGGGACAGGGCCAATTTTGACCCCAGGGCTTTTATTTGAACAAACTTGGTACACCTCCAATAGAAGATGTTTCATGCTTAATAGCTAAGCTCTAGCTATTTAGATTTTTTAAAAGAAGATTTTTTAAAGTTTTTACTACATACAAATAAGGAAAATCAATGACCCCCTTCCCCCCGGGCAGAGCCAATTTTGACCCCAGGGCATTTATTTGAACAAACTTGGTAGACACTGACTAGATGATGTTTCTCTAGCATTTTTTCGGTTTTCTAAACAAAGATATTTCAAGTTTTTTCTTTTGTTGCCATGGCAACCAGAGTTCTGCTTGGAATTAAATTCTTTGAACAATTTTTAAAGTTGACTACCAAAGGAACATTCCAGTGAAGTTGGGATGAAATTGGCTTAGCGGTTTATGAGGAGATGTTGTTTAAAGTAAAAGTTTACAGATGGACGGACGCCTGATGGACGGACGCCGGATGAAAAGCGATCAGAAAAGCTCACCATGTCACTTTGTGACAGATGAGCTAAAAAGTGGATACATTTTGTGCCAAATATTCCCCCTTTACTGCACAGAGCAACCTGACCCTGTCAATGACCCTCCTGCCTTGCTATGAGGTAACTTGTCAGGTGACTGACCAACTTTGTAACGCCTGTGTTTTCTTGAGGCTCCAGAAGTTGGTTGTCCAAGTAGGAACCCCACAGGATTTAAAAGCCCAAGCTGATCAATCATGGCATTTGAAGAATTGTATTCCATCCTTTCTGTTATATTCATATCCAAAGTGAGAGGGGCTAAAGTGATGACATCATCAAGGGGACAATTCAAGGATGCCAACCATTCTTTCTTTACATTGTCTAGAGTCAATGTTCCCTTAGCAACTTGTGATTTGAACACTGACAGTGGTTTGACCACACACCTTGACTGGTCATCTCTTAAATGGCCGCAGAATTCACAAACCAGTCTACTTTCTGAACATCTGTCACAAGCATAGCAGTGCCAAAATCGCATTGTTCGACACTTTCTACAGGCACTGCAGTGACGCTCATAGCCAAGTTGGCCAATATCTTTTGCACAAAACGAATAATAAACTACCTCACTACATCTACTTGATATAAGTTCACCTACACTGATGTTATCAATGTTGCCATCTGGAACTAATGACAAATCAAAGTCATTTTCATAGTATCCATAATTGCGTGGATGAACTTTTTGCTGCAGGATAGAATTTAACTCTACAGCACTATCACAGGAAAAATTAATATAGTCTCTAAAACAGCAACATAAATTTTCATCTAAATAAATTCCTAAACTATCTGCACTACTTTCTTCTTTGCCTTCTGCTGCATTTGAGTTTATATTTGCGGCATTTGCTTTAATAATTATATGGCTTTTCAATACCTCTGTTATCTCCGCCCTTAACTTAATTACATTGCTTCCTAACTTTCTACCTGGCCGTCTCTGTCTCTGAGATCTGTATATAGTTAATTTGTTTATGTCACTATTCTCACTTCCATTTTCTTCAACATCTATGCCATTCATTTGTGATAAACCTTGGTAAATTTCAAGAGGATGATTAACACCAGCTTTGTAAATTGGTTCAAGCTCTGGGCAACTTGCCAACATCATGGCTACAAGCTCATTTAGCTCAGACACCAAACCTCCTATCCAAAATATATTTGTTCCGCTACACATCTTAGATAAGAAGTTTGTTCTCTCTCTCCATCTATTTTTATCATCTGCACTTGTGTGAAGCCATCTTTGAAAAAATCGTGCTTTTTCTTTACCCTCAATAATAAGACATCCTTCATTTTCGTCACCATTTTGTTTGTACAAATACAGCTTGGCAATATCTTTTAAACTGATGTCGCATCTGAGTTGTCTAGATACTTCAAACTGTTCCATATTTTCAAGAATATCATTGGCAAGATCTTTCGACAGTTTTGCTTGTTGCAAACATTTGATTCCTTCACCGCTGAAGCTTGGCATATATTGAAACACAGTAAGTGACAATACATTTTGAATAGGGTTTACTGCTCCAACAAACTGACCTTCCCAATTTGCCATTAATGATTTGTCCCCTGTCTTAATGACCCAGACCATACTGTGTGGAAGATGCTCTTCTACTTGTTCTACGCTTCGATTTTTGCTGTCGACAGCAGAGCTCTCTTCCTCATTGGTAATCTTGTTTCTCGAGTTCCTCAACGCATTGTTGAAATTCAGTAAACATTTTGATGCCCCCATTACAAAGCTGGCAGGAAAAGGTGCAGAGCAGATACTTTTATTAGCAAGTGAGTCGATCAGGTTAGCTGTGTCGAGAACCTTACATCTGAAGGCATTTTCTTTCACATCATTACGTGGGAAAGAAAGGCAAAAAGATTCAAACTGGACAGTTGTTCGCAAGTTATTCATCAGTTTAGTAACAAGCTCATTTCTTTCACTGCTATCTAGTATGTTAGAATCTATGGTGGTATTTTCTGACTTGATGTAATTTGTTGTGTTGTCTGACATTAGTATGGATGCAACAGTTTTTGAATGTCCCCCCAACTCATTGGATTTTTTCCTTCTTGATTTAACACTTTTATTTGTAGCCCTTTCAGAATCATTTTTTCTTTTCCTCCCATTACTCTGTACATCAAAATTGGAATACAACCTAGATTTAAACAAGTTGTCTTGACTCCATTCTGTTCCAATGATATTCTGGGTAATTTTCTTAGACTGGTTATGTATATCTATGTTAGATTGGAGCTGAGGTAACAGCTGTGGGTTGTTAACCATTCCACCATAAGAGGGTCCTGCTTGAACATTAAAGGCACCATATTGACTCTGATTAATACTGGTTGCATCTTGAAAACCACTGTCATTTGAGATTGAATTATAGTAGTTCCAGTCACTTACACAAGTATTTGGAGGATATGCCATTTCCTGTTGCTGGTTACTTCCCATTACCATGTGCTCATTGTAATCAGGTTTTTCTCTCTTTATATTCATTAGAGACTCCGAGTTACCAAGCAGTTCAACATAACCACCTAAACTGTCCCGTTCAGATTTGAACATATCTGCTACAGATGTAAAACTGTTTGAACTATGGTTGTACATATTATTTGAATTATGGATATTCTCAAGATTTCCAAAATACTGAACCTGTGGTGGGGATGGCCTTTTCAACTCTTCATACATTCTACCTTGTTCATTGAAACTCAATGGCTCCACTTCAATAAAGGGCACATTTTGCATATCACTGCCGTCCATCTGATAACTTGAAGAAAGAGGGGAACCAGGATACAGACCTAATTCAGAACCAGCCTGACTTGTCATTCCCATGGCAACAGAAGATTGCGGCACTATTTCTGCCATCTTGTGCGCTCCACCATTCAAGCTATATACATGAAGACCTCCAGTATCTTGTAACGTAGGGGACAGTGTCTTGTAACTATGAAGTCCGCCTGGATCTTGCAGTGGGGGTGTCCTACCCTCAGACATCTGAAATATCAAAAAACAATTATTACTTAATATTAACCTGTTAATTACTTTGATATATATTAATATGTAACAGAGTTTACATCCAATTAATAATCTCTTATGTTATTATATAAATTATAATGCAGTCAACATTTGATGCTATTACAGCATGATTATGTAGTTTCATTATTTATTTTTTCATGGATAAATCTGATTTACATTATTTCATAATACATCAATTCAAATAAGTAATTCAGAAAAGTAAGATGATATATTATTATCAATTAATATTTTCTCAACCCCCTCTTTTTTCAAATATTAATATGTACTTCAATTTTTTCTCCTTTTTATTTCTACATCATTCTATTTTTTATGTACTTCAATTTTTTCTCCTTTTTATTTTTACATCATTCTATTTTTTATGTACTTCAATTTTTCTCCCTTTTTGTTTTTTACACATTTTTATTCCTTATAACCTGACAAACAAGATGTTGTAATTAACATAATAATAGGTGACATATGGAAATTATGTGTGATTACATATACCTTGTCATTCATTTGAAATATGCAAAGTTTATGCTCAATAGATTTTCTGTATGCTTACATAGCTGTGCAAATGTTAAAATGCTCAGGATGTTGAAATTAGATAAAGTGCTGGGTATTCTTGTTAAGGCTAAATCTAACTTTACGACTTTTTTCTTAGAAAAAAATGAACTAAACAATTGTATATTCAAACAAACATCATTAAATGTGTTTTATACATACCTACATATATAAAACAGTCTTACAGAAAATGTGAGTTGTGTTTAGTTTAAATGTCATGTGTTACATTCTTTCTTTTTTTTTACAAGAAAAATAATTAAGAAATACAAAATGTTAAATTAAAGACCTAAGAATGCATGGGTGAGCTCCCTTGAAAACACAATGTCATATTTAACTCTTTTATACAGGTATAAAAGTCCCACACACAGTACCTTTTTCTCTCCCTAGTTTAATAAAATAATAATTCCAATTGTGAAAAATGACCCTAAATTGAAAGGTGTTGCAATGCTTTTCCCTCATATTGGACCAAGAAAAGCTCAAAAATATGATTTTCAATATTTTTCTAGGAACATTTATTAATTTCATTTTGCATATCTTTCTGTTTTTAAGTGTCCCTGTTGATCTATGTAAGAACTTTAATGTTATATTTAAAGGCTTTTGAACATCAGTGGAGTTGCTTTAATGACTCAGCTAAAACAAGAGCTGAGGATGCAAGACTGTTCTCGATCCTTCATAGCAAAATAATAACAATAAAAGAAAATTTCAAAGTGCACAAAGGGAAATAATTCAGTAAAAATCTGTCATGGGTCTTGGTCTTTGATCAACTATAACCTCAAATACATTGTTTCACAAGAAGTATTTATAATTCATAAAGGTGTATAATTCAGTCAAAATTCATGCTAGAGTTATGGGTCTTGGTCTTTGTCATTAACAATCAGTTACCTGAGCCTCTATGCCAAGACTCAAATGAAAAAGATATTTTTATCTACACTTTTCTTGAATCAGTCAAAACTTAGATAAAATTGAATTTTAGTGTTTGACCTATATCTTGAATCAATTGACTACAAATCCAAATAAAGGAAGGTTTCTGTACATGGTAACTACCCATAATATTAATTTTCTTAATTAAAATAACAACACATTTGTGAAATATGTATGCCCTCCCTGATAGCAACTTATATGTAATATTACCAACCACCCTACCATGTCTAAAGACTGTAGTTCAGTTTTTGTGCTGAAAGTCACAGTGACTTTGACCTTCAACTTACTGTCCCTGAAATGAGTAAGAGCCAAAATGATTAATATTGACTGTACACGCTGTATTTGGTAAAGGTCACTGTCCTTTGATCTACTGACCTCAGTATCCATAGGGATGATCTTCAGGTTGTGACCTTGCAATCTAACCTCCAAATACTGAGTGGCGGCAAGAAACTTTACATTTATTGCTTAGTGCTGGTTAGTTTGAGTTATTCAATAAGCTTAAAGCTTCCAACATAAACTAAAATAAATTAGTATAAACTAAATACTGGGTATATAGATCTTTGACCTACAGACCTAAAAATCAATAGGGGTAATTTACAGCTCTGTCAACAACAAAAATCCATCAATAGCATAATGGTAACATAAAGATATTTTGATTCTAAAGTAATCATTACTTTCATTATTTGCAAAAATAATAGAATATTTCAGCACTATTATTATTAAATTCTTTTAATCATTATAAACTGATTATAATAAGAATTAAAATTACATATTTAATATAGTAACTTTATAATTTTTAATAAAAAATATTATTTTATTTTTAATGTTTCAACATTATAATTATTTACATGTAAAAAAATGAATAAATAAAAATTAATGACTTTTACTATATTATTATTATTATTATTATCATAATTATTATCAATAATAATAATAATTATAATACTATTTATAATAAATAATTATTTATTATTATTATTATTAATTATTATTATTATTAATTATTATTATTAGTATTATTATTATTATTATCATTCATTTCAATTGTTGTTGTTGTTAATTTACACAAATTTAACTTCATTTTTTATTTACTATTTTAAATATCTGTTTTGGAAAAATACACAAAATAACTTTATTTAGTTTATAAATACACATTACCATTCATAAATCTAACATACTGTCAAAAGAAATGCAAATTATTAATTTTATTAACAATTGAATATTAATAATCACAAAAAAAGTATTACCAACATATCAAAGAAATTTCCTCCCTCTATAAACATTGTTTTATACTTTATTTTTTAAAGTCAAGAAACACATCTGGGTAATATAAAAGAAAACGCTGTTAATATATATTTTTCGTCAGAATAGGTCATTTGGTTCAAGAAATTATACGATTTTAAATAATAATATTTCTCTGCCATTTTCTCCTATTATGTCTATATTTACAATATTTCTTTTTGTATACAGTATTTTTTTTAACCTAATACAACTAATAAGTTTTATTTGCACTGGATCACCTCTAAAAGCTGTAAAGTATGTTACACTAATTATTCTTACTTATGCATCTTTCCATAACGAAACGAAAATGTGTACATGTATCTAAATTCCCCTTACTGCGCCTCAAAAGCATTATAAATTCCCGTGGTCAATAAACCCTGTTTTCCGATACTAGTGTAATTCCTGTACACCAAATGACTTTTTCTGTATGACCCATATTTTTTAACTAAGTCTAAAATTCCGTTAATTTTTTACCAGTTAAATTGTAACGTTATGTCTGGTAACGTAAACATTACGTAACACATAACGTGTTTTATTGTCCATTTTCGCTAGACGACCAGACACGATTACGTAACCATGTCTCACTTTCTGACCAGGTGATCAATATCTACCCAATACACGGACACCACCGTTACCGACCGTATGTCACAATTTGTACAGTCTCTAAATCAGAAAAAAATGATAATAAGCGACTAAGTAAAGATTTGGAACCATTTTCAAATCTTTCAGTAATTCCTCCGACAACATATGCAATGCATAATATTTGTGTTTGTGTAAGCAAAAATCATCAATGCGTGGAATCTTTTTCATTCCCCGTAAATCGTCAGCATAAAATCGCTAAAGAATGGTGAAAATAGAAAGAAGCGTCACGGAGGTGACGTAAAATTGAAGATAAGACCCTTCCCGTTATTATCTAACGACTGACAAAATATTAATTTTGATCTCAATTACAAACGCCATTACGATACACAAACGCATACATAACATGGTCAGTAATAAACATGGCTACCCGGAAAACCACGTATATGTGGTCAGTGAAATTTTTTTTCCAACAAATGCCGTTTTTTCTAAAGATTAACCTTATCTGTCATTAACCCCATAGGCTTTATCAGTGTTTTAATTACAATATTAGAGTATTTACTTAGTCTGATATCAACAATATAGCGGGTCTTGCCCTCTCAAACTCTTGTCAATTTGGCCTAGGTCAAGCAACGGTCAAAAGTAGGTCATCAGTAAAGCCAGACTGACCAACAAGTGGTCAGGTAATCTACGTGTCATGGCGGTCTTAAACATAACCGATCATTTACCAAGTATAAACAACATTTCAAAGAAATAAAATACACCTACCTTTGCAGAATTAAGTTAAGTTCCGGTCAGTTTACATGGTCAAATATTCTGTCCAGACGTTCGGCCATAATCGCGTAATCATTCCCGGGACTTTTCAAACACCACATCGAGGTTTGTTACGTAATAATTTACGTTACGCAGTGGTAAGTTACTTCCCCTGATTTGTGTATTGTCAGCGTTGACAGGCAAGATATAAAATGCAATATATAATGATGTAATTGATTCGAAATAAAATAAATGTTCGTTACATAATGCTTAATTGCTTTGAAATTTACAATCGCGTTTAGAATTATATAGATTTTTTGCGTTACGTTTTTCTTCTCTTTTGTCTTACGTAACGTTTTTTTCTTTTTCTTTTGTGTCACGGAAAGATAATGTTTGTATCTTCATATGATATGTATTGATTGACTGGAATGTCAAAGCAAATGAAAAAGATGTTTTATTAAAAAAGGAAACTACAGATGAAGTAAATTACGGAAATTTAGTAAGATCAGTTAACGTTTGAAAGTAATAGTATCTTTTGAAAAGGACCAAAATATATTCATCATGCAATGGTTTTTTCCATGCAAATGATCTCAAGTGAAACATATTTGTTAATAATAACATAATTTATAGTTTTTATGACAATATGTAACGTTTACTTCGGCGAGGAAATAGTAAGGATGTAGATCTGTATAAAAAAGTAACAAATATATCCATCTTAGTTTATCATCACAGTATTCACAGTTTTTTAACTAAACATGGTATACTACATGTATGAATACTACAAAATTTAATGTCGAAACAATGATGCAGTCATGTTTTTCTCTCTATGAAGCAGGGAACAAATTCTAAAATTACTTATGCGGCAGAAATCTGTAACGGCTGTACATATTTTCCATCACGTGTACTTCATTAAAATTGTAATTAACAAAAGTTACTTTCTTCACTTTCAGAATGGAATTATGTCGAACTGAGACAAAAGATATAAAGTCCCAGGTCGGATTAAATCCGAGCGCGAGCCTTTGTTGTTTTTGTTGGTTTCTTTTTTCTATAAGAAATCTACAAAACAAGAAGCCGTAATACTAGTATTGTCTGTACTGCAGTAATCTAAAAGCATTCAAAGAATTCATGTTTGAAGGATTTTTTTTTTCAGGAATTTAAAGCATATATTCAAGAATGTACAATATCATTTTTATAGAGATAAAAGGGTATGCGTTGCAATAAATTGAACATGTAAGCACTAAGTCAATATGTCGTAAATCATTTTGAAGAAGGAACGCTATACCGAGCAGTAAAATCAATAATTATATATATGTATATTATCTAATAATTTCCATGATAACTGGGTAAATGTTTTGCCTTTTTTGTTTTCGCTTTTTTATATTCAAGCATCTTCGTCGGATTATTAAACTCGTGGACCCCGTTATTATACACAACGCACTGAAAAGTGATACTATAGTATCTATTTCCTGGGACAATTATCGTAAGTCTCAGCTATTTCCTAATTAAATAAAAAAATTAATTGGGAATCCGATTAGCACGTGCTTGACTTATTAGATGGTTCGAGAAATAGGCTCGTCCGTTACTATATTTAGAAGCTGAAAAGCGTTACGGCAATTTTGCCGAACAAATATGACAAACCCTAGGTGGACATTGTGCGCGTCACGAACATGTATAACAAGGTAAAATAATTATGTTAAAGATAATGTGCATAGGCTTTATTACATGGATTGTCCCAAAATAAGCAATCGTTCTTATTTTTGTTAATGTTAGTGACGTGATGTTCGTTTGAACTTGTAGAAAAAAGAACAACACTTTTCTTGAAAGGAGGATGTATCTTAATCTAAACACACGGACCAAAAAATACACACGCACATTATGTCAATCACACGAGTTCATGTAAATGATCAGGAGAAATATGAAATCAATCCGACCCATATACATTCAGATTCTCCTTCATCACACATTTTCATACTAAAAACCTGACAACGCCTAAATTACATCGTTACATTTGATTAAATTACGTCAGCTATAAACGAAGTGACACAAAAACAAGGGGGCGATACGATGCGCAAAGAAGATGTCCTTTCTTCTACTTTAAATATTCCAAATAATTTGACACATCTCTTCCCTTTTTTACTTCAAAATACCGGTTGTTCGCGGTATCAGAACTTTGAGGATGCGCGCGCATTATATGACTCCCTATAAAATATTTCTTCGTCACCAATTTATAGATAAGAATTGTTATAATGATGGGGCAAAACAACAATTGTTATTTAACGATTCTTTTATCTTAAAGCATCATATTTACATCAAAGTTCTATAAAATCTACTGAAAAAAGGCACATTTTCCTAATGATACCGGAGCCTTTAAAAACCTGAAATTTGTGAAATGTATATGCCTTAATTGCTTTTATTCAGCTACTTTTTACTTGTATTGTTGGGTACTTTAAAAACTAAACTGTACAGACGAGCAGTGTGGATAGATGCATTTATTAAGTACTGTCCTTCAATTTCATTAAGTTTTAAACTGCTTCTCTAGTTATTAAAATCATATAAATTCGTATTATCCCTCCCTTTTAGCAGTCAACATCAATTGTCTTAATATGAATGTCTTACTATATATATCTGGTATTTATTAATTGAAATAAACAAGAGGGTCATTGTGGCCCTAGATTGCTTACCTGAGATAGATTTCTTAAAAAGGTCACAATTCTTCAATGAATGTGCCTTTTTTTATTCAAGACTTATGATTAAAAAAATATATTTGCAGAGGTCTGCATGCCAAGTATTAAGCTCTGACCATTGTACTTTCCACCAGATTTAAATGTTATTTTATTATTTATCATTATTATTATTATTTTGCTATATATTCATGACTAAATAAACTAAGTGACCTTTCCCAATTTTGACCCTAAGGTCATAAATCATGTAACTTATAGAGGACCACATCGTTATGCTACATGCTAAATATCTGTGGACATTGAAGTTTTCCACATGAAGATGTATATCTGTGTCTTCTTACCCCTTTCCCTCATATAGACGTGCTTTTCGACCCCCCCCCCTTTTTGAGGCCTCAAACAATGAAAAAATGCCATATTTAGACCCCAAACACTGTTTTTCGTTTGAGAAATTTTGATAAAAAAGTGACCACTTTTTCGGCGCCGGCCCCATCAAAAAGGTACATCTGGGGTTGCCAGAAAAGGGATGTGCTCTCTTCTTTTTCGGGGGTTTGAAGGGGGGCAGCCAAGAAAATTTTGGACACGTGACAGGCTAAAATGGCCTCAGGTCGGTCGATCGTAAGGTAACGTGTAACCAACGCTGAAAAGCCTTTTACTCTATCTCAATCCATTGAGAAGTTGCAGCACTTTGAAATCAGTTTTGATGGAAAAAACAATGCAAAATAGTGATTTTTGGCAATTTTGAGACGTCCCCCCGTTGCCAATGTTACAGGAAATTTAAGATTGAGCATGCTGTTACAGAGGCTATGTTCCAGTCAACATTTGTGCCAAGTTTCATCAGTATTGAAGCATTTTTCATAGTTTCATAGCAGTTTGAACTTGTAACAGGAGGCTTTTCAATGAAAACGGCCATTTTTTCACAATATGCTCATGAAGGAAAGGGTTAAATAGGTCTATATAAACCTCCAAGGAAGTCTAATATTGATCACACTGACATGATTTATACAACTGTGGAAAAAAAGTGATGCTAATGCTAAAATAACTATGATTCAGGCATTCAAGTTTCCAAGAAGATCTTTAATATATGTTTTCTGTTAAAGTCTAAGTAAAATATGTGACCCCAGAGTGGGTCCATATTGGACCCTAGGAGCATGATTTAAATATCTTTTGAGGCCGTGAGACAATGCTATGTGACAAATATCTAAACTTTGGGTATTTTAGTTTCACACAATAAGACTTAAATGCATTTTCCTAGATGTATAAACTAAGTGACCCCCAATACAGGGTTGATTTAATGTCAGGGGCATATGATCTATATAACTTGAAGATGATTACACTTATGGTGATGCAGCATGCTAAATATCTAAGGTTTGGACAATGTAGTTTCTTTGGAGATTTTTAAAGATTTCGTTAATAAAGTCCCTTAAGCAGGGTTTATTTAATCAAACGAATGACACACTGCCTTTTTGAAGGCTCACCTCTAAGCACTTTGTGCCCAGGTGAGCTAAAAATCCAACAATCTTTCTGATTGCATCAATCAAAGACAACAGAAACGATGACATAGTGGTTAAGGCTACGATCATGTTAAGGTTCCTTCAAATTACACTTGCCTTGGTTAGTTCAAGGAGGCAGACTAGGTTGAAATAGGTCACAATTAAAGAAAAATAAATTTGTCTAAACTAACCAAAGACACTCAAAATTTTCAAACAAATCTTATATAACAGATTGATCCCAATTATAATAAGTTCATTATAAGTCTATGAGTACGAGGACTTAATAAAACTTAATTAATACAACTTAATTTGACAAAATCTGATAAACACCATTCCTTCAATAAAATATAAGATTTTTACAACTCATTATTATAATATTTATTAACAAATCATGATTAACAAAGCCAGCTTCATTCAGCATTCCAACATTCATTATGAACAATGCCAAATAAAATGTGACTCGAAAATAATTGAATTCATACATTTGAACATCAATTACTTATTGTATAAAAATGTAACTAAAATGTTTCTCTGTTAATTATGCAACAAATTTAACACAAGCGAAGTTTTAAAATACAAAGACAGATATTTTACTTCACTCTGTGAATGGAAAGCAAAGATGATTCTTTATGTTCAGATTATGACATAGATCTAGTTGTTAGCACTAAACACAAAATCAAAACATAATTATGATGGGAAGTGGACTTCTTGTTACTCGTTTGCAAACATCTATGCTGGCACTCTCATTTCAAATATACAACTCTAGAAATGCTGTGCCAATATCACTACAGCCACATTTTGATTTTCAGCACATCTTAGTGACAGTTCTCCCATAAAAATCACAGTAAATGGGTTTGAATTCATAATAAGTTATATTTATCAAACCATTGTGTTTAATTTAAATCAAATTATCAGTCTGTTTTTGTAGTCAAAGTCATTTTTTCAAACTGTGAAATATATGTTGAGAAAGTAAGCAGTGTTTGTCAGGTAATTATATCCAGGAAATGGTGAGATATTTCTGCAGCTGGTGTTTCATGTAGTTGAAAAAGTAAAAATAGCTTTATTGCATTGAATAACTGTTGTTCCATGAGTTTAGAAATTTACACATTTTAAATAATACTATAACAATATAATAATACTCATAACCAAAAACAAATGCAATTTTCAACATCATGATTTCACTTCAAGTTCTTTAACCTTTTACATTACCACCTTCATTTCCAGAAATTTGGTTAACACCTTTACATTACTATGTATCAGTTTTCCCCCAGTCCCTTTTTTCTGTCTCTAATTATCACAAACAAGAGTGGAAGACATATTGCAACACAAATTTTTCAAACCCAATGTAAAAAAAGATTAATAATTATAATTAAATGTTTCCAACTCTAAATCGACCAAAAAAGTAAAGATTTTTCATAACTATATAGAAATTTTTAAGTCGTCAATCTTTTAAACCAGCAAATCAGTTATTGATTCTCTGCATACATTATTTCTAAATAATTATAATTGCACTGATTGTTTACTCACTAGAAAATCAAACAAGCGATTTTTGATTTTTTAATATATTTTGTCATAGGAGTGTATTATCAGTATACAATAAGTTTTTCTTCTTAGCTCTTACCCTGCTAAAGTTTTAATTAAAATGACTTGCTCTGATTTGAATAAGGAATTGCCCATTAACCATTACCATGCTAAATGCCGTAAACAGACTTGTCCATCTTTCAATCCAGATAAAACCAGTGAAAATTTAAAAATATGTAGTGATCAAATAGCAAACAGTGCAGACCATGATCATACAGCAGTGATGTTCCAGCTAGTCTTGGTCTGCAATGATCACATCAGAATAAAATCAGCCGCGTCATGACAAAACCAACATAATGGTTTTGCGACCAGCATGCATCCAGACCAGCCTGCACATCCGCGCAGTCTGATAAGGATCCATGCCTTTCACTTACAAACCCTATAGCAAGTAGAGAAACTGATAGCGAACAGCATGGATCCTGATCAGACTGCGCAGATGCGCAGGCTGGTCTGGATCCATGCTGGTCGCAAACGCACTATGTTGGTTTTGTCGTGACGCGGCTCAAACCAGTTGCTGCCAGCAGGCTAAGGGGTTAACAGATTACTGGATTTCAGAATAAAAATACTAAAACTTAGTAGCTAGTAGATGTGCATGATTATCTGTCTCTATATTTGTGACATAGGTTTGCTATTGTCTCCACTAACATACAAAGTGTTAATATAAATTTCATCTATTAACACACAATACAGATGTAGAGAGTTTTTCAAGATGTTGTTCATTACATGTAATGGTTATCATTTGTCATTCTTTATCAATGCACAACATCCTTATAATATCTGACCTTGACTGGTTTCTTTCAAATGGTCTGTCAATACCCCACATTATACTAAGTCTGGTACCAGTCTGTTTATACCCCACACTATATTAAGTCTGGTACCAGTCAAACATAAACTTAATGCTATGGCGAAGGAACTGTTACACCCCCCTTCTGATGAAGATGCCCAAACCTAGACACAGATTCCCATGACACACAGATGATATTCCTGGGTTACATTCTATGGGGCTGAAAGTCTATCCTACCTAAAAGGTAAGGTCTTACTCATATATCACTTCAATAAATAAACACAGTCTTGACATCTTATCAATCTTTAGAATTTTTCATATTTTGTATACATAATAAACATGCAAGTCCAGTGTCTTCAGGTTCCATATTAAAACCTTTCATTTTACTGTCCTCCACCACTACTGAATATCTGAAATACAAAAATACATTAAAGGGTATAAATCTATATCTTATGAAATATTTTAATAAAATTTATCAACAGTAAAGTTATGTTGGTTCCATTATTATATCATTGATTCCCAAAAAAGTTGTAACATAGAATGTCTCTGTTATTAAATACATATGAATAATGTACGTAAACAGAATAAAATGTTACGGAACAAAATATTACTTTGTGATTTAAAGTAGGGTTTTATCTGTTTAACAATATTTTGTGCATGCGCCAGTCGCTTTTAAGGCAATAAACTACCATAATTATCTATTTCATACAATCATTTTGGAACTATACTTTTTTAAAATTCAAACAATATTTTTTGCATCAGAAAAATAGCTTTATACACTTTAATATCATTTGCCATATCATACATTTTCAAATGGAAACAATTCGCAGGAAACAAATACAGTGTTTGTCATAACGCTGTTATTATTTTTACTGTATAAGTTTAGTTACATTTTGCAAAACAACTTTTGGTCAATATTAATGTAATAACATTTAATATTATGTACTTACACTCTTTTGAGAGAAATATAAGATCTGATACTTTCAATGCTTGAAATACTATAGTATAATCATACTATTTGTGGTTATTCTGAAAAAATTTGCAGTTTAATCAGAATGTGTTTACCCATTACTTCATATACACGCCTTTTAACGCCTTTTTCACCCCCCCCCCTTTTTTGTTGTCTCAAATGATGAAAAATGCCTTATTTAGGCCCCAAACACTTGGTTTTGTTTGAGAAATGTTGTTAAAAAAAGTGACCTCTTTTTCGGCGCGGCACCCCAACCAAAAGATACATCAGGGGGTTGCCAGAAGGGGGATGTGCCCCCTTCTGTTAGGGGGGTTTGAAGGGGGGCGGAGTCCCCCTCATCGCCAAGAAAATTTTGGACTTGTGAGAGGCTGTAAATGACCCCAGATTGATCATAAGGTAACGCGTAACCAACGCTGAAAAGCATTTGACTCTATCTCAATCCATTGAGAAGTTGCAGCACTTTGAAATCAATTTTGATGGAAAAAATCAACGCAAAATAGTGATTTTTGGCAATTTTGAGATGTCCCCTCGTTGCCATGGTAACAGAAAATTTAAGCCTGAGCATGTTGTTGCAAGGGCAATGGTCCAGTCAACATTTGTGCCAAGTTTGATTAGTGTTGAAGCAGTTTTTACAGTATTATAGCAATTTGAACTTGTAACGGGAGACTTTTCAATGAAAACAGCCATTTTTCACAAAATGCTCATGAAGTAATGGGTTAAAGTGACATTTTGCCCTTCAAAGTGTACATAGAGAGTGTACAGGAAATAGTAAGAAAAAAACTTAACATTTTTCCAATTTTGTTTTCTTCTTCACAAAAATAATTTATAACCCATATGACAAATGGAAAATGCTATAAGTATCCTTCAGAATGTATCTGTAACATTCAGTTGATAAAAAGAGTGGGGGAGTCTTTTTATATTACAGACAGTTTTATACTTTATCACTACCATTTTTATTATTAAATATTGGTCATTGACTATTCTAACAGTTAATCTTATGAATGAATAAATAAAGCTCGACTTGACGATGAAAAAATGAGCATAATGTCACTTTGTTTTGACAGAAAAATTGACAACATTGCCTGAAACATTTACTGTAAATTTTCTTTAAAAAAAATTGAAATTTAAGTTTTTTTCCACACAGTTGTGATATGGAATGTCTTAATTAGATACATGAATATTAACAGAATAAATACTGGTTGTAAATTCATCTTTTGTTTGGTTTAATTCATTTTTTTCCAAGAAAAATTAAAAATACAATGACATGATTTTTTTCTACCTTGAATTTGAACCAGGAGTCAAAAAAAATGACTAAAAAGTATTTGCAAATATTCATAAAACATATTTCTTCTCAGTAATGACAAAACTATTAATCTCTATCGATAATGTAACTCTGATATGTTGCAACGTTAAATTGTCCATGAAAAAAGCACACAAGAGGGTATAAATCAAAGAAATGATAATCACTTGGCTTGCCAAAGGAATACTAACCTCTGAACTAATAAATTTCTACTTCTTAAACCTTCTTATCCATCTTAGTATTATACATGTATATTTCAGTGCAGTTATAAAATGAGGCTGATTTTAAGTTCACCTTTAACATATGTATATATGAATAATAAATAACACAAGACGCCTGTTGCCAAAACAGTCAACACTTACCTTTTAGATCTAGTAGTTCCCATAATATGTCTACAATCTAAATCCATATTCATTGCCTTCGTGAATTCTGCTTTGGGATCTGCTAACATTAAAATCTGAAAATAAAATAGAACTACAAACAGTAACTTCAAATTTTCCACTAATATCCTCACCTAGCAAATTTTGTAAAAAAGACTTCCTTGTGTTTTTATTATTATTATTATTATTATTATTATTATTATTATTATTATTATCATCATCATTTAGAACTGTCTATTTTGACTTAGAGAAATTGGGCCGCTGAAAGCATAAAGCCTGCATTTCCTACCAATGTACAATGTCAGAAAGTCCCAAGTCCTTTATAAGTTATTCTTCAGACAAAGTTTTTCATATAAATCTGATAGAGGGCATTAACTCTAAAAGCAGGCAAGATAGAGTTATTGTACTTACACACTTCACTTTCTCCCAATGTGCTCTGTCAGAGTACGAAGCTTGAAGAAATTCTCTTAAATATGTTTGAGTTATGCTCTAGACAAACTTGTTTAAATGAATCTGATAAATGAGAAATTGGGCCGCTGAAAGCATAGAGCCTGCATTTCCTACCAATGTACAATGTCAGAAAGTCCCAAGTCCTTTATAAGTTATTCTTCAGACAAAGTTTTTTATATAAATCTGATAGAGGGCATTAACTCTAAAAGTAGGCAAGATAAAGTTATTGTTCTTGCACACTGCACTTCCTACATGCCAGTGTACGTTATGTATTAAGTTTGAAGAATTTCCCTTAAGTACTTTTGGAGTTTTGCTTCAGAAAATGGTTTATAAATAAATCTGATAAAGAGGAATAACTTAAAAACAAGATACAGTTACAGTACTTGCACACTGCACTTTCTCCAAAAGTGCTCTGTCAGTATTTGAAGTTTGAAGAAAATCGCTTATCTTAAGTACCTGTAATATTGGCATTATGCTTTGCACAAAATTGGGATGGATGCACTGATAGAGACCATTTCTAATATTTGCCAGCCTTTGGTGAGGGGATAAATTATGTAAAATATTATAAATCATTTTCCTGTTTGGTTTTGAAAAGTCTGAAAAACTTTTTCCTCATATACTATCATAAAAGCATTTAACCTACCTTGTCTTTTGTGTTTAAAGACTTTGCCCATGCTGACATAACATATGGATCATTGACTGCTACACAAACTATCAAATCATATCCTTCAGCCTACAACATGTAAGAAAATATAATTACAAAATTATAAACCCTATAACAAGTAGAGAAACTGATAGCGAACAGCATGGATCCTGATCAGACTACACAGATGCGCAAGCTGGTCTGGATCCATGCTGGTCGCAAATGCATTACGTTGGTTTTGTCATGACACGGCTCAATTAATAAACACATAAATCAATGCTTTGCCAACAAAAATTGTGGGGAACTCACCTACATGTGATACCCTAATCTGTATTAATAAATTACCAGTCTGATAACAGAATGCCGATAACAAATTGATTATCATTAAATTATTAAAAGTTGACCATCAAGATGTATTTCCAAAAGCTTTATAGTTTATATAATCATAACCTGACAACAATAAATTCTGTCAACTTAAGTGTCAAGTCTGTTTATTGGACTAAATAGTACATGTACTGTTGACAAATAAGAGCCATGGTCATGACCACAGTAGAACTACAATTTGTGAAACTTGTATAGGTAAGACAACACCAAAACTATCTGAAAACAAAAAGGGATAACTACAGGTCTATGAATACTTGCTTCTTAATCAGGCATTTATCTTGCAATATCTCAGAACAAATTACATTAACAACTTACGGACATGAATGGTAGACCTGAAGTCAAAGCAAGACAAAGTCCATCAAATAAAATCAGCTGTGAGTAAGGATAACATTGTTGTTTTATATATGCTGATTTTTCCCTGACTTACTCATTTCAAACCATAAACCCGTGACATGTCATACAAACAACTTTCAGACAAATAGATATAGTGTAAATTATTGTTTGCTCACCTTAAATTGATCATAGTGATCCAGGTAATCAGGTATGTGCTTCTGAAATTGTTGAGAATAATGCATTTATAATGACATACATGTATTGCACAAAACAGGATAGTTTATCAAAATACATTTTATACAGTCATAGTACATGTACATAGTGAAATATCTCAACTACAGTATACATGTACATAGAAAGAAATTGAGACAAAGTAGTGTGTCCTAAATATATAGTAAAGATATTTTGGCTGTCAAAATATATCTTGAAGTTTAAATTGATACAAAGCTAAGGTCACAAGATTTTCATTGGTGTAAGTATTTTGAAAACAGACAATAAACCGTAATAAATGAGCAATAAAATAGCGGTTATGTCTATATCTGTTTTAGCATAAGCTGGATTGATTTTACTTACAATTCAGGGCAGATAACTAATGGTTTCATTCGATATTCCTCAGTTATTTATATAGTTCATGTAGGGCCTAAAATAAAATTTAATTTGTTTCCCCTTCCCTACCTACCCAACAAATTTGCCCCTACCCAAAAGTTTTTTTTCAGGTTCTTAGGGGATGAAAGTATTTTTTTACTTTCAGAGTACAACAGGTACAATCTAATCTGATATTTTAAACAGCTAGCATAGTTAATAAATTGTTGTATATGTCAGTTGTGAATGGTAATGCATGTACATATACTATTGCACTTAATAAATTAATTTTAGTAGTTCATTATACATATATGCAGATTATTTATTATTATGCACATATAAAAAAAAATTCCTACCTACCTACCCAACCCTAATTTTAATGGGTCGGGAAGGGGAAACAAACATAATTTTATTTTTGGCCTAGGCACTGTTCATGGGTGTATTACAACAAGATATAAATACATGTCACCCATTTAGTATTGGCTGTATAGATTGTGTGAGTTTATAAAATAAAAGCTAACATACCTTACAGCCTGGTGTAAATGCTCCAAGGACTGAGAACAATACACCCCTTTTTCCTTTAAATAAATCATATGCATTGACTGCATTGTTAGGTGTGTCCAAATACAGGTTCACAGATGGCACTTTCTCTCCTCTCTAAAAAGGAAACCACAGTTGTCTTTACAGACATTCATTGATTCAATAAATCAAAACACAGAAGGAAAACGTGCATGTTTGGGAATTTTTCAGCAACAGATAACAATGTTGCATGCAAAAAAGCACTTGACAAGTTGATCATTTCTTCTATATTAAAAGTATAGCAATTTGAAAACTTGCTAGAATAACTAACTATTCTTGTAAGTAATTTTGCTCGAAATAAGACTAAAAATAAAATCATTTAAAAAACTAGGCACTGAAACTATTCAGTGTTAACCTTTTGTAAATTGCATATTAAATATTTGTAGCAAAAAAATGACTACATATACACTTCCACAAAAGTATGAGTGCTGAAAATGAAAATTCAAAATTATTCCAACATTCAAGAGAGATAACTTTGTCCAAAATCATTGAACCATGACCAAATTCAATCATGATGAACTGCTTATTCCTAAGATGTATCTATATGTCAAATTTGAGTTGAATGTGTAAAACCATTGGGGAGATATTATCATAATGAACAGAAACTAAAAAATTCTAATTTTTTTCAAAGTTCAAGAGGGATAACTCTGTAAGCTATCATCAAACCATGACCATATTCGAACATGACCAGTGTATTCTTATGAAATCCATATGTTCAATTTGAGTTGAATATAAATAACTGTTGGGGAGATAATGAACGGAAACTGAATTTTTTTTATTTTTTTTCAAAGTTAAAGGGGCATTACTCTGCCAAAAATTATCGAACCATGACCAAATTCGAACTTGATCTGCGCTTACCTTTGAGGTATCCATGTGGGAAATTTGAGTTGAATGTGTAATACAGTTGGGGAGAAAATGAACAGAAACTGAAAATTTCATATTAGTTTCAAAGTGAAAGGGGCATAACTCTGCCAAAAATCATCAAACCATGACCAAATTTGAACTTAGCCTGTGCATTCCTTTGACGTATCCATATGTCAAATTTGAATTGAATATGTACAACTGTTGGGGAAATAATGAACAGAAACTGAAAATTTCATCAAGGGGCATAACTCTGTCAAAAAATCATCGGACCATGACCAAATTCGAACTTGACCTGTTTTTTCACATGATATATTCATATGTCAAATCTGACTTGAATGTGTGGAATGGTTACTAAGATAATGAACGGAAACTGATGATGACGGAATGATGGAACAGGGTAATACTAAGCCATTTTATTGGCGGGGGCATAAAAAACAAATGCAAGAAGTTTTCCGTTAATCAAATCCACTTTTTTTAAAAAAAGATATAATTCTTAAACCATTGTGTAATTCTCAAACAAAACAATAAATTTACCAACTCACTAAAAAAAGATAAATTAGCCATGTTTTGTCACATCTCAAAGGACCTTTAATCTTAATCAGTGCGGCACTAATCAAAGGACAACATAGTAGGCTCCGACTTTATTATATGGGCCAAATCGTTGTTATGTAGTGTGTACTATTATGGTTCCCATCCAAGATGAAGTGCACTGGGGACAAGTCTGAAGAGAAGCGGTATATAAAATACCAAATGACTTCTTTAAAACGGAAAATGTAAAATAAAAAAACAGAGCAACAGATAAGCCTTGAAAGTGAATTGGGTATTTACTATTACTCCATCAGAGATCTGCCGAGGACGCGATTTTGCGCCATTGGCGCTAAAAAAATGAGAATGGCGCAGGAAAATCATCAGCAAAGGGCCATGGGCGCATCTAAAATCTGTGCCAGACTAATAAGAAAACAAAACTGTCTGCTGGGTTATTTAGTCATCCTCCTGTAATTACGCATATTCTTGAGTTTATCCATTCCCCTAAAGCTTTTGTCCATGTTATCTACTTACCGCATTTCTTCTCATAATCCCTTTCCCACACAGACACTCATTTCTACTACCGTAAATTTAATTCAATAAAACAAACAAACAAATTAACTACAACTACTTAATATTTAAAATGATTATCGGTAACTGAAAAAAAAGTGTTGCTATTTTAAGAAATGCTGTAAGTTACAGTACAGTATAATCAGGTGTTCAACTTGATCAACCTTAAGGTCACTAAAGTTCACGCAAGTTTTGGCTGATGAAGTGTAAAAAAAGATGTATATTTCGTCATCAGAATATTTGACAGGGTGATTAACCAATCAGAGAAACATTGTGCATGACTTTTTTCATGATCAAAAGGTCTGTCAGCAAATGTCTTTGATGTATGCTGTCTACACAGAGGCATACAAGGGGCAATAAAATTCGCCAATATACAGTGGTAAGGGACATTTGGTGCCAAGTAGGAACAATTAAATGGATAATGCACAATATAAGACATTACAAGTAAGAAACAGCAATTATGTGAATAAATTTGCATATCAAATTTTTGAGCAGTCATTTAAAAAATATTTTGCCTACAAATAATATTAGTTAGAAAGTTACCATGTAGGCATAATTTTTAATTATTGGTTAAGTACTGAATTATAAGTGAACCACTTGTCATAAAATATGATTTAAGTTTTATTACCAAGAAAATTCAATTATCTACAAACTTTTTAACAGTTATTTTTGGTCAATGTTTACTTATTTTCCCAAGGCCCATACTTTGGTAAAAATGGCCCATCATTTTCAGACCAAGTGGGCCCAGGGCCCAGTTCTTTCAAATTCTTGGCAGATCTCTGCTCCATCATTTCATGTGGAATTGGGTATTGGCTCCATTGAATTGGGTATTATAAAACCTGTTACCCTATGATTTCAAGATCAATTGGGTATTCAATTGCAAAGATATGAATTTCAAGGTTAATTATGTTTTTATTATTATTAATATTATTATTATTTACGCGATTGCCCAATTGTGCCAATGTGCCAGTTCTTTTGTCTAACATTTCGGAATATCTCAAATAAACATCTTTCAGAATATGTAAACAACTTCCTTTTCTGGCCAATTTTTAACTATCAACAGTTATGTTTAAAATCTTCTTTTGTTCCCTAAAATGTATGTATGATGCCATATTGCTTTCAGAGCGTCTATTGATAGAGATTATTCGCATGGGACCTACTTATTGACGGTCTCTGCAAAAACAAAGGTCTCTGCCGGTCTGTAAAGACTGTCAATCTGAATAGATTATTATATAAATTGACAGTCTCATGCTTAATTAATTTGACTTCAGCAATCTTTTGATACTTGGGACCTTCGAAGACCTGAGACCATCTATTAGTAAGCTCTATGTTACATTTGGGAATATTTGGATAGCATGCATATAACTATTGTCTAAATTATGAGGGGAGGACAGGCTTATTTTGTGGTGACAAAAATGATAATATGCATGGATCTTTAAGACAATTGCATATCTTATTTTTATGAATGACGTTTGATATGCATATTAAAAAAAAACAACCTTATCTGAAAAAATGAACAAATATTTTTATATGAATTCCCGTTCATAGGCTTTGCCTACTGTCATATTAGTATAATTTTGATATGGGTATATCAGCGCTACAAAGTAGATTCATTTTGGGAATCTTCAAGATTCTATCAATTTTAAGCATACCATGATAATATGAAAAACACTGAAAATACCATAATTTATATGGGGAAGTCTTGGCTTTGGCTTGCCCAGCTATAGACTACATGCGTATATTTAAAAAGAAAAAAAAAGAAAAAAATTTAGAATGCGATACCTATCAGCGAAATTTTCAGTGTCATTTCTTGTTGTGAGCCGTAATGCAATGACAAACGGCGGAGTAGTTCGATAATTGACAAATCGCAACTTTTTGACCAACAAGACAAGATAACGATAAAAGCCGAGGAATTATTGGCAGCCATCTTGGATGGGAACCATAATATAATAAGACAGAAAACCAGAACAAATGGAAGCAGTGTATAAAATACGGAATGGCACTTTTAAAACGGTAAATGTAAAATAAGAATACCGACTTCCCCGTTCATAGGCTTTGCCTAATTTCATATTAGCATAAGCAGTATGGAATCAGTGTAGAATCTAAATCTACATATTTTTCACTAGCACCTGCTACAAAAAAATTGAAACAGTTATTTTCTTATAACATTGTAAAAAAAGGAGGTACCGGTACGCGGTACCCATTGGCCACATGGATCATCCAAACACGCGAGCCCGTGCAGTGTCTTTGAGTCACGTTTTATCCGAATTCTATTACACTAAAACAATGGTTAAACTTCAACTTATGGTTCTCAGATTTGGCTATTTAAAAATGTAAAACAATAATGAAGTAAAATTCAATTACTCTTATGTAATTCCTACGATGTGACACTTCATGATTGTTGATTAATCTACAAACATTTCGACACAATGGATTTCTCAAAGCGACGGCCATGTTTTATAATTTGCGAAATATGTTTATTTAACCGAAACTAGCAAAGTAGAATGAATTAATCGAAAGTTTCTGTTCATTTTTAGTATTTCAGGTCGGAATATCATTTAATGATACTAAGCTGAGCTCATTGGCCGCTTTGAAGATTGTTTTCTCTTCTTGGTATTACTCTTTCGTACTTCTCCACGAAGGATACCATTTTTTTGTGTGAAAAGATCTAGATCTAGTTGATTAATTAGCACTTAGGATCATTTTATAGACACAGTGTGGAGCTTAAAACGCCTTTAAAATCCAAATAAATAAGCCGTTTTGAAAAAAAATTCAAATTTGAACGTCTATAATAGACGTTGAAATTTGATTTTTTTTCAAAACGGCTTATATTAAGTTTTTTTGATATATATATATATATATATATATATATATATATATATATATATATATATATCAGGTACGTATATATATACGTACCTGATATATATATATATATATATATATATATATATATATATATATATATATATATATATATATATATATATATATATATATATATATAATATGATCAGTACATGTGCTGGGATTGACAAATATACATTTTATTTTGATTTTAAAGGCGTTTTAAGCTCAACATCCCAAGTGTCTGTGCTTATAGATACGTGTTTCAAATTTATTGGCATCATTATAATTTACAAAACGCAAAAATGACTTGTTATAAATAAATATAATCAGTAATGTTTATATGTTGTTAATTTTGTTTAACCACGACTGTAATTAAAGCTGTGGGCTAACTTCACCGGCTTTGATAGCACTTATTCGTTAACGTTAAACTTATTTTGACAAGTCCAATGTCTATCTAATTTTGACTTCAAGAATGAATTGAGCGATGTAGTTTCCACGACCTCATGATTTAATGTGTTCCAAGAATCCATAAGACTAAATATATTTTTTCCCTATTGTTGTTACTTGCCCTTTGTTTGAAAATTCTACATGTCCTCTTGTATTGGTTTCTTCTCTAATTTTTGATATTTCTTTGTTTTATCAATTTTGCTGATTATTTCGCAAGTTTCTCTTATATCTGCTCTTTTTCGTATGTATTCAAGGATTAGGATGCCGAAGTCTAATATTCTTTTATTATATTCCTTGCCAGATAATTCTCTATGTAACCTAGTAGATCTTCTCTGAACGCTTTGAATAGATATTGCGTCTATTTTTGTTTTAGATTTGGATGACCTTATTACGGAGCTATATTCAAGATATGCCACATCAGCGTTGTTTGTGCCGTGTGGAGGCTGTAAAAAGTCGCCCCGTACATTCAATCAGAGATGTTATATTTCTGATCCTTAAAGATCGTTCAGCACGACATTATTGATGTACGTGTTTGAGGTATTTTTAGTTTTAACTATTTGGCATTTTCTAGTTGGGTGGTTCCAATTTTCCTACTTGAATAATGTTGTCTGCTTTTTAACTTTGTCTTTTGACGTCTTATCTGTGATATGCAGGCCTCATAACCTCTGATCCCCTTTCAAAAATCCATTTTGTTTAGTTCCATCCATTGTTTTCTCGTTTAGGGCACAAGCTTTTTATTACTTGGGGACCATACACCGCTTTTTCATGGAATGACACTACTGTGTCACATTGAAGGTTCCATGATAACCGCCGTATGAACACATCTGCGGATGTTTTTAAATTCAAAATTTTACCATTCTTGTTTAAATATTGAATTCTGCTTTAGCCGGTGCTAAGGGGGGTGGACGGTAGTTTGCACTTGACAGTACCGTCCATGAACAGGCTCAATCAAACCGAGCCTGCAACATTTTCAATTTTGACGTGTTGAGCTTTCTTTAGGGGTTCTTATTTTCTCTATTTACATATGATTTATAAAGTTGAAGAAGCATTTCTTTGAACATACAAGTTCATACATAATGTTCTTTTACCATTAATCCTAGGTTCCTATTAGCCTTATTTATTTTACTACAAATATATTTACAAAATATCATTTTGCAATTAAAGATCACGTCCAGGTCTTTTTCCTCATAAACTCGTTGGGTTTTACAGATGTTATGCCAGATTTTATCACTTCATTCTTTTATAAAATAATCAAGGAATACATTTTGCCCCATAAGAATAGTTTTACTATTGTATTGAAGATCATTTGCCATTTTATTGACCAGTCATGCACACGCATCAAAAATACCGGTATAGATGGATACCGAAAATAAGCAAAAATACTATCCTGAAGTCGGTTTTCATCATTTTGCCCATTTATGACAAAATAATTTGGTGTCGTCTGCAAAATGTTTAGCTGTAGAGTACAGTACAGATAATTGCGTCCAGAAGGTCATTTATAAATATTATTAAAGAGAACAGGTCCTAGCACACTTCCATGAGAAACTCGACTTGTTACAGTTTGCTTCCCTGAATAGGTTCTGTTTATCTTTACACTTTGCTGTCGGTTTTCTAAAAATAAATTGTCCATTCATATATTTTGCCTCTTATGCCTATAGATACTTCATACGTTAGTTAATATTTAGTCGTTTGTTGGGGTCCTTGTTGAATACTGCTTCGAAATCAAGGTACACTATATCAATATCATGTCCTTCGCCTATTGCCTTAGACCAGTCTTCTATACATTGTTTTCCTTTAGTTCAGTCTTTTATACATTCTAACAATTATTTTGTTTGGTAATTTAGACCTTCCTTTAGTTCACTCTTATACATTCTAACAATTATTGTTTGGTAAAAGACCTTCCTTTCCTAAATCCGTGCTGGTATACAGATAATAGTTTATTTTCTTCTAATGGCTTACAACCATGCCAAACGTTGGTCACCATTCATGTTTCGTTTGTTTATTTTTAAAAATGCTGCGCTTATGTCGGGCGTGTCGGGCGTGTTTTATATGAGAGCCGATGTTTTACTATTGCGGCGGCAGAGTCGATCCGTGAATTAAAATATTTTCGTTTAATATCCGATTAATCATTCTATTAATCCATAATTTATTGCAAATAAAACTTGTGATATTAAAAATAAAGAATATTACGACATTTCAATGAAGTTTAACATTGCACCCAGATATAATTATTTTTATTAATTCGAGGACCTTAATTCGAAACTAAATTCCATCAATATCTAAAAAAAAGATGGCGGACAAAAATAAAAATTTGTCCGTCCAAAATGGACAAAAAGTTATTTCTATGAAGTTATTTGCAACATGGGAGGTAGAAAAGTCTTCCCCAAATTGTATTGCAAGGTATGTTTTTAATATCTGTTAAATCTTACATATTTTTACTGTTTATATTTTCTAAGCACTCGATTAATATTTATGGTTATCCTGAAATATGAATAGATTCTAATTCATTCTAATTTTGTTACTTGTTGCCGAGAGTGTTTTATTAAACATTCAATTTTTACCTAAGGAGGTTCCTAATAGAGATTTGGTATTTTCATGTTAAAAGTCACAGATATCTATACTGCAATGCAGCATTCTATGAAGATGAAGATTTGAGATTGATAATGACTGGTACTGGTAGTCCAAACAATTAGTCCTATAAATATGACGTCGCTATGATTGAGATATCGTTGCTTCTGGGCAAAGCAACGTCATATCGAAATTGTTCAAAAACCGGTCTTATTAAAAAGCGTCCTGAAGAAATTTAGCGTCCTGAAGTGTCTTGAGGCATTATTTTTGATTCAGAGTCAACTCGTCCCCTGGTCAACTCGTCCTCTAGTCAGTCACCTTTTTGGTCAACTCGTCCCTTGGACAACTTGTCCCCTGGTCAACTCGTCCCCAACTCATCCCCTATATTCTATTACTATTTGTTTTTCATATAATATATTTCATAAATTATTATAGACTGTTAAAATAATATATTATAAAATTACTGAATTGGACATATTTTGACGCTTTTTGTATGCAAATATTTGGAGTTTTTTTTATCTAATAATACGTATATATATGCAGGGCTCATCCTGGGGGGAATTTTTAGGGAGAAGTGACTTCCTCGCGAAAATTAGGGAGAAGGGAAACAACCCAATGTGTATGCATTAACATGCATGGCTATACATCCTTTAAATATAATATAAACACAATTAACATCACTTATAATATTTCTCCAGTTTATTAATTAATAGTAGATTAATTAATAGTAGTATTAATTAAAAGTAGATTAATTAGTTGTAGATCTGGCAATGGCATCTAAATGTTTTTGAGCTGCAAATATGAATATAAAAAATTATTTTTGATATCTATTGATCAGCTATTTATAAGCTTTCTCAAAATATGTGTTTATATATTTTCATGTACATTTGTTGATAATGATGTGTAAGAAAAGATGTGATGATAAAATCAATTTCATATTTTTTCTTTCCTCACTTTTATTAGAAGATGAAGTCACCTTGCATATTGATTAATAAAATCTGTTCTATTCTGTTCTGGTAACAGAAATTTCTTTGAACGTCCGGAAGGTTGTAATGTCAGATTTAAATGCATATAATTATGCTTATAAAACAATTTTCAAACATCAAAGAATATGTAAAATATGTACTGCAAACATTTGTGCACATTATATTTGATCACTAAAATTACATACATTCATTTCTTATTGAAAAATTTGACTGAGAAATTGTAGAAAATTAATTTCTAATTACCTCCCTTTATTTTCATGAAATGTTAAATTCGGTAATATCTTTATAAATAATGCTTTTTAAAATTTACAAAATTGATAAATCTTAATCTGAGCGTCATATTTACGACATTAAAACAAATATGTATATTGAAACAATAAGAACTCTTCTTCTTGACAAATTTTGTTGTTATATACGTTACATGTGTCAAATTTGGCATTTCTAAAAACAGAACAATGCCAAACACTCCCACTGTCTACAACATACCAATCGCAAGATTTTTGCGAAATGGTTTTCTTAAATTTTCGCGTAGGTGTATCTGACAGAATCAGTAACTTTCTTTTAGTTTTACTGCCAGGTTTGGGCATTTCGCCTTGTGGCCATGACATGAGCGACATAACAATTTTACAGTAAAAATTTGATGTTAACAGACTGAAATCATTCAAAACTATGATTAAGTTTTTAATCCGATCGCTGATCATTAATGAAATCGATTATTTTTAATTGACTAACAGTTTTGTGATAGCCGTGAAAAATCCATTGCACATCGCCTTTACTCGGGTTAAAAACCCACCATCGAAGTGCATCGTGTATATCAATTAGGGAAGATTGCACGTGTTTAGATAATCGGGGAAAAACAATGTATAATTATCGCCAAATCCCGTATTAAACTCGCAAACTATCACACAATTATACCGTTTCGGGCCGATGCTCTCATTATTTACTGTTTAGAGTAGGCGGTTTATCGCTTCGCTTACAGGTAGAAGCAGGGCTCATCCTGGGGGGAAATTTTAGGGAGTAGTGACTTCCTCGCGAAAATTAGGGAGAAGGGAAACAACCCAGTGTGTATGCATTAACATGCATGGCTATACATCCTTTAATTATAATATAAACACAATTAACATCACTTATAATATTTCTCCAGTTTATTAATTAATAGTAGATTAATTAATAGTAGATCTGGCAATGGCATCTAAATGTTTTTGAGCTGCAAATATGAATAAAAACAAATTATTTTTGATATCTATTTATCAGCTTTCTCTAAATATGTGTTTATATATTTTCATGTAGATTTGTTGATAATAATGTGTAAGAAATATGATTAAAAACTTGTTTTTTATATTTTTTACTTTCCTCACTTTTATTATCCTCACTTTTATAAGAAGATAAGTTACATTGGATATTGATTAATAAGATCTGTTCTATTCTGTTCTGATAACAGAATTTTCATTTAATATCCTATATGTTGTAATGTCGTATTTATATGCATATAATTATACTTATAAAACAATTTTCAAACATCCAAAATATGTAAAATATGTACTGCAAACATTTGTGCACATTATATTTGATCACTAAAATTATATACATTCATTTCTTATTGAAAAATTTGACTGAGAAATTATAGAAAATAAATTTCTAATTACCTCCCTTTATTTTCATGAAATGTTAAATTCGGTAATATCTTTATAAATAATGCTTTTTGAAATTTACAATATTGATAAATCTTAATCTGAGCGTCATATTTACGACATTAAAACAAATATATATATTGAAACAGTAAGAACACTTCTTTCCTGACAAATTTTGTTGTTATATACGACCGATATGTAGTTTAGCCGATATGTAGTTTAGCCGGGATGTCGTGTCCACGTGCGTAAGCTGTGTCAAATTTGGCATTTCTACAAAGATAACAATGCCAAACACCCTCACTGTCTACTACATACCAATCGCAAGATTTTTGCGAATTGGCTTTCTTAAATTTTCGCGTAGGTGTAACTATCAGAATCAGTAACTTTCTTAATGCTAGGTTTGGGCATTTCGCCCTGTAGCCATGACGTGAGCGACATAATTTTACAGTAAAAATAGATGTTAACGGACTGAAATCATTCAAAACTATCCGGTCGCTGATCATTAATGAAACTGATTAATTTTAATTTAGTAACAGTTTTGTGACAGCCGTGAAAATTCCATTGCACATCGCCTTTACGCAATCGAAGTGCATTGTGTAAATCAATTAGGAAAGATTGCACATGTTTAGATAATCGGGAAATTATCGCCAAATCCCGTATTAAACTCGCAAAACTGTCACACAAATATACCGTTTCGGGTCGATGCTCTCATTATTTACTGTTTAGAGTAGGCGGTTTATCGCTTTGCTTACAGGTAGAAGGGTAGTATAAAGCGACGCTCTGATTGGATAATGATAATTAGCAGACGTTATATGGGCGGATACAATCTCTGCTCTTTACATCGCCAATTAATTACTATTTGGGAATTAAGATTTTATCGGCGATGTTGACTTCTCTTTGATCAATCGGGAGAGCGAAATTGGAATATACACGGCGAAGTTTTCGCCCGAATCGCCCTTTAAGATGAGCCCTGTAGAAGGGTAGTATAAAGCGACGCTCTGATTGGATAATGATAATTAGCGGTCGTCATATGGGCGGATACAATCTCTGCTCTTTACATCGCTAAGTAATTACTATTTGGAATTAAGATTTTATCGGCGATGTTGACTTCTCTTTGATCAATCGGAAGAGCGAAATTGGAATATACACGGCGAAGTTTTCGCCTGAATCGCCCTTCCGGATGAGCCCTGTATATATGCATAATTCTGATTAAATTACATACAGAAAAAAACACGAAGACGATCAATAGCAATAACATTTAATGTATGAAAACATGTTTCATATGCAATGATAAAATATAATTTATACATTCAATATATTGACTTGTATTATACAAGAAATTCTGGAACTCGGTTTTATACAGCTCCTCTTTGAGAACAATTTAAAGATTTATTTACGGAAATTAAATATTAATCTTTACTAATTATTAGATGGCAATTAAATATTTGGGAATTACTTTATGTTTTCAATTATGTTTTCAATTAGTTAATATCCACTGACAATTTCACAACAAATAATCATGTTTTTAATTAACACGATCCTTCTATACGCAACGACATAAAGTTTTTAGCACTTCTAATTTCTGTTAATCAGTCGTCAGTCTTTAATCCATTCAGGGAGGCTGTCAAAAATTAAAGAGTTGGACTTAATTTAATTATCATTAAAACTCTGATTAATTAAACATTAATTGAATGTTTGCAAACTTACCTGTCTTTGTAGTTTTACATCAAAGCTATGCACATGCGCTTAAATAAAGATCATTAAAATTTAACGTAAAAAGACGTTATTTTATTAATATTTTGATATCAATCAAATTCATTATTAATTTTACATAAAAGAATTATTTAAAGACATTGATTTAAAACATAATAGTGACGAATCGATCGAAAGTAGGGGCGAGCTGACCATATTAGGGACGAGTTGACTCTTTGAGGACGAGTTGACCAAAAGTAGGGGATGAGTTGACCAAAAATGTGACGAGTTGACCAGAGGACGAGTTGACCAGGGGACGAGTTGACCGGATTGCTTATTTCTAATTTAAACAGTCAGAAGGTTATATTTATTGTAAATGAGCTAGATCTATATTATTATGTAAATGTGTTATTTATGGTTGAAAAAGATAATCATTTTTTCTATTTATATAAAAAACTAACATACCTTTGACTCCAGTTCACTTGCTCAAAAACCACCGTATACCGACAAAGCGTCCGGAAGG